TTATATTGAACGAGCATAGACTCAACTTACTCTCAATTTACACCCCTCGTCATTCGTCTCCCACCGTTTTCCAATAATCGTATACAGTTCCTCTCCCTTATCTGATTTCGTCGGGCATGAAGTCATGAATTTTGTAGTCAAATGTGTTGTCACAATCTAAAGGGAAAAATCCTCACTCTTTCCCTTGAATTGCAGCAAACGGGAAGGTGAAGCGAAATAGATCGTTTTAATAAAGATATCCGCACATGCACATATGGTCATTAAACTTCGTATTTTTTCAGCACAGATTGTTAGAAAAAAATGAAATTTCATGGACGGTTGTCTACTAATTTTCAGGACAACGACACTGACTGCGATTTAGGGGAAAACAATTATGAAATTTCCGGTTTCACTAAAAATCCAGTAAAGTTCCAGAATTTTAAGCAGCATAAAGACGAGAATTTCTTAATTTATTTAAATTACCAATCCAATATGAATATTCAGTGCCAAATTAGATTGAATTTTCAGTGAAATCTGAAATTTCATAATTTTTTCCCCTAATTCGCTTTCAGTGTCACTGTTTTAAAAATTCAAGAATATATTTACCGGAATTTTCTGGTTGTCTACTTATTTTCAGGGAAAAATGGAACTAAAATTTACAGTTCTCTTTGATTTTTCCACAAAATTCTGAATTTTTAATGACGAAATTCGTTGAAATTTCAGTGGCAATTAAATTCGATAAAAATTTCCATAAAGTATACCGGAAATTTCAGACAAAAATTTTTAGTAGTGTAAATGATTGAGGAGTGCAATCCGTATAGAAAATTTCTATACGATTTTTTTATACGTGCCATGCTTCCATTCGGGCACAAAAATTCCGGTGATTATTTTTGGTAATTGGATCTGGCCTTCCCTGGGCCAATCAGAGTTCAGTATTCAATAACATGAAGTACTTCCCAATTAAAATTACAGCGCTTATTTCCCCCTAGCTTTTGATAATTTATGGCACGCCGTGCAATAAGTCGAGTCGCGCTGCGCGCTCGGGATTATGATCTGCAAAACTTCTCCCTCTCGTTGCTACGCAACAAAACAATCCGGAAATATCCGATAATTTTGGAGGTCTCATGGTATTACTACTGAATATACCCTTAAATTTGCAATTGATTGAAAATTCAAGTAATCCCCTGGATTTCTTGTCATCCTGTTGTTCAAAAATGATAAATTTCATTATATTTTCTTCGTGAATTGAATTTCGTCCCGCTCTCCTGAAAATTACTACTAAACTGACCATGAAATTTCAATCTATTTTCACCGATGTAGAGTCCCACCGGATGGGACATTCAAGTGTGGCATGTTTCCAAGCTACTTATCACGCTTCAAAATGAGACCACATTCATCCCAATCATATCGTATGATCGGGAAATATTGGAGATAATGAAAATAAGAAAAAAACATTTCACTCCACCTTCTCCTATTCTCAAGATTCTCCAGATGGTTATTTGATTTTTATTCCTCACTTTAGTTTGAAAATACCAATAGGGACCGCATCGGTTCAGAAACGATGACAATTACAGTTCAATCAGGGGTAGAGCGGAAAAGACGAGTAGAGGGACGGGAGCCAAGAAAACGGAAGTCTTTCCCTCAGAGAAATTTATTTCACAATGGAAGAAAAACCAATTGAGTTTACAGTCCTATTGACGGAGTCTGTTCAATCCCTGAAACAAGATAGAGGCAGATGGATTTTATTTGAAGACAGTGGAGATACGGGTGACCTGTTGCAATTGTTACCATAAAATTGACATGAATAAATGAAGGTCTCGTCTTATCAATGGATATTCTCTTAGATGAGCGGAACTTTTCATTTTTTAATTAAAAATAATTCCGATGGAAACGTTCCAATGCGATTTTATCTCGATTGACTGTTCAGTATTATGTCACCAATCGGGGAATGGTGATTGTCACTTTCGAAATAGTATATTAGAGTACGAGGTGTGAAATTCCGTTTTCGACGGATGTGAAGTTTACAGGCCAAGCCGACGGCGAGGTCTCTACTCACATTCGTTGAAAATGGAATTTTCGTCATTGAGGCCCGATAAGTGGCGCTTACGGGGGCTGTGTTCAGAGGGAGTAAACGGCGATTAGCTGGCCTCAGCTGGCCGGGTCCGTAAAGAGTACTGTAAAGAGGACCAGCTATAGTAAATGAGACTTTTCGGGTCGACCCGTAAAGTTATACAGTTACTAGATGAGTAACCCACATGACTTATGTACAAATGCAATATGAAGTGAGCCGATATGGGCAATATGGCCGTCGGTTGGGCATGCGCGGTAAGCGAGCCGTCTAGTAACTTGCCTAGTGAGTTGATTCAGCGGCACTGGCGGCGTTCTCAGTAACTAATCGGTTACAACAGTAGAGGTTATGTTGTGAAATTATTGCATCATCTCACTGTAACTCAAGCATTATCCTTCATCCCCAAAATCTCGTCTTTTTTATTGTAATTTTAAGCAACTCTCTTCCTCAAAATCCATGTTTTTCTAGGCATCCGTTAGGAAGTTTATTTATTATTACTTTTTGGTTTCATTGGTAGGTATTTTCAAATTTTTCATTCGATTTTTTTTTTGTTTTTTGTTTTTTTTTAAATTTTTTTATTTTGTCCCGAATGGGACCCAAAAAGGGACTCCAAGGCCGTAAAAAAAAGAACAGGAAGAAATGAAGTTTTTTGTGGTTATACGAGTCAAAATCGATCGGATCCGCGATTTTCCCTAGTTATTCTGATATTCTGTCATATATCACAAACTGTTCAATGGATCCCAAGGCCCAGTGAAGACTTTTAAATTTCATCGACATATCCCCTTAATTAAGACATTCACAGATGATTATACTACGGATTACTGGGGTTAGAATTGCATGCATCGGATGACCTTGTCATTCTTCATACATCAGAGCAAGTCCGTGTCTTCAAATTTCGGCCCAATGTAATCACGGACACAATACACAGTTCATATATGATCAGTGGCAAATCCATCCTCTTAATTCAAGGGAACAAAAACATGCCAGGCATTTCCTAAAGCACACAAGTCACATATTCACGCTGACAGTGTCAAGATTAATCTCATATACATTATAAATCACCGTGTTTTTGTGTAATTGTGTCAAGGGCAGTTCATCTGCTGTTTATCCCATTTTATTGTTGTTATCATAATTTGCAATGGATTTGTAATGATAATGTTTAATTGTATTGTATTTATTTGGCAGTTAAACATGAGTAGAAACTTGTAAAAAATATTTCAACTGATGTAACCGATTCATGTATGAAGAAGTTAATAGAAAACATATAGAAAATTCTTTTGGAATCTTATTGAAAATTTATTAGAATTTTATTCAGAGTTTTCTGTCCTTTACCCTGATTTCTGGGGAAAATTGTACAATTGTGCTATGTACTTGCTTTTATGTACGAAGTGCATGAAATTCAATGTTGTGTGTAAAGTAAATTTCAAGAAGAAATTTAGCTAGCGAGAATTTACTTTACGCATTACACTGTTAGAAATTTTTTGGAATTTCATGAAATATGTTACAGTAAATCACATGAGAGTGACATTGAATCGAATTTAGGGGAAAAATGGTTATGAAATTTCAAGTTTTCAGTAGAATTCACAGAAATTCATGAGTTTTCAGTGGAACATGAATATTCAGAAACAAAATGAAATGAATTTTCAATTTTTTTCTGAATTTTCCTGTGTTCTTTAATTTTCACAGAATAATTGAACTGAAAAATCAAGTATTTCATTGATTTCCAAATCATTTGACAAGAAAATCAATGGCATATTTAATTTTTCAACGACAAGATTTCTTGAAATTTTGTGGAACTTGAACACGATAAAAATTTCCGGAATTTGGCGCAGAAAATTCAGACGAAAATTTTTAACACTGTACCTCTGAGCATTACGCATGTCGTGTGGCAAACAAACACTTTGCGCACGCGAAACCCCCCCGAAAGGGACCTTTTAAGGCAGGTGTTACAAAAAAATTGTTTTCGTTGGATTTCATGATAATGAGGGATAAAAAAATGGAGAAAACTTCGAAAATTCATGCTAAAGAATTTCTACATAGAAAATAAAACTCAATTTTTTTCTATTCGAAGTCAATGGATGTGGATTAGTTCCCCTGGCACTTAATCCTGGTATGATTTTCCGATTTTTCTTTGAGCCGATGGAAAAAATGAGAAGTTCTTACGGAAAAATTTTTAGGAACGGATCACAATCGACTAGACCTGGACGCACGAATCAATTTAATAGAAAAACCTAGAGAATTCGTTGGAAAATTCTCTTCGATTTCTATTGAACTTTCTAACAGTTTTTGCCCGATTCTATTAAAATATTCAATAGAAAATATCTCAATAGCATAAGTTGTACAGAAAAATCGAATTCTTTTGATCTTTTCTATTGAACGTTTCAATAGAATCGGCTGGAAACTAATAGAAAGTGCAATAGAAATCCAATAGAATTGACTAGCGAATTCCCTAGGTTTTTCTAGTCAATTGGAAATTTTTTATCGAGAAAATATGCGGAAAAATGCATAAATGACAATCGAAATCCATTCGAGTTTTTCTGTAAAAATGCAAAAAATGTTTCATTCCGGTTTTCTTTATCCGGACGATTACTGTTAATAGAATTTCCGTACCAAGACATTACGAATTATCAAGTGTTACAAATAGCGGAAATAAAATTTCCGTACCTAGTTTTAAGTGCCGATTGGTCAAGATATGAAGATAGGACAAAGTCGCCAAAATTAGAATAAAGTTGGATCGACAAACAGTCAGACGTATTTTAACGACCTCACACTCGGATTGGCAATTTCATCTTGTTTCTTACCCTTGGGCCTCTGTGTTCTAATTAAAGTCTTGTGATGTCTTTCGTGAGGCACTGAGTCGCAATATTTTGTTTTTGAATTGTTTATGGTGTTGTGGTAATGTTGAGTTTGAATAAATATTTTGTATCCATCTATTAATATTCATGTTGATCAGCTTTCTCAGTGATTTAATCACCTCGAGATTATCCGAATGTGCTTCTGTGAGAACGAGTGATTGATTGTCAATACAAATATTTAGTCTTGGGGTGATCGAGTGCGTGCTAAGATTGACGGAATGAAGATACCTGTCAGTGGTGTTCAACGCTGATTACATTCGGTAACGAATTGGTAAAACGTAATAGAAGTCGGTTTTAAATGTTTTGTTAGATATTGATTTATTTCGGTCATGAGTGGTTCCAGGAAGGAATGTCAGAAAATATTTTTTGTGCGAAATTTTTTCACCTAGAACAAAAATTGATAAAATCTTATTCGAAACTCAATTTTTTCGAGATAGATATCAGTAGCGAAGTGGTAAAACAGTTGAGTTTTTGACGAATATTTCCGAATCTAAGGGAAATCGGGAAATTTTGGTGATTACATTTATTGTAGCTCTCAATTGGCTCCACAAAAAAGGTTATAACAAAAATTTTATTATCTCCCTTAGATTCCGAGATATTCATTGAAAACTGGTCAATAGCCAAAATTGACTTATGCGGTTTGACACGTCGCTACTGATTGGAAACAGAAATGAATTGGGAAACAGAAATTAACTAAACAAATTGATTTGTTAAGGTTTGTTACGCATGGGATTATTCTCGTGGTGAGTGACTTTTAGAGAGAAATATTAATTGAACTCATAGGCAAACTTGGTCCTTTTTATTTTTATTTGTGTAACCGTTTTTGAGCTGAAGGGAGTTTGATTCAAATATGAATAGATATTTTTCGTGAGAAATTTCTTAGCTACACAAAAGATTTATTCAAAGTCACTGAAAGTCACTATTGAAAACTGCAAAAAAATTGCAGAAAACTCGATTAGATTCAGAATTCTAATTTTTTTCTCAATTTAATTATCGTTTCGGTTTTTCAAAGAAGGAATGTTTAAAAATCAGGATTTAACTCAGTGTCTTATGTGAAAATCAACATTTCCATTCTAATCAAAGATTAAAATCTGAATTTTTTTTCATTAGATGTGAAAAAATTAAGAATTTTTCAACACCTCATAAAAAATAATCCAGCGTTTTGCAAACTAGTTTTATTATTTATTTATAAGAGGGAAATGTTTGAAAAAATATTAATATTTTGCGAAATTTAATTTAGATTATACTGACTGGGTATGAATTTTTAGTTTATTTAACATATGAATCGAAATTTTTAATGAAAAATTTTATCAGTAACATAACATGACATTTCGCAACATTTTCTTCTCAAATTACTTTTTCGAGACAAATCCTAATTAACAACAATCTATAATTGTAAAACGTACACGGAGAGACATATTCAATAAAAATTACGTATCTTTTTCGTAATTCCGGAGCGAAATGTGGTCGTAGGAAATTTTACGGAACTGTCACGGAATTTTTCCGGAGCGTTCCGTAATTTGTTTCTGAATCTCCTGTGAAAAATTACGATACCGTCACTTAAATTTTCTGAGTCAATTCCGTAATCGGTAAGTGAATTGTGAGTTCCGTAATTTTTACTGAACATTTCTCTCCGTGTAACATCACCAATTATCTAGATCACGATTGTTTTTAGTGGAGAAGATCTGAATACATTTTTATTGGATAATTCATCAATTACAAAAAATGTTTTGGAGTTTTTTTTACCTCAAATCGCTAGTTTTCGAGATAAATATGATTTAAATAAACGAAATCCAATTCGGGAACGTAACAGAACTAAACATTACGCTTTCTCACGTTTTCAAATCACAATTCTCCGACATAAATTCGCAATTATTGAGAGAATGGAAATGAATGCATCATTAATTAATTTGAGTACTGACTACTGGATCATTCCAATTAGTCGTGAGGTTTATAGATATCACAGATCCACCGAGTTCGACATTCCGATCATTAGTACCTCTGTGGTGAGAAAAATCGTGCGTTCTAAATCAAATTATGCCAAAGTGCAGGTTTAGTTTTCCTCGTGACGTGACGGGTGAACCAATAAAAGAAATCAGTGAACGTATCGATGTTTATCGCAGTGCAATACTCTACTCCCCAATTGCCTCAAGTTCAAGCGCAACCGTGACGTCTGCGGAGAAGAGACAATGAGTTCTATTGTTAGCTCAATAAAAATGTCTCCAACGAGATAGTATTGAAATTCAATTTTTAGACGATCCCTAGGTGACGATGAGTTTTATCATTTCACTTAAGAAAATATTTGTGAAGTTTGGATTGAGCAATAATGTGGGATTCGAGATAAAATTGACTCTGAATTTTCAAGAAGTAATTACGCCATTTCAAAATCCAGTTTTCACCGGTTTCTATACTAGACGATCAGACATATAGATGTTTACACCTGAATGTGACACTTGGCACGCTAGCCTTAGGAATTCTGAATAACAACATTCCGAGTTTGACACCTCATTCATGCGCGAAAGGATGTCATGCACGAACAGAAATTTCTCTATTCTTGATTTGAGAATAAATTCTGCACTGAGAAAAAAATATTTGGCGACAATCGAGACTTTTTGAGGTCTTTATTCAGTGCTAAGGAATTTTTTAATGAGGTTTAATATATTTTACCCCGGCGGGCGCAAAGTATTCTGCTCGTGGGCATGACTCCTTTATTTTACCTCCTTAGGTTAGAAATATACTATATCGGGCCTCAGTGACGAAAACATAATTACCAAAAATTACTTTAAAAACTGTTGGAACATTCGAACACAGCTCTTTTATCTTACAAAACTATTTTTCACGTTTTTCTCTCCTCTAGGCTTTAGCTTTTACACTTTTTTTTCTGTTATTCTTTATGTTACTATTTTTATCCAAATAACAAGTTATTCTCATTTATATTATATTTTTTTCCCTTGTAAATGGGTACCCCTTGCGATAAAAAATACCATATATTTCAATGCAGCGTTAAATAAATAAATAAATAAAAAAAACTATTCGACAAAGATTTATGACATACTGGGAACAGTTCTGGAAAGGGCCTCATTTACGATTCGTTGTGCTCTCTACTGGAGAGTGGCCTAATCTTAAAAACATGCTGAAATTTGAAGGACTGTGTCCTCTTGAGTCGTAAAACTTTATTATTTTGCTTTTCGTTTTCCCAGCGAGAGTTTTTCTCCGGGTTATTGCCTTTAGTGTCAGGACAGCGGTCTTCCAGTACAGCCGTGCTTTCCTCGTGCAAATAAAGAGATTTTAATAAAGTATCTCATTGTTTTGCCACATTTATTTATTCACTTGCACCCATATTCTATTAAAAACGAATTATTTCTAAAAGATGAACTATTGTTCCCATGTGAAATGAAATTATTCATTACGCGACGTTGCTGGAAACTGGGTGAACGCGCCCGCGGAGTGTGGAGTGAATTCGGCAACGCTGGAGCTTAAATAACACGAGTGGCGACTCCCGCGGAGGTGACCAATCGCAGGGTCTCGTATGGTGGCAACTAGAGTTAAAATGAGATAAAATTCGTGGAAATCGTATCATTTATCCAGGAGATATTGAAAATAACATGATATGGACAGCCTCAAGTTCAGTGGTCTTAGAAGAACTCTCTCCAACTTTTGAAACGAAACCAAATTCATTAAGATTGAATCATCGATTCATGAAATATCACCGATTGAAGAAATATCACCTCCATTTTGCCCGACTTTCTTTGATCTTCCACTCACCCAGTAAACACCGATTTCTCATCTATTTTGGCAACTATATAAACCGATTTCGACTGTTCGAAACCAGAGATAGCCAGAACGAAATTGAGCAAATTGCACCACTTTAGAGATATTCATAACCAATAACTCTAGAATGATCATCACATGAGGGAGGCACCGCAGCGTCTCGTTTTTCATCAATTGCGATTGACTGACTAACTAGAAAAATTAAAGAAAATTTGACTTTGTCAATTGAAGTGTCTAAAAAATTATAATAGTTTTTAGTACAGCATAATTCCCAAAATTCCTAAAGAAAACATTTATTTTCGACAGACGAATTATCTTTTTCCATGTTAGAAGCAATTGCCCCATTACGCGACGTTGCCGGAAACTCCTTAAACGCGCCCGGACACTGTAGAGTGAATTCGGTAACACTGGAGTTTGAATAAGACGGTGGCGAATCCCCGCGGAAGCGACCAGACTACGGTTCACATCCATGAAATGGCCCTACACATCGACCCGAGTGGAAATTTCACTCAGTTAGCTTGGATCTACATTAGTTTTAGGTTCAATGCTGGCCAGAATTTATTGATTAGACTTTCGGATCAGGATCTGATGAGATTCTGAATGGAGTATCTGTATCCATTGTGGCGGAGTGAATTGTGATCCTATTCTGATCAGCCAAATCTTGACTAGATCCGCATCGGATCCGGTACTGTTCAGGAAGATCGAATCCTAGAATTTTGACCAGGCATGGACCCAAACAAGCGTTACATTTCTGATCCAAAATTGATCAAAATCAGTTTTTACTGGTCAATCTCTTATTCTATCCTAATTTGAATTTCCACTCGGGGATCTAAAGGAGACGCTCAGAGTCGAATTCAGCTTGAGGGAATATTTCCAGTTACAATGATAAAAATTTGAAATCAGTGTGCAAAAATCTTTCGAGTGGTAGCAGTCTCATTCATGTGCCAAAAACAGCTGGAATTTTGTAGGACCGTGTTATCAGTGAATTTTTTTCAATAACACTTCGCAGATATTCACAACACCATTTAATCGGGGACTCAAGGTTCGAGACATCGTGCGCTTCACGATCAATATCTCACAATTCTAAAAATTTATCAATGGGTTATTTTTTATTTCGATGAGGTGAGTGATATGGCAAGAATTTTTAGACATATCGCTATCTGTGATCATGTCAACGCCATTTTTTGCAGCAGATTTTACTCTGGAGATGGATGAACTATCTGCCAAATTGATTTTCGTTTTCTCCTAAATTAATATTTCCAAAAATTATTGAAACAAACAAGCAGGTGGCTGCGAGCATGTGATAGTGAGCATGTGCCTGGAGATTTTCTACATAAGAGTGGAGATGGTATTGATAACAACAAAGGAGTTTATCCTTTGTTGTCATCAATAAATTGATGGCGATCTTCCGAATGGTTATATTTTGGTTATCTGGTGGTGTTAGGATCTAAATAAAATCGATTGAGTTTTTTAAATATTGAATGAGATAGATTGACATAAAAAGTTGAATATCTCCGGAACTAATCATCGAATGTAGCCCACTTTCAATGCGAACCGTTGCAAGGACAAGAGAAAAGGCAACTTTATGCCAAATTGCAGGTTAAGGTACTTCCGCAGTAAGTATACTTGGTGAAAATTTCGAAATGGTATAAAGACGCAATATTTGGATCATATGTTGTTGACCACATTAAAAAGATATTCCCAAAATTTCAAGTCCCTGGTCCACCCCATTTTTGAGATATGCATCGCCAAACATTCAATTTTTGTGTTTTTTCCATTTTTGACGATATATAACTCGATGTATTATTTTAGAAAATCGGGTGGACAAGGTACTTGAAATTTTGGGAATAGTCTTTTTACCATTTCGAAATTTTCACCAAGTATACTTACTGCGGAAGGTCCTTAAAGCAGTATGAAAAGATTCCACTCGTGTCGTTGAGTGTAATGAAGAAATAGTATATTTCGTAACGAGTGCAAAAAAGTGTTTTTTGGCGAGTGGGAGGTTTATATCACGAGCCGAAGGCGAGCTAAAAAACATTGTTTCACGAGTTACGAACAATATTTTTCATCACAATGTGGCGGAAATTGGACTTTTAGGCACGCGGAGCGTGCCGAAAAGTTTACTTTTCGTCACAGCGTGATGAAAAATGAATTTCTACTCGACCCGGAACTTTACACACTCCGCGCAAAAAATCAAACACTTCAAATCCACTCCAGAAAACCGTGAACTCGATGGATATTATAAAAAATAGGATCTGTTGCACATGCGTGCGAAAAGTAGAATTTTACGTACTAGTAACATAATACACAATTTCACTGAATTCTTTTTGTAAACTCAATGAAGATTATCAATGAAAACGAAAAATATTTCATGAGGATAATAAAAAATTTACGCTGATAAAAATTACGTGACAAATTTTGATCTGCACAATGCTAAAATACGAGGTATACCACATTCGAATATTTTCCATTCATTTCATGATAGTGAGATTGGGAAAATGTGTTGTTTTCAGAATGAAAAGAATTTTAATCTTATAATGGTGCTATTACAGTATTTTATCTCAAATTGCTCACAATATTTGCACTATATGCTGCGTCACGAATCGTGTGATGTCTGCACTGATGTGTCGTAGATTCATTTGAATATTTTGATGCTTCCATCCTCACAACGGTAGACTTTCCAAAGATTATGAATTGTTATCGATTAGTTCATTGATATTGGTGAGGCTTTGAGTTAATCTTAATTCTAAAAACGTAAGCACCTACTGATATAAAGGTAACAACTCTCGAGGACTAAAATAGATCCCGGGTTCGTTATTCCTGTCGATAAAAATTATTTATAAATGAAATGATGAAGTCATCGATAGATACGATAAGATTCTGAGATACTTGGTGTCTACTGATTTGTAGTATTTTCATGTATTGATTGTTTCTTATGTGTATTGGTTAATGCATTCAACTGATTAGAGGATTGATGGACGGAGTGATGAGCGCGTACCATCAAAGTAAATGAAAGATTTCTTAGATGGAAATGTTCAATAGGAAATCTTTTATAGAATAAGTGAATGGAATGTGATTTTTCTATGCAACTTATTCTGTTGACATATTTCCCGTATTATTTTTTCGCCTCGAATATTCCAAGGTTTTTCGTCTGATTTGATTAATCAGAGGAGAAAACAATAGAGTAGGAAAAATGATGTGAAAACTATGTGTCAGTTCCTATCGAATATTTTTTATTAGAAAGCTGCATAGAAAAGCTGCTAAATTATTCTATTTGATGGGTGAAAATAGAATGTCCAATGAACAAATACCACGAAGCTAATAGAATTCCCAATAGGAGTTCAATTGAAATCCAATAGAATTTCCTAGGGAATTCGCCAGGTTTTTGTGCAAAATTTTTTTCTCCCGTGGAATATTGTTATTGTCGATTTGAGAGAATATTTCTCTCACCTGAAAAAAAACATTCAACGCCGAAAAATATCCATGGTCCAATCCAAACAAAAGCATCCAAAAATTTTCTACAATCTTATCTCTAGTCTCACCGGGCACAAATATAAAAGACGGTAGTTCTCCGCATTGAACCCCAGTACGAAGTATTTGAGTAGTGACGAAGCCACAATGTCTAGAAAAAAATTTTAACATTCAGTTCCTCTCCTGTTGTGTTGCAGTATCAGCCATTCAAGAATTGCTCGAATTGTGTGATTTAGTGTCACGCGCGAGCCAACCAATTAGAAGGAAGTTGAGAAAATTAACGTTTACACAGGGGAGATGACAACGGGTTTTTAACTAAGTGCGGTGAGAATAATTTCACGTCGTGATAAAAAGAAAAAACAAACCGACAATCAGATATCGGCTCCTCACCAATGAGCGAGGGGAGCAGTGGTTGGAAAAGACAAAACCGTGGAACGCGACCAAGAAACCGATATTGTTTTACCTCATTCGGGAGGAATCTGCGGTACAGATTGTGCACAACAATTGAACAAGGATTTTTTATCACGGAGCACTTCGGTATCGTTGGATACAGCCATGGGTTCGTACTTATTATTTATTACAATAATTTGCAATGTTCAAATTAATATTCTCATCATTATCTCAGTATTTTTGGAAACATTTTTTGAAATTTTGAAGTGCAATTACTGAACTGGTGCAATATCAATCAATTTTTTGGACTGAAATTCAATTTTTACTCGATTGATTTGGAGTTGAATTGATCAATTAATTAATTTATTTATTCATCAACAAATTGATTATGCCTATATGTGAGAGATATTTATGGTTTTTATAAACTGCATATACTGGCAGGGACGAATCAAATCATTTATGTGTTAATTCATTAATTTACCCAAACATGTAATCTTTTAATTAGTATTCTTCTCCTCTCACAATTTCATGATTTTCCAAATGAATTTTTGTGATTTTTAGTGTCTCTGGATGTAGTTTCAAAGTGTTATTAATAGGCGGGTGCTATTCCAATTGAATTCTTTGATTAAAATTAAATTTTCAACTAACTGATTCATTTGGACTTGAATTGATCAATTAATTAATCAATTTTGGTGGCGATTCAATTATTTTAATGTGCGACAGGTTCATTGCATTGATCGACTGCATATTCTAACAGAGACGAATCGAATTGCCTTCTTATAAATTAATTAATTTAGTCGTCTCCGTAATTATCAACAATTTTGTTTTTTAAATATTTCAAGGGCTCGACTTCCTGGCCGACGGAGGTGCCGACTTCGAGCATGCAATCACCGTTACGGGTGAGTAGAATTAAAATGAATAAGTTTTTCCTCCCGAAAAAATAAATAGCGAAGTATCACTGACAGAATGAATCGCGGTATTTCGAAATAATTAAGGATTTTTTTTTTCAAAAATACGATATGTATCTGGAGCGTGATAATAAATCACTGTGCCTCAAGGTAGGTCATGACAACGTCTGGCCCTAGTAAATATTTCCATGAATTAGTCTCTGAGGAAACATGATAATACGAATCAACGAAATAGTAATCAAACAGGTGTTTACTCGGCGAAGACCAGGTAGACGCGATATCTTGGTGTCATGTGTCGACTAGTAGTAAAAAACAACGCGCTCTCGTATCTCGTGTTTTTTTTTCTTCTCGAGAATTTAAGCCCGTGAGTGCGTAAGCATGCAAATACGTGACAAAGGTGTTAAAAACGAATCACCAGTAATACAAAATTTATTTATCAATTATTTAATCGGAAAATAAACATGTGGAAATTGACATTATTTTAGAATTTTCGTGACTGTTCTGCGGAAAATCAGTGACAAACAATGCAATCGGACGAAATGATTAGGCACGATGGAGAATTTTATGATATCTGTCTGAAGAATGTCAATTAATTCATCAATAGAAAATGAGTCATTCCCGAAGACACACAAGTATTCACTGGACGGTGTGTGACCCTTGTGTCATTTTTCAATATATTGGTTCTTTCGAAACATTTTCTTTTTATGAATGGGTAATGAAAATTGTTCCAAATTTCTGGAAACGTCATGTTTTTGTCGTCGGGGAGAATTCAAGGAATATTCTGGACTTGCAAATGCAATGACACTGAGAAGAAATATAATTCTCCCAATCAAATTTGTTTCAGACAAACAAATGCCTGAAATTTCCATACAAAATCGCTCTATAAATTCCTGTCGGAAACATATTTGATTGGCAGAATTATATTTTTTTCGTAGAGTGGAGATTTTCCAGTCGAAAGTTCATTACTTGCTAATTATTTATTGAAGAAAGTTCCAATTTTCACGATGAGTGGTCGCAACTGCATAATTATGTTAGGAATCTCTCTCGAAATATACACGCAAAACCCTATGAGCGGCATTGGAATCGTACCGAGCGGTATTACCCGACGGCGGGTAGTACCGCTCAATAGGCTCTGGGACTGTCATCCTTGCGTAACATCACACACGTAGTGGGGGGTGATATTCCCCTCATGCGGTGACGCTCGAGGAGCTAGAGAAGTGGAGAGTTGAGGAGAGTCGACTGTATGCGCTGCTCTTTGAACATTTCATAACTTCTTAAATTATTGCTATTAGGGCTTTCCGAACATCCTCTTTGGGAATCTTTGGGATAGCTTGACGATCTGGCGAAACCTGTTTTTTCATGAGAAAAGAACAGAAAACATTATTGCATTTGCAATTTTGTCGATTGAAAGTGGAAAAAATATCGTGTGACATCACAATCTAAGCAATTCCTCCCCCTTCTCCTCATCAAAACGTTACAAATTACTTCCCCCCCTCCCCCTGATTGTGGGCCGTATTATTTGAATTGATCTGATAAAGTAGAAAAAATTGAAATCTCTCCTTTCATTGAAAAGCGAAATAATTGAATAAAATTTTGATCACATACGCATACACACCCCCATACACCCAAACAAACCAACAACCGACTTCAATTATTTAAGACAAGGCGGAAGTTGCCAACTACTCTCATCAATGTCTCATAAGTGGGAACGAAAAGTTGAATATTATCACCATCTCCTTTGATCATCAATTTCAGGAGACGTCTCACATGCGAAAGGTTCCGAATTCAAATCCCGGCCGGGTAGAATGGTGCAATCTAACCATTTAAAGTCTTGATCATCATCGCAGTATATCCTAACCGGGTCAAAGTGATGTAAAATAACGATAAAAAAAAATTCAGAAGAAAACATTGGAAGGCATTTTCTGATGGCCATTTCATCAGCTAAAAAAAATATCTTCTCACATTTGCCCGCGAAATTTTTCATTTTCGAGATGAAAACAGTTGATCATTACCTATGTTTTATTCAACGAAAAATTCTTTGCACGGTGAAAAAAAATTCCAGAAAAATTACTGTGCCAGCACGGTAAAATGGGTTCGTTTGGACGGTCCCGGAGAAATTACCGTGCCATCACCGGAAAATTTGCTGTGGAGTACAAAATTTTTTCATGGTAAACCCGAGAAAAATTCTTGTAGCGCACGGCAGAAATTCCGGTGTTGGCACGGGAATTTTTCCGGGTCCGTCCAAATGAACCTGTTCTACCGTGGTACCACAGTAATTTTTCTGGAATTTTTTTCTCCGTGTGCGGCTCATGTTCGGCCTTGAACTCTTATCGCCATTCTTTAGGAAATCCTCTGGTGACACTGCTGTTATCATTGATAATGAAATATGATTTACTGTTATCTAACAGATTTTTTTTTTCCTTATCAATACATAGGATTCGGCAAGTTCCATTATATGCTGCTGATGATATGCGGATTAATTTACATGGATACAGCCATTGGGGTGACGATAATCTCGTTCGTCCTCCCAGCAGCCCAATGCGATCTACAGATGGATTCCACCACCAAAGGCTGGCTAAGCGCATCGCCAATGTTTGGTGAGAATTTTTTCCGGTCGAATTGCCTCCTATTCCTATTCTCCTTGTTAGTCGCAAATCTACTTAACTTTGAATTATCAATGCAAGGTCACATGACTTGCACGAGAAAGTCTGCCAGTAGATTTATGATGCAATTAGTACGACCTAGAAAATGGAAAATATTGATTCATTGAAGACCGAGGGAAACCCTAGGAAAACTTCCCTGGGATATTCGACGGCTTCTCAACAATTGTTTTTCTCCCTCTTGAAATGAAAATTGGAATTATTTTTTACGGTATTGTTTTTGTTAGGAATGGTCATTGGGTCCTACATCTGGGGGTGCCTGGCTGATACTAAAGGCCGAAAAATTGTGTTGATCGCTACACTGCTCATGGATGGGATTGTCGGGATTGTTTCATCATTCGTTCAACAATTCTGGCCGTTCCTGCTGTTGAGGTTCTTCAATGGATTTGCGTAAGTTCATTTCGACAATAAGTTTCTCTATGAAGAGTTCGTGAAGTTTAATCTATCCAATTTTTTCACATGTACCAAAAATTTTTATAGAAAAACCTTGCAAATTCGGTAGGGAATTCTATTGGATTTTTGTTGAACTTCTATTGGAAATTTTTGGCCGATTATATTGAAGAATTTCACACTTTTACTGCGCAAATTTTTTAAAGAAAATTTTCAATGGACTAGGGGGCTGCGCCCCCTGCTCGCTCCGCTCGCCAACCCGCATAATCCTTATTTTGAATCTTGTGATCCTTAGTCTGACCCTTGTGACCCTCATTATACCCCTCGTGACCCTTATTTTGACCCTTCATTTGTGACCCTTAATTTTGGAGTCTTCATTTCAAGCACCAAATTTTCATCACCAAAAGTCGATTTGGATTTTTACAATATAGAGAGATGTTGAGACCCTTATTGTAACCCTTCTGACTCTTAGTTTCTGACACCCATGATCCTTATTTGGATCGTTAATTTGTCCTTTGTGATCTTTAATCTGACCCTTGTGACCCTCTTTAGGATCCGTAATCTGACCCTCATCTCCTCTCGTGACCCTCTCGTAACGCTTATTTTGACCACGATGACCCTCGTGACCCTGGCCCTTGGTTTTGGCCCCATGCCCCTTATTTAGACCCTTACTTCGACCCTTGTGACCCTTATTTGGACCCTCGTGACCCTTATTCTGACTTTCGTGATCCTTATTTTGACCCTGGTGACTCTTATTCTAACCCTCATGACCCTTAATGTCGGAGTCGTTATTTGCAGTACCAAATTTTTATCACTAGAAGTCGATTTGGATTTTTATAATATAGAGTGCAACTATTTTATTAAAAAATCAGTAGAATTTCTCGTTTATATATAACTGTTTTCATTCAGAAATTTTCTGTAGGAGTTCCACCACAAGAATATTTCCAAAAAACCTTGGAAAATTTGAGACAAATCGAATCCTATTAATTTTGTCGGTAGAATATAAAAAGCAGATAAGCTGGGAAATTTTCCAATATAATTAGCACTAATTAAACACTAACAGCAAGTTCCATAGAATTTTCTGCCGAATTCGCTAGGGTTTTCTGTAAAAGCTTTTTGTAGATGCATACGTGCAAAAAATATTTTCTAAACTATTCACATTTCATTTCAGTGTAACTGGGGCAATGGGAATTTGTTTTCCTTACCTCGGAGAATTTCAACCAACCAAATATCGCGAGAAAATTCTTTGCTGGATGGAAATGTTCTGGACTGTTGGTGTTATTGTCCTCCCACGTACGTAGAAATGAAGAATTATCCCAGCACTTATAATAGTCATCGACTTCAATCAGAGTTCTCATGAATTCATGCAATTATTACGTTATTTTTCAGTGATTGCGTGGCTGATTGTACCACTGAACATCACCTATGAATCAGAATCTTTCTACTTCAAATCCTGGAATCTCTTTGTTGCCCTTTGTGCGCTACCATCCCTAATGCTAGCCCTCTGGCTCTTCGCTTTTCCGGAAAGCCCAAAGTTCCTTCTAGAGTGCGGGGAGACAGAGAAGGCTCTGGAGGTTTTCCGGTGGATTTACGCGCAAAATACTAGGAGTGATCCCTCTGAGTATCCAGTAAGTTCGCAATGAAGTAGTAGACTGTACACCAAGGGATCCTCGGCTTTGTCTTGTGTGACAATGCACATACGGGTTGGAATGTCCGGTTTTCCTCCCTAGGTGCACATTAGTATATTTCTAACCTAGGGAAATTAAAGGAGTCGCGCTCACGTGCGGAATTACTACCCGAGCCGAAGATGCGGGTGATAAGCACGTGGGTAAGGAGCCTTTCGTTTATCTCCCGTGGTTAGAACCAGGAAGCGGGAGGGAAATATGTACTTTGCACCCGCCGGAGCGAAATAGTATATTTCGTAACGAGTGCAAAAAAGTGTTTTTTGGCGAGTGGGAGGTTTATATCACGAGCCGAAGGCGAGTGATATCATCCCACGAGCTAAAAAACATTTTTTCACGAGTTACGAACAATATTTTTCATCACAATGTGGCGGAAATTCACTTTTCGTCACAGCGTGATGAAATAGTATATTTCGATACGGTTCCACGACTTTTCTTCTCCGACACTTTTTCCCCGATATTTTTTCCCAGACATTTCTTCCAATTGCCATTTCTTCCTTGTTCCTTTCTTCCGTGAGACGGAATTTTCACTACGCGTCCGTAAATCACTGCTTACAACCGTTACGACAAAAAATATTGTTCGTCACACGACCTAAAAAAACTTTTATATGATACGTGCGTGTAACCGCATGGGTTTCAGTTGACTATAGTCAACTGGAAAGTAGCGGGTTTCAAGCGTCTACACACACTCAACTGAAACCCACTGTTCTAACAGTTGAGTGTGGGTAGGCGCTTGAAACCCACTACTTTCCAGGTGACTATAGTCAACTGAAACCAGAAATAACGTATGACGCCCATGCGCATCACCTATTAAAAGAGAATAACAAGGAAGGAAATCTAACCTCCGAATAGTGAATACATGGAATGACTGAAAAATGAAAAGATGATTTTCGAAGCAGATAAAATGAGCCAAAATCGTATAATTCCTGATAGTGATGAAGAGTTAGGCAGTGAGGAGAATTTATTTACTGATGAGGAGGAGTTTATTGGTGATGTGACATTTGAAGAAAATGGAAATAAAATATTCTCCGATTTTTCAATTACGTTTTGTATCATATTTTTTTATAATTATAACTTTCTTTTTTTTGCGAATTCTTAATGATTTTTAAAAATTGTATTTTGTAATTATTATAATTAATTTTTTTCAATTAAAAATACTTTACAAGTTTTTTGAACTACATATTTAATGAATATAATTAATTTTTTCTTCAGAAGTTCCGCATAATTTTTAAATCACACTTTTTTATAATTATTTTTTAAAATAAATGTGATCTTTTTTCTTCAGTGGGGCGAAGCCCCCCACGAGAAACGGGGGTCCAGGGGGCGAAGCCCCCGGGGGGGTAGGGAGGGGGGCTCGCCCCCCCCCTCCGCCCCCAGACTTCATCACGCACTTATCATATAAAATAGTATACGCAACACGTGCGGACAGCAGGCAGTCTCCGCACTAGTTGCGTAATGTACTATTCTAGCTTATATTGTAGCCCGAGCCAAAGGCGAGGGTTGCAATCATATGAGCTAGAAAAGTTTTTTACCGTACTGACCTTCACTTTTCCCAGTCCAGGGATTGGTATTGACCCTTCCTCAAACTCGTAAAAGTGAAAATTACTACGGAAAAATATCGTTCACGACTAGTGCCAAGGGTTTTTTTATTCGCGTGATTGGCCAGTCCTCGCCTTCGGCTCGGACGCGAACTCCACGCGAGTAAAATACTCCATGGCTCTCGTGCTGAAATACACTATTTCGGCCGTGTGACGAACGCTATTTTTTGTCATAAAAATTTTTTCTGGCCGGAACGACAAAAAAAATATTTTGGAATTGCTATGAAAACCATTATTTTTAGTAAATAATGATATGAATAGTTGCCTTTGAAATGAGATGACTTTAATAATGAGTTTTTCTTCCTTCATTTGCATTTGATATTATTGATAAGTTGATTTATCCTTGTTTGTTGTCATTTATAGGTGAAGTCTCTTCAAGAAAAGACGAATCCGAAGGACAAAAGCACGAGAACCCTAAGGTTACATAAGCACAAAGATCTGAAGGTACTTTGCTCTGAAGTTTGGGATCTGACAAAAGCCCTGTGCAAACCACCCTATCTCAGGAATACTGTTTTAGCCTGCGGTATTCAATTTGGACTCACGAGCAGTTATTATACCCTTATGGTATGGTTCCCAGAGTTGTTCACAAGGTAATCCAACTATTCATCTTGTATATGAGTTGTTTTATTGTTGCCGAATGGAAGCTTTGTAATTGTTCAAATTTAATTTTCGGATTTCATGCGTTATGTCAAGTCACTATGATCCAAAAACGTTGAAAATTCAATTTTAGACCTCGTCCGTATGTATGTATGTGACCAAATTTTTCTTTAATTATTCACTAATGAATCCATGGAATTTAATCATTCTTTTTCAAATGGAGGTCATGTTGAGCGGTATCCATCGACATTAATTGAAATTTAATTCATATATTACTTTTAGTACTATTGGTTGTTTCACGATAATTAAAAACAAGTGGAAATTGCTCGTCTTCACATGGTATAGTTATTTTTGCTAGTAAATTAGAACACGCACGAAAAAATTGAATAGAAAATCGTAGTGCATTCGCCAGATAATTCTATTGAACATTTCAATAGAATCAGTCAAAAACTAATAGCTAATATATAATGGAAATATAATAATGGAAATGCAATAGAATTTCTTAGCGAATTTGCTAGGTTTTTGTATTAATTTTTTTCGTGCGTGCAGTGTCTTTCAAAATAGTCATTTTGCTCATGATTTTCTTCGATGGTATCTAATTCATTGCTTAGTTTATGTTATTAAATTAAATGAGATTTATTTTCAAACAATTATGTCGCTCCCTTTCTTGCTTTGTTACTTCACGGGGTAACATTCTCTTCCTTAACTACGTGGCATTTACTTCAACGAGCTATATTTCCCATTCGCATATCGGTGTTTATATTCTCGTTCAATAATTTCCTCCTTAGTGAGATTGGCTTTTTTATCGGCTGTACATTCCGCAGGTTTATCGTCTACATAAGCCACGTTTAGGTCGTTGTTGCCAATTATTATTAATATATATGATGAAAAATTCTAAATTTCAAAAATCATTATAAAAATAAAATCAACAGATACAGCTATCGTAATTATCGTTTGTTTATTGTGGCTTTGCTCCGCAGACGTTTAAAATTTTAAAAATAGTCCAGAGTCTCCAATTTTTGAGCTACAGAGGTTTTTTTTGTTTTCAAAATTTTTGAAAAAATGTGTGCAATAACAATTATGAATTAGTTTTTTGAAATTGGTCTCCTCCATAAATAATTGCGTTTTTAAATAAAAAATTACGCCATTCATGCATAATAGCCCGAAAAATGTTTTTGAAATAATTGAGAATATATTAAAAATATTTTAAGGATAATTTTTCTACCTATTTTACATGAATAGCGCAAATTTTTATATTAAACAAAACGAAATTAGCGATGTAGGAGTCGAATTTCAAAAAACTGATTCATAATTGTTATTGTACATATTTTTTCAAAAATTTGGAAAAAAAACCTCTACTGCGCAAAAATTGGAGGCCTTGGACTATTTTTCACATTCTAAGCGTCTGCTGGGCAAACGAACAATAAACAATTAATTTTGTTGCACTAATTATTCATTTTTAGAGATATATAATCGACTTGAATGCATGAGAAATCTCTCACTGCAATAGCCCGCGACTTTTAAAACTCAGAGTAATCTCTCCCCTTAATGAACGTATTATAGTGCGTAAACCGTGTTAAGCTTTGTCTATAAATGCTGCGCAGCTCGTCGAATTCGCTGTCCGACGTTAGTTTCTGATATGTAAGCCCTTCCCCTGAAGTTCCCGAAGATTGCAATCGATGATTCAGGAGGAAAACCAATCCCGCTGAGTTCAAAGCATAGAATATTACGTCCAGCATTTACATCCCTGTTCCGCAGAATTCCAGTTATTGCAAACGGCGAATGTGTGAGGGCGACGCTTCGCGACACATCTAAAGTTGCATGGACAATTTTACTACAGAATCGTTCGATGTCCCAATGAAATAAATTTTCATTTTCAGATTTGAAGAGTTTGAAGTTGAACATCCTGGGGAGTCCACCTCGGTCTGCATCGTATCACTCCCGACGAATAGTACCCAGGCGAATCCCTATGGATGTGGAAATATCATTGCCACTGATGTGTACCTGCATACTGTTTATATCGGTCTAGCTTGTATACCAGGATCCATCATTTTACCCCTCTTCATTCATAAAGTTGGAGCTAAAGTTTTTCTCAGTAAGTTGTGAGCAGTCATATACGTATTCGAAGTAGATCAATAATTTCATAAAGTTTAGATTAGAAATTTCATAAAGTAAAGATGATTAAAAACTGCACGGATTTATCAGGAAATTCCATTAGATTCGGATTCATCTGGTTTTTACAACGAGATCGAAGGCGCGGTACAGCGCGCTGTAATTGTAACAATCATAATTGAAAATCTCAAAATTAAATTAATCATGAATTAAATTTGCCGTCTCAGACGACTGAAACCAATCATATGGAATATTCAATCCTTGAAAATTCCATAGATTTGTTTCACGATTTCTATTTTTAAATTGGCAACAATACATTTTTTCAACATACGATTGACGGAACCTCACTCAAGCTCAATGGATTCATGATATCATTGGCTTACGGATGGATTCATAATCTTTCCGTATAAGTGACCATATAAGGATATTGTTTATTGAAATTTCTCAACAAGAATTTTCTATATTTTTTTTCATCAATTTTTGTCTGTCTCAACTTGAAGAATTTGAAAAATAACATTGGAAATTTATGCCGCCGTAATACTGGAAGGCCTTCTAGTCAACTGACCGATTAATCTATTTTTATCTCCACATTTCAGTTGCATCACTCGTCATTTCCGGTGCAGTAACCATCGGCTTTTATTTCGTCACAAGTTCCGATCAGAATCTCATTCTTTCCTGTATCTTCGAGGCCCTCACGTCACTGGGAATATCATTGGTTTACTGCGTAATTGTTGATATGTTCCCAACAAATTTAAGGTTTGCAATATGAGCATAACTCATTACTCTTCATTCAGAAATAAAATTAATGGATCATGAAACACACGAAGTACGAAATGAAAAATACATACAACTTCCTCATTTCTAGGGTAATGGCAGCCGCATTGTCTCTGACAATGGGAAGATTAGGGGCACTGGTTGGTAATTTAGTCTTCGGTTATCTGATCGATCTGGCCTGTGTCGTTCCCATCATATTGTTCGCAGCCTTTTTATTCAGTAAGTATAATCTTACTAGAAGGCTAAGCCCGCTGCTCGCCAATCCCCCTGTGGCCCCCATGACCTTTAATGTTAGAATCTTAAATTCGAGTGCCAAATTTTCATCACCAGAAGTCGATTTAGATTTTTATAATTTAGAGAGACAGTCTCGAATCATTTTTTATCATTGATAGCCGCAGCGTAGAAAAATGAATGGAGAAATAATTTCAGCATAATTATTATCAGAAATCTTCCATATATTCCATTCCGTATGCACCTATGAAAATATGATATAAAAAATTCTTAACCAAGAATGTAAATAAAAGTATTACTGGCGTGAATTAAAAATACAGAAATTCATAAATTCAAAAATTAATATATAGGTGAACATATTCCTCGGAATTGAGCAAAAAATATTTTTTAATAAAAAATTCTCACACTTTTAACTTAAAATATATAATACTCGAATATATAATATAATAAAATGTTAATGAATTTCTCTTCTTTTTTTTCAGTTTGTGGTTCCCTCTCATTCTTCCTACCGAGAACAGGAAAAGACACGTTGGACTAAGCGGAGTCAATAAAAATTTGAATCAAACAAAGATTTGTTCAACAATGCTCCGTCTCACGTTTCTAGAAAAACCGCATGAGCTACTGACATTCTCAGAACACAGATCTTCTTCACATCGACTCGAACGCTCCATATTATGGATAATATTACCATAACTCTTGATCGACACACACATGAAAAAATTTTCTAGAAAATCCTAATGCTCGCGTAGAAAATTCTATTCAATGATTTTATTGTTTTTGATAATTTCTATTGAAAATTTTCTAATAGAAACGTCCTAATTATTTTCCAAGTTTTCTTTCAAGGAATTTTGAATGTGAGAAGAAAATTCTAAAATTTCATTCTAAGGAATTTCTGCAAAAAACTGCCAGTAGAGTAAGTCGCATTGGAAGATCATAAATATTTTCTTTGTTTTTTAGTGATTGCTGAAGGATATTTTTCACTGAAAAGGAAACTCGAAAATTTTTTTTGGTCCCAACAGGATTTTCTGGATTTTTTTTTTTTTTTTTTAAGGAATTGTTTTATGTTTAGACATTTATTTTCTCTAATAGAAAAATTTGAAGTTGAAGGATTCTCGCCGAGCCTGTAAGTGTGATAGTTTACAAATAAACATAAGTATTTATTATCACATTTTTAGCTAATGTTAACCATAAAATATCTTAGGATCTCAAGAAAACTTCCAAAAAAATGTAGCTCGAATTAGAAACTTGCATAAGTATGAGATAGTTAAGATTACGAGACTTAGTGAAGAATATTGTAATATAGTTAGACCTATGTATTTTTTTTCTAAATATAATTTATTATCGCTCTTCAATGTGAACTTTCTTGAACCTTCCATGTCTGTCGAGTCATCAATGGTGATCAAACAAGGCGAGTTCGACAAACTTGTCCTCATTTGGACAACACGCCCCACCGGGCAAGCAGAAACAAATTATTTATTACAAAAGTGTGAGACTCACAATAATTTTTATTTATTTTTTCTGATTTTTCGACACTTGCTGCATTTTAACCTTCTTCATACCCTTGAAAAGTTGATTTTCTCATATGAATCAGTGTTATGTTAGCGCTTCTAGATTAATTATTATCAATAATACTAAATTGCTAATTGACCACAACCTTGTGACAGAAGATATTGTTTTTCCCTTCTCGTCGACACAATTTTCCCTCGTTCTCGGGGATCTCGTAAGCTGCTTTAGGGAAAATAATTATAAGCTAATTGTCGATTATTAATCCATTGATTTAGACGAAATGTTTCCATCTATTCCGTCTATTCACCGAGTATTGCGAATTCAAATCACCGTCGCCATATTCAAATTCAGATATCATCTGAGACGCAATCGCCAAATTATTGATTTATATTCGACAGCGTGAGCGACGAGCAACAAGTTTTGTGCACGACACTCTTCGCCCGGCAGCGAGACTATATAGTTGTCTCTTATATTCTATATTGTATATTATTAATTAAATTTATATTGTGTGGTAAGAGTCGATGCCCGAGAACGTTTAGAATCTTCTATGGAATAAATTGAGTGAATTGTCGACATAATAAGGCCCACTTTGTTAAACAACCATTTTGCGCAAAACACACACTAAATCCTCTCCGAAAAGTGATATTACAAAGAAAATATTACTGTTTCTGTAAGAATTCTTCGGCACAAATTTTCCTAAATTTATTTTCTTGGATTTTTCAGAGAGAAACAAGAAAAAAACAGCAGAAAACTTGGAGAATCAACGCCCGAGAATTTTCTACAAGAAAAATCCTAAGAGAATAGAAATTCAATTAAAATCCATCAAGTCCAAATTAGAATATTCTACTGAAATCCCATCTATCAAAAAATTTAATAAACATTTGTCGAAAAATGGCACCAATTTTTTTATAGAAATTGAAAAATCCTTACTGAAACCCTAGGTTTTCCTACTCGATCTTTTCATACATACCATTCCTCGGTCGAAGGCAAGATAATTTTTCTCACAACTAGCAAAAATCTCATGATAATTTAACAACTACTGATAAGAATATTCTTATAATATCCGCATGCACCAATTCGCATTATTCGAATATCTTCTGCTTGAACAACACATTGCACTCGAGACTTATTGGAATGATTTTTTTCTGTTGTTAATGGTACAATGACGCTGAATTCTCAGTGATATTCCACTTGATTAATTTCCTGTCGTCACTAATAATCTTCTTTTGCAAAGACTCAATTGACGCACCATTTGCTATAAGTCGAAATCAATTAGTTCTCGAGTTAATTTTTTCCCTGTTTGCACATCGATTTATGTAACGGGAGGGGGTCAATAACGGTCAATTACCGAAAATTGATATGTGTGGAGAATGAAACGTTATGAACAGGTCTTATACTCAAATATTCCCCAAGTGATACGAACACGAGACAACTTTAAATATTGGTTAACACCAGTCAGTGACTCGGCGAAAGTGTGCGAACGCCTGATGTTACTTTTGTTTACTCAGTTTTATATCAGAATGGAAATGGATAATAATTTTATCATCAGTGTATAGATTCTTATGCTGCTTCTCGAAGAGTTTAAAACTTAGTGCCTTGCTTTCATTTCTTGAATTCGAATAGTCCCTCAACCAACAAAAACTAATCATCTGTATAACTGATAATGTTTCATATAGATAGGTTTTCATTAACAGCCAGAATATCAGTCACATGACGTTTCGTAATGGTCAGGGGTATAACGATTTTCTTCACTATCGTATTAGTTCTCGAGCCGGTCGGGATCAGAATCGAGATCGGCGAGTGGTACTGAAAGAGTATCGTTTGAGCGTGTTTTTAAAAGAGAACAATCGGTGATTTTAATTATTGAATTTATCGGAATATGGGGGTGAGGACTGCAGAAAAAACTTGCGAGGAAGTAACACAGGATGCGCTTAATCAGACAGGTTTGATAATTGTTGCAAAATTTTGAATGATTCATTGGAACTTCTGGCGCGTTGGAAATTCTGTTAAATAATTCTACTAGTTTTCGTCAATTTTTATGGCATGTACCACGTGGAAAATCCATGTGGAGAGTTTTTGGTGAATATAATATATTGTGTTACTAGTGCGTAAAGTTCCACTTCCCGAGTGGAAATTCTGTTCAGGTCTTGATCAGAAACTGATCAAGTCCGATCCGAAATTCTGATCAGGCGTGTTACGCCTCTGCCTTAGGATTTTCCACTAGGGTCGCTCTTGATTTTTTTATTAATCTTGATTTTTTTTAGATTTTTCCTAGATCTTTCAAACTTATCATTATTTCGATTTATGCTGGTGCGACGCGGTGGTTACGGCGCGCCGTGTGAAACGAAGAATTCAAATAGAATTGTTTCCAAAATATTTAGGGATGGAAGAGAAACAACGGATATCTTCCTGATGTCTTCTATTCAGGCCCAAAAAGACATCTCTTTTATCTCTTATAGATTCAGAGATATTGTGAAAATGAAGAGAACAATTTTTCTTCTGTTGTAGGTTTTGGAGTGTTCAATTTGAAAATATTCGCAACTTGTGCATTGATATGCATCAATGGAAGTCTTGGATTGGGGAATGTGGGGTTGATAATACCAGCAGCAGCGTGTGATTTCAAAATGTCGACTGTCGCCAAAGGATACATGGCAATGATGCCGGTTCTGGGTAAGAAGGTTTCATAAGTCCGGATAGGATCAGATAATTACTTCAATAGAATGACGAGACAATTCAAAAACACTAAAACAATGTTTGATAAAAAAATATTGGACTTTTCGAAGGCATTCACGCATGAAAATATCCTATAGGATTCCCCATCGGATTTTTCCCATAGGATTTCATATGAGATTTTCAATAGGATTTTTTATAAAATTTAGGAAGACCGTCATAAGGCTCATATATGACGCTTATATAACTTTCATGTGATCCTCATATGACCTTTATATGACCCCTATATGACCTCCATATCCCGCTTATATGACCCTCATATAACACTTTTGATCCTCATTCTGACCCTTATGACCCTAAATTTTATAGAAAACCCTATTGAAAATTTCATATGGATCCCATAGGAAAAACCTGATAAGAAATCCTTTAGGAAATCCGATAAGAAATCCTATAGGAAATTCTATCTAAAAAATCCGATAGGAAATTTTCGAATTCCCCGTAGGATTTCCAATAGGAAACTCTATATGATTTTTTCGTACGTGCTGTCAATTAAAAAACTCCGGACTCTATTAATAGTGCCCCGAAATTTTGTCACTTCACCTGAAAAAATAAGAATTGACTATGAACATTCCAGCGTATGCTTGTTATTTTCGGATTGATCAAGGTTCCCAACATTCAGGCGAACTACTAAATCGTTTCATAGAATGATGACGTTACAAAACCAATCCATTTTCTCTAATAGTATATTACGTTACAAGTATGAAAAAGGGGGAATGTTAGTACGAGTGGGGTAATGTTTTTAGGGAGAGTTGTAGGACACGCGCAGCCGAGCGATAGACGAGACAAGCCGAGGGAGCACGAGTCGAGCCGAAGGCTCGAAAGAAAAAATCATGAAAGAAAAATGAAATGAATCTGAGATGGTCAGGGTTTAAAACGGTCGAATTGACATGGAATGCCCCAAAAGTAAAATTTAATTTGACACGAGTACTAATTCGATTAAGATAACTCAAATTTTTAAGTTGTTCAAGTGTGGTTCTCGATTACTATGCTCACCCTGTAATTTTTAATTTCATATTTTCTCTTTGAGGACCGGGACAACATGAAATACTATCAGAAAAGACTATTTAAACTATTACATTGGAACAATTTAATTAAAAACTACTACAACTTTTTTGACACTTCAATTGGAAAAAAATTATTTTTTATTTTTTTCGGTGAAACCAGTCAATGGCAATGAAACAAAACCGACGAGCTGTGGCGTTTCCTTCATATAGTCAGCAATCTAGAGTTAAGCCCATTTAATCATTATTCCTCAAGGACTTCGCCTATTTTCCCTAGCAAAAAAAGTGTTCATTATTCAAGTCAGAAACCCTGATTTGATATTCATAGGATTGAATTAGGTCGAAAATTTGCTCATGTTAAGTGATGTTTGTCGACTTGGATCAAGCGTCTCCTAAAAATGGGACTCGTAACATAGAATATTTTTCATATTAGTAAGATACAGGCATTTTTTCATCAAAAAACGAATTCTCCTGATTTCTAAATTTTTATTTACTTCAAGGAATGGTGTTTGGACCGTATTGCTGGGCAACACTAGCAGAGATGAAGGGCAGAAGAATCGGCCTAATCATTTCCCTCATTTTTCACGGAGTCGGTGATATAACGGCCTCGGTCATTTCAAATTTCTGGGGCTTGTTAGTGTGCAAATTCCTCGTAGGTTTTGGATTCAGTGGACAATTTTCACTTCTGTTCACCTATCTGGGAGAATTTCAACCTTGTAAAGTTCGAGATCGTTTACTGGCATGGCTGGAGCTGCCCTGGGTCAGCGGGTTGCTCATTACTGCAGCACTTGGTTGGGCTATCATGCCTCTCAACATTAATTACGAGAGCGCAACTACAGGTTTCTTTTTCAAGTCTTGGAGCCTTTACTTATTGATATGTGGATCATTGTCACCAATTCTTGCCCTGTGGATTGTTTTTCTGCCGGAGACACCTAAATATCTTGCTGAAACCAGACAGCACAAGAAACTGCTGGAGCTTCTTGGGGATATCTATCATGCCAACACGGGACAGCCTAAGAAACAATATCTGGTAAATTGTAGTTAGTAAATTGTAGAATATTTCAACAATGAACGCAATGAACCCTGATCGGCCAAAATCAGAATTGCAGAAATTGTCCTCCAAATACCATTGAAATTCATTGGATTCATTGAAATTCATTGGATATTTCCCTCAATTTTTCCTGCATATCAACGATCGGAATCAGTTTTGCAGTAAAATTTCAATCTGCAAAAATATCCGATCATTTCGAAGGTCTTGGAGCATTATACCTGATAAATTTTACCGTTCAAATTTCGGTCAACTGAAATGTACTGTAAGACGAAATTGACGTTTAATATGTAGGTAGTCTGGAAAATTGTCAGAAAAATCATTGGTTGGATGTCATTTAAGTTGTATTATAATTTACCATTGATGACTAAATGGTACAATTCTAGTGGCTGACATTTGGATGTGAAAAATTATCACCAGAAGAAAAAATCGATGAAGTTAATATACTCCGAAGTTAATATGTGTAGTCTATTTTCTACTAAACTTAAACGTTTAGGAGTTCTTAGACGGGAAAAAACGACGAGTAAAAAAACAGTGGAGAAAAATGAGGAAATTCTTGCTGAGGAATTTCTATATATAGAATTTAATAGACTAAGTTGTGTAGAAAAATCATGAGTCCTTCGATTACGAATGATTGTTCATCACATCTGTTTCCACCCCAATTTTTTTCTGGAAGCACGTGTGAAAAAATTTCATTATTTCCTGGACGAATTACAGTGGATACTCCCTATCATTTCCCTTCTCTAAGATTTCAGTCGGAGAAGTTGACTTCCCCCACCATTAACAATCTGAGCATGTGTAAGTAGTATGTCCGCTCCTCTGCGCGACAGGAATGTGCAGTAGGACTACTGGCGATATGGGAGGATTGGAGCAGAGCGATTCTCTCTCTATCTCTGTCCCTCTTTTTCCTCAGTCAACTTATGATTTCCCGATTATTTAAGTCTTAAGGTATATCCCAAGACAATCGGACCCAAAAGTTAGTCCCTATGGGTTTCTGGAAAAAATTCGAAATAACTTAATTTATTGCATTCTCATAAGTTATTGAATTTTTTTATTCTCATGTGTTGTTAATGCAAGTAGAAATAACTGTTTGAGTCAAATAAGAAATTATTTGTTTATTAATTTTTTGATTCAAATAAGGAATGCTTTCACGAAATTCCCATTTTTAGAGCTGAATATCGCAGAAACTATGTAGTACAAAATTTTACAAAAATTCATCGTATCCGGAATTTATCAATCTATCACGGATTAGTTTTTAAGAACATCGTAAGAACCGTTTTCTTATAAGATGGAAAAATCGAGTTCAGGAGGACCCATAACCCCTGTTTGATTTGTGCCTCGCGTATTAAAAGCCCGCACTACATTATTTATTATCTCCGAAACTGTGTAGTACAGCTAGTTAGGATTCTTTTCAATAGCTAGGGTTTATAATAAATCCGATCTTAAGAAAAGCGTGTTTTCTAGGAATATACCTTAATCCCCGATCAATCACTCAATGAGCGCAGCGCCACGCATTTTGATTTTTTTATATTTTAATATGTTTCTTGACGCTTAAAAATTTTGAAAAAATTAGAGTTTCTAGTTCAATCCTTTTATTAAACGTTGGCGTTGTCCGTTTTTTCTCGAGAAATTTTTTTAGCTAAAAAAAAGAAAAGAAACGTCAAACGGACAGAAAAGCGGCGTCACGCCGCCCGGCACAAGTGAGTCCCTGTCGACCGCTCGAGCGGCAGTGTTGCTACATTCGCTGTCTTATTTGGAATGCGCGTATAGCGTTGAGCACCAAGGTGGCAACAGCGCGCTCGGTTTAACTCAGCTGTGCCGCGCTAACCGTGCGACGGATGAAGGTTGACGGCCGAGCGCGAGTGAGGAAGGGTTAAATTCGTGGAATCCCAAATTTGAAATCTTCGGGAGTACTCACTTTGATGAAAATTCAACTAAAATTGATGCAATTCGATAATAATATCGGAATTTTCGTCTTCCAAATTTGTTTCATGCCACAGGACAACATCAAAAAATTGGAAAATCCAGGTCTGAATCACTTAATAGCCAAAGCTCAAGAACACACAGTACCAACTCATAAAACCATTCGTCAAATGATGTCGCAATATATGGAGCAGACCAAGGAGATCATTAAACCTCCATACTTGAAGACAACGATTCTGATGTCTATAGCTTCGTACACTGTAACGGCTCCATATTACACGCTCATTTTTTGGTTGCCGGAAATATTTCTGAGGTATTCGATATTCGAGGAATTACATCCAGAGAAAACCGCTAGTGTCTGTACAATTTCGAACGTCCTCTACGCAGCCAATGCAACTCAAGTAAGAGAAAGATATTTATCCGAAGAATTTTTTTCCGCAACTAGAGAATAATGAGAATTGCATTTTTCAGAAAAAGGAGATGGATTATTCCGATTGTACTGAAGTACTCAGTGAAACTGTTTATTTTCATAATATGATTTTGGGTGCAACATCCGTTCCAGTTGCATTTTGGCTACCACTTTTTGTTGACAGATTTGGGTACAAAATACACTTAGGTAGATTTTCAAAATTATCTTTGCTGTTTATATGGAGGGTGTTTGATTCTAGTCAGTATTGTTTAACGCTTCGAAACTTTGTAAATTGTTTTTCCATTTCTTAATCCAATTCTATATCACCCGAAGTGTATTTTGAATTTTATCGTATAGTGAGATTTAGAACATTATGATTATCCCTAATACTATTATTACTATTTATTATTATTACTATTATTACTGTTATCGTTTTTTTACTCGTAAATCATTGAGCGGCCCTCGCGGGTTCCGACTTCATCTCGAAGACCGCCCAGCAAGTTAAGCGATACAAACTTTTCCTAATCGCTCTACAATAGTGCTCCCTGTCGGGTGTATGGCCGAGTGGGTAAGGTGTCCGCCTACAAAGCCAGAGGTCCTGGGTTCGAAACTCGGCACCGGCGAATTATTTCTGGATTATTTGATTTAGTCAAATAATATAAGGACACCATCAAGTATACGTTGTAACAATGAGAGAAACCCAATGTGTTAAGCATATTCGAATCATGTAAAAATACAGGATCTACAGTTCCACGTGTTTCGAGAACCTAACTGACTACAGTTGATTCTCACCTTCGAATTACTGTCGATACCATCGTAACCTATATAGGCTACAGAGGAAATAGTCGTGAGTTCGAACGACAATAAAGAGTCGCGAACCCGTCGCTAATGACCTAGCTGTCGATGCGACGTTAAGACCCAACAAACAAACAAACAATAGTGCTCCCTCTAACCAGAGGGTGAGCTCTGCTGCAGTCCAGAATCATGCTGCCTAAATAGACGGAGGAACCCAAGGATGGATGACAGCCTTTTGTTCTTATTATCGTTATTTTTTTTCCTGGTAAATGAGATCGCTGAGTGATAAAGCTGCCGCAACCAATATGTTCGCTGTTCCAGTGCTTCTTTACTCCTTTGGCATGCTCAAGTGGAGTAGAGATGAAGCGAAATAGCTAGACAGAGATACCCGCACGCTGATGAACATCTACAGGAGTCTGCATCTACGCTCTTCGTGTCCGCGGTTATATTTTCCGCGAGAGAGTGGGGAACGAGGACGTCTCAGTTTGGAGTCTCTTCGTCTTTCAGTCTACTCAGGTAGCATGACTCTGGACTGCAGTGGAGCTCACCCTCTGGTTAGAAGGAGCACTAGTGTAGAGCGATTAGGAAAAGTTTGTATGGCTTAGCTTGCTGGGCGGCCTTCGGGGTGAAGTCAAAAGTTTCCATTTTCACAACATTATTACAATGAATTTTGATGGGTTTTTTTGCTCAAGGTCTCAAATATTTTTCCTATTTTCAATTTCAGTGGGTGCTTCCTTATCAAGTGCGGTATTAGCTTTTGGTTTACTGATCGTGGAGACGTCGACGCAAAATTTGATCATCGCATGTTTATTTGAAGCACTGGCATCCGTGAGCATAACAATAGTACTCTGCACTGCCGTCGAACTTTATCCCACTCATCTTAGGTATAATGAAAATGTCTGTCAATGAACAGACGGAAGAGAATCACTTGACATTATTTATTGAACATTTATTGAATCTACCAGGGTTATTGCCTCTGCACTTGCTGCATTCGTGGGGAGAATGGGAGCTTTTGTCGGTATTTCAATGGTTGGTTATCTTATCGATGACTACTGTGTGCCCTTGATCTTACTCATTGGGTCGCATCTAGTTGGTATGTAATTACAAATATTAATAATAATGAATAGGTTTTTTTTTTCATATGAGTGACAATTTGATCGCTTCAAAGTTCGAGGAAGTTGACTCTCCGGCTATATCAACTGATAATAAGGTTATCACTGTGTGACTTTCATTGTACAGATTAAAAAAAAAAAAAAATTTGTTTTGCTTTTCTAAATTTACAATGTGGAATCATTAAGGGGCATCATCGGATTCTACACCAGCAACGTCGACGTCGTGAATCCTGATATCACTCTCTCATAATCAGAATTTTCAAATATCACTTTTTTATAATGTGATCTTTCAATATTTAGTTATTCATATGTTTTCAGTGGCTGGCATTTGCGGCATATTCATACCAATTCGCAAAACAAAGGAGGAATTTGAAAAACGAGAAAAATTGAAGGCTAAGTTGGCAGAGAGTACGAATACCCAACTGTGATGATTTCAAAAACTAATACCAGTACTATTTTTATTTTATGAATACATGTTATTTTTATACACTTATAATTCAACTCACTCCTGTTATTTGTATGGACATTCGAACTGGTGACCCTTTGTTTCTGACCCTTGGTTTTTGACTCCCATGTTCACTATTTGGATCCTTACTCTGACCCTTGTGACCCTTAATCTAACCCTTATGGGCCGTATTTGCACCCTCACTCTGAACCTTAATTTGACTCTTGTGATCCTTAATCTGATACTCGTGACAGAAACCCGGATTGAAAAGGAATTCGCGTCTTGAGGAGGTCTGTATGTAGAATTATTTGACGGAACAAAATAATACGCAAAATTTTGATGACATTTCGATTGATGATAGTACTAGGAAACAAAAAAATAGAAGACAATAGTCGAATAAGGATGAAAAAAAGGAGAATGCGTTCGGAAGCAAATTGCTAATTTATTACCAACAATAACTATACTCATTTACGAAAAATTATCTACTTGTTTGACTCAAACATTCTGACCCTCCCTATTCGTTGTCAGAATTCTCGTATTTTTATGGAACATTCGTTGTTCATAAGGTAAGTGTACGTAAAGTAATTTACGACGATTGTGAGCGTATAATTTACGCATCCGAAAGCGTAACAGACGACTTTTCAAAAGTAATTTGTTTAGATTTTTCTGTGTGCAGTCAATATTCAAATAACTAACGGTGGAGAAAGGAATATGCCTTATCCCTTGCCTTTTGTAGGGAAAAATGGTGGAATTTTTTCGTCCAAATCCTCTCTTGTAAATCTCAGTCGGAAATGCTGAACCATTTTGTTTGAAGAGCTGAGAAAGGGCTACCAAAGAAAATCGAATTAGTTTTGTGTAATTACTTTGTTGAACCATAACGGAATTTTAAAGTCAATCCGCAAAGGATGAGGAAATTGATAGCAAGACAGAAAAAGATACCGTAGAAAATTGAATAAAATTGCTGAGACAAAAACGTGAATATCTTGAAAACTAGAATCGACAAAGTGGTTCCTTCTCATGCGGACGTCCACAACTGATGAATGACTATCAGCCAAAGAAAGAATTGCATTTTATAAACTGCCCCCAAGAAAATGTGACGTATTCGCAAAGAAAATAAACAAAAACTAAGGATTATTTTCTCGTTTCGAGAAAAAGAGAGACCACGGCAATATAAATTTTCAACGTTAAATAAATGTTGTGGCCCTGAAAAGGGCCGATTTTTATTGAGTCATTTACGAGCTGCTCTTCTCCGTCTTTTTCGGAAGGAGAACAGCCTGGATGTTGGGGAGGACCCCACCTTGAGCGATGGTAACTCCAGACAACAGTTTGTTCAACTCCTCGTCGTTACGGATGGCCAACTGGAGATGTCTTGGGATGATTCTGGTCTTCTTGTTGTCACGAGCGGCGTTGCCTGCCAACTCGAGGACCTCAGCAGCCAGGTATTCCATGACTGCGGCGAGGTAAACTGGAGCTCCAGCACCAACACGCTCTGCGTAGTTTCCTTTACGCAGGAGACGATGAATACGACCCACTGGGAACTGAAGGCCAGCCCTGGTAGAGCGAGTCTTGGACTTTCCCTTTACTTTTCCACCTTTGCCACGGCCAGACATGTTGCAGAAAATTAGTTCAACGTTGAGTCACTGAGAGAACAATGGAGAATGAGTTGAGCTCAATAAACTCGCCTCTTTATAGCTTCGCACGCTCACGCCACCGAGCCAATCGGAACAGTCAGCGGAATGGACGCGCGCACGGCTCCTCCGATTGGCTCGGCGTCGTGTGCGCCGATGCTACTAACTCAGCGACGATTCTAACGCCACTCACATTTTTACGGTACTCTCTAGTCTGTAATAACTGTACTTCAAACATCATGCCGCCCAAAGCCAGTGGTAAAGCCGTGAAGAAGGCTGGAAAGGCCCAGAAGAACATCACCAAGACCGACAAGAAGAAGAAGCGCAAGAGGAAGGAGAGCTACGCCATCTACATCTACAAAGTCTTGAAACAAGTTCACCCTGACACTGGAGTTTCCAGCAAAGCCATGAGCATCATGAACTCATTCGTCAACGACATCTTCGAGAGAATTGCCGCTGAAGCTTCACGATTGGCTCACTACAACAAGCGTTCCACCATCACATCTCGGGAGATTCAGACGGCTGTTCGTCTCCTTCTCCCCGGAGAGTTGGCAAAGCACGCTGTGTCTGAAGGCACCAAGGCTGTCACTAAATACACAAGTTCCAAGTAAAGTGGAACAACACTACAATCGGCCCTTTTCAGGGCCACAACATTTTTATAACGTTGATAATTCAATTAGTTCACTTATATTATCTAATTATTACCATCAGTGACCCGGTTATGGAATCAGCGTTACATTTAGCCGAAAAGCCATGAGATCCTGTACATTTACTGTAATGAACGAAGGTAAATGGAAACTATGGACTATACACTTTCTTTGAAGCTAAATATATCCAATCATCTAATATTCATACTTCTTAGTTATTGAAACAATACGATCCCATAACTGGGTCACCGACGGTATTGCCATGATAATTTTCATCATGGTCATATATTACATAAATTATTATTATATGAATTTGCACTCTTATATTCATAAGGGGCGTTATTATTTTCATTTTAAAAATAAAATCTGTTTCGCAATTTCCGTCTTATAAGAATTATAATATAAGAATGAGTTAAACTTGATTTGTACGGCGCGGGTTCTAAAAGAACACTGCATATATAGTCGTGAGGTCACGTGACGTTTCTGTTGCAGTTGCTGCGATCGATAACCTGACAAATATGTATTAAAAAACAATTTGTGCACAGCACTTGTTGATTATTCGTTTTCAATAATAAGAATTGCGTTGCTAATTTTCTTTGCCATTTTCTTCTTAATAATAATAAAGTGGGTGTGTTATGTCGTTTATTTTATATAATATATTTTTATTTTTGAGGTTATGTAGAGGGTACGCAGATCCAATAGTGTTACGAATTACTTGGATATATTTATTAACGTATTTATTATGCTAAGAATCTTTAATTCAGCGGCATTGGAATTTTTTATGTTATGAATAAACAATATAATGTTCATTAACTCACCAAAGTTGTATAACGTTTCAATATTTGAGTTTATAATTTTATGCATCTCTCATTTGATTCCAACACAAACTTTGTCTTTGGTATGAAGAAAAATTAAAAATCTAAATTACACTAGTATAAAACAGGTTCATTTAACATAATTATTAATGTGCGTTGTCTTTCATTCCCAAGTAAATTCAGTAAATATTCAATTACTATTATTATAGCATAATGAAATACGATATAGCGAAGATTTAATTTCTACGTGATAAGAATGTGGTGGCCCTGAAAAGGGCCGATTGTTTTTTGTTCCGTAAAGTTGAGCTTAACCTCCAAATCCGTAGAGAGTACGTCCTTGACGTTTCAGAGCATAGACCACATCCATAGCCGTAACGGTCTTCCTCTTGGCGTGTTCGGTGTAAGTGACTGCATCACGGATGACGTTCTCAAGGAACACCTTGAGTACACCACGAGTCTCTTCGTAGATGAGACCAGAGATACGTTTCACACCACCTCGACGAGCGAGACGACGGATAGCTGGCTTGGTGATTCCCTGGATGTTATCACGAAGTACCTTACGATGGCGCTTGGCTCCTCCTTTTCCCAATCCCTTTCCTCCCTTGCCGCGACCAGTCATTTTACTTTAGTTCAAAGAACACGTCAAGACTGAATAAACTAGCAAAAGCTTGTGATGCTTTTTCGACGAATGGTCGTGGTTTTATAGACGTCGCGTAGCGCGTTCTCCCACCACTCGGAAGTGCACCAATGGCGTGTCGTCAGTGAGGTATCCCCACTTCACTCTACGAACCAATCACAGCCACGTACGGTGTTATATATATACCGGGTTGATAACTCGGAACTTTACTGTTTTGCTGCAAACTTTGAAAGCAAGTCTCTGACGCAATGGCTCGTACCAAGCAGACTGCCCGTAAATCTACCGGAGGAAAGGCTCCCAGGAAACAGTTGGCCACCAAAGCCGCTCGTAAGAGTGCGCCAGCAACTGGAGGAGTCAAGAAACCCCATCGCTACAGGCCAGGAACCGTAGCTCTCCGTGAGATCCGTCGTTACCAGAAGAGCACTGAGCTCCTCATCCGTAAACTTCCATTCCAACGACTTGTTCGTGAGATCGCCCAGGACTTCAAGACCGACCTGAGGTTCCAGAGTTCAGCTGTAATGGCTCTTCAAGAAGCCAGCGAGGCTTACCTCGTTGGTCTCTTCGAAGACACCAACCTCTGCGCCATCCACGCCAAGAGAGTGACCATCATGCCCAAGGACATCCAGCTGGCTCGTCGTATTCGTGGAGAGAGAGCTTAAGTTGTTTCAACTTAAAGTAAAACAAATCGGCCCTTTTCAGGGCCACAAATTCATTTCAACTAGTAAAACAAAATCGCTAAATCCTAATCCATTTGAGAGAGAAATATAACGTACATGAGAGAGATTCCAACAATAAATTGAATGGCTGTATTCATCGGCAATTAAGTAGTGATTTCAATATTTACGCAAGTGTAACCGCACTTGATACAATTCAGCATTTTGAGACAAGAAATTCCGTAGTAACACCCGATGGTAGTCAGTGATCCAGTCATGAAATCCGTAAGAAACGGGACCCACTTATAATTTTTAATAATTTAGAGGCATTGTTGAGTGGATGTTTTTCGCTTCAGAGAAAGTGTACAGCCCATTGTTACCATTTCAACAATGAGTTTGTTCATTTCTATACGAGAGTTTCCGAGTTCAAATCTCGATCAGGAAAGTGATGAGATCTGACTATTTGAAATCCTAATTATATTTCGCGTCATATTGAAATCGAGTCAGAATAATGTCAATAGTAAATAAAAATTACACAGCTACATCAGTAAATTGCCATCCGCATTTCAAGCCATAAAAAGGATTAAGGAATATTTCAGACGTGGATTCATTAGCGATCGAGAATTATTACGTTTATAAATAATTATTGGCCCTGAAAAGGGCCGTTTGGTTATGATCATGGTTGAATTGAATTGGTATATTCAATTCACTTCTTCTGGGCTGCTTTCTTAGCTGCTGCTTTGGCTTTTGGAGAACCAGCATTCTTCGGTTTGGGCGCCTTGGGTTTAGCAGTTGGTCCTTTTGTAGCCTTCTTCGCCTTCGGGCTTTTCGGCTTGGCCGCAGCTTTCGCTACCTTCGGCTTCGCGGCTTTCTTCTCAACTGCTGGTTTCTTCGCTGCTGCTTTCTTCGGCGAAGCTGTTTTCTTGGCTTTCGGTTTTGCTGTTTCGGTTTTCTTAGCTACCTTCTTGACCGCAGTCTTCTTCGGTGATCCTTCCTTCTTGGCAGCCGCCGGTTTGGATTTTGGCTTCGAAGCGTCGGTCTTCTTCACTGCGAGCTTGAACGATCCAGACGCACCATTTCCTTTGGTTTGCACAAGAGTTCCAGCAGTAACTGCGGACTTCAGGTACTTCTTGATGAAGAGTGCGTGCTTTGTGGTGTCGATCTTGTAGTTTGCAGCGATGTACTTCTTGATAGCCTGGAGAGATGATCCATTGCGCTCGGCAAGGGTCTTTACAGCGGTATTGACCATGTCAGAGGTGCTGGGATGAGTTGGTTTAGGCTTTGGGTTTTTCGCCTTAGTTGCTTTCTTGGCAACCTCTGCCTTCGCGGGGGCAGGAGAACCCGTTGCCGAAGCAACTACTGGTGACGCAGCTTTGTCAGTCATCGTAAGTTCACGTTTACAAATTGAAATATTTTCAATCAAACAGAATTATTCTTATGAGAGCGCCAGGATCTCGGCGGAGTGACTAGGAATTTGAGCGCGGACCATGGAGACAGGCCCGGCGATACAGACACCGCAACCTCGCCATCCCAATACTGCAAACGGTGTCTTATTCTTGGTAGTCTAATTTTTTTAGGGTTGTTTTAACAACAATAACACTTTCTCCAGCATTACATAATCTTTAGAAATGTCTAATTAAGCTATAACATTTTAGTTTTCATTCGCGGTATTCGAGAATGATGAACAATTGCTCGAAATGTTGCTCTCGTACTTACGGTGTTTCGGGTGCTGCTGCGTTTAAACATTTGTGGAATAAGCAATCTGTGTAATTTTGTCATTTCAGCATTGTGACAACATGCTATGATGATTAACGAATGTAGAGGATACTCAAGTTTTCAGAAAAAATGACAGTTGATACGGAATTTTGACGCGTTAATGTGTCGAGTCCGACCAGATCGAAAATGCGCATTTAAGGAGATATTGCGTACAATATGAAGTGAGAAAATATAGAAGAGTAAAATACAATCTTGATAATCAACCTATTTTTTAGTGTAATACCCTTTCTAGTAGTTATGGAATTCGATTTTACAATTGGTTTTCGGTACTTCATGGAAACACCGAATGTGAAGAGGTGGAATGCTGCGCGTGATAATGTCAAAGCAGAGCATCCGTTTAGTTGGGTAATTTTATTATTTAATATCAATGTAATGATTTCATTATTGTTATATACGAGTCGTTACAATTTTTTTTCGATAACGTTTTAGGGTCTTAATTCATTTCAAAAGAATTTTTTTTTTCAGAATGAATTTGAAAACGGATTGAGTTTGTTACGCGTGTATCAGAAGAATCGGTTTGGAAGGAAGGTATTCGTCTGGTTACGAATAATGCGATGTTTTGTCATTTGCAATATCTTTTTGTGATGTAATATAGATTGGTAAGATATTGCGGTAATTTTTAGGGAAGTTTTCCTTCTTCTGTAGGTAAAAAACGAACTAGCGTGTAAATGTAAAGTGTAGAAAATCGCTCTGACGGCCATTTAACATTGGGCGTTAAAAAAAATCGTCGATAACGGTAATTTTGTGAGTGACCTGACTATTTGTGAAGAAAACCGTCATTTTGCATCACCATGAGTCCGAGTGGCAGCTCATTGATTTGAATGAAGTTTTCAGAGTTTTATATTTCTTTGGAAAAACCGAACGAAGGCGGTTCGATCACTGGAAAATTAACCGCATATGATCATTGTTATTTTAAAACTTGAATTTGAAACGGAGATATGTGAAATATTGGGTAGAATCAACGTTACATGAATGAATGTCCGTATATTGGGTGTAGATTTCGATTCACATTGGGTGATAAATTTTTAAGGATGTCAATCTGTTGATAAAGAGCCCGTTTCGGTGGCTAAATACTTTGAAAATATGGAAAACAATTGTGGCTCATATTCTAAACTAAGATGATGGCGTGAAATTTTAGTATACAACTTTATACTATTATAAATTGAAAAAAAAATCAACAGAATGTAAGTCGTGATGTTGACATTCTAAGCGAGTCAAATGAATATTTAATTCAATGCAAAAATAACATGTAAAATTGAGTATTTCTTCGTAAAAGCGTTTGGTGGCCCTGAAAAGGGCCGATTGTTATTATTGAATGATTTAAGAGCTGCTCTTCTCGGTCTTCTTGGGAAGGAGAACAGCCTGGATGTTGGGGAGGACGCCACCCTGAGCGATGGTGACTCCAGACAACAGTTTGTTCAACTCCTCGTCGTTACGGATGGCCAACTGGAGATGTCTTGGGATGATTCTGGTCTTCTTGTTGTCACGAGCGGCGTTACCTGCCAGCTCAAGAACCTCAGCAGCCAGATATTCCATGACTGCGGCGAGGTAAACTGGAGCCCCAGCACCAACACGTTCTGCGTAGTTTCCTTTACGCAGGAGACGATGAATACGACCCACCGGGAACTGAAGGCCAGCCCTGGTAGAGCGAGTCTTGGACTTTCCCTTTACTTTTCCACCTTTGCCACGGCCAGACATGTTACAGAAAATTAGTTCAACGTTCAGTCACTGAGAGATCAACGGAGAATGAGTTGAGCTCAATAAACTCGCCTCTTTATAGCGTCGCACGCTCACGCCACCGAGCCAATCGGAACAGTCAGCGGAATGGACGTGCGCACAGCTGTCCCGATTGGCTCGGCGTCGTGTCAAGTCAAAGTGCAGTCACAGGACAGTCGTGGAGAGACATAAAATCGATAATAAAAAAAGTCAATGCGAGAATATCAATCTTATATCCACTCATATGCAGGAGCAGCTATGTATATTTATTTATACATTATTTCTAGTGTATATTTTCTCCAGTATGACCTGCAAACATTAAATCCATTCAGAATATTATAATTCCTGTTAAAAAAATCGAGTGTATTGGAATTTTCTTATATTACACAAAGTAATAAAAGTTTTTCTGAAGCCTTAGTATTGTAAACATGCATTCACATGTTTCTCTTTTTTGCAATAATAAAAACCTGCGTATTTCTCTCACACTTTCTTACGTGTTAATAACAAAGTGGGTATTCTATTCCGTTTATTCTTCTCAATGTAGTCTGTTTGTGAGGTTATGTTCGTGGTTACGGGGAATGTACACGGGTAGAATGACTCAGATGCAATCATTATTGATAGATTTGTTAGGGAAAGAATGTGGGTGGCGAAGAATTCTTGCGTTGAGTGTAATTTTAGGTGTCCTTAAGGCCTTAAGGCCCGGCCTTAATAACCAATATAATATTCATTAATTCGATTTAACTGTTGAAAAGTATTTTTTGCTCTTTTTTTTGGAATTCTTTACATTCGTTCAGCAGGAAAAAAACGTATTCAAGTTGGAATTAAAGGGCATTCAATAATCATTATTAATGTGGGGTATTTTCAATTAAGGTCAAATTCAGTAATTACTACTAGTATTACTTCGTCATTAAATGCTTAACCCTTAAGTGGTCATAGCTCTTCACCATACTGAGTTGGTCATATGGTAAGAGAATCCTTGCTCCATGTATTTTACGACTTCATGGAAATGGAAATAGAAGAGAATCAGATCATCTCATAGCTGTAAAATTTTGAGGTTAAACATGGAGATTTTCAACGGGTCGAGTATTTACATTTATTATACCATGTTCAATGGTTCCGTTTGTTCCGGGAAGTCCACAATCTGACGGTCACGAGTTTTCAGAAAGATTGTAATAATTTATACGTGCAAGTCTGGAGCGAAGATGACAATGTGGTGAATATATTCGAAAGCAATTATACAAATTTTTATGAATAACTTAGAAAGTTTGTGTCATTAACTGAAAGGTTACAAATATTTAGCGAAGATAGCATTTCTGCGTAATAAATATGTGGTGGCCCTGAAAAGGGCCGATTGTTTGTTTGTTCCGTAAAGAGTTGAGCTTAACCTCCAAATCCGTAGAGAGTACGTCCTTGACGTTTCAAAGCGTAGACCACATCCATAGCCGTAACAGTCTTCCTCTTGGCGTGTTCGGTGTAGGTAACTGCGTCACGGATGACGTTCTCAAGGAACACCTTGAGTACACCACGAGTCTCTTCGTAGATGAGACCAGAGATACGTTTCACACCACCTCGACGAGCGAGACGACGGATAGCTGGCTTAGTGATTCCCTGGATGTTATCACGAAGTACCTTACGATGGCGCTTGGCTCCTCCTTTTCCCAATCCCTTTCCTCCCTTGCCGCGACCAGTCATTTTACTTTAGTTCAAAGAACACGTCAAGACTGAATAAACTAGCAAAAGCTTGTGATGCTTTTTCGACGAATGGTCGTGGTTTTATAGACGTCGTGTAGCGCGTTCTCCCACCACTCAGAAGTGCACCAATGGCGTGTCGTCAGTGAGGTATCCCCACTTCACTCTACGAACCAATCACAGCCACGCACGGTGTTATATATATACCGGGTTGATAACTCGGAACTTTACTGTTTTGCTGCAAACTTTGAAAGCAAATCTCTGACGCAATGGCTCGTACCAAGCAGACTGCCCGTAAATCTACCGGAGGAAAGGCTCCCAGGAAACAGTTGGCCACCAAGGCCGCTCGTAAGAGTGCGCCAGCAACTGGAGGAGTCAAGAAACCCCATCGCTACAGGCCAGGAACCGTAGCTCTCCGTGAGATCCGTCGTTACCAAAAGAGCACTGAGCTCCTCATCCGTAAACTTCCATTCCAACGACTTGTTCGTGAGATCGCCCAGGACTTCAAGACCGACTTGAGATTCCAGAGTTCTGCTGTGATGGCTCTTCAGGAAGCCAGCGAGGCTTACCTCGTTGGTCTTTTTGAAGATACTAATCTCTGCGCCATCCACGCCAAGAGAGTTACCATCATGCCCAAGGACATTCAGCTTGCTCGTCGTATTCGTGGAGAGAGAGCTTAAATTTTTTCAATTTAAGCAAATAAAAACCGGCCCTTTTCAGGGCCACAAATTAATTCAAACAAGTAAAACTGATTATCGTGAGTTATGACTTATGTTACCGGAAGATTTAAAATTTATTCCTCGACAATGAGCTGAATATTGACATTCAATAAATTGTAATCAGGGTTAAAACGCACTTTGGAAAATATATCCAATATTATGTGATCCCTTTCAAGGAAATCCATGTCAATGAATCTATGGTAATACATTCTAATTATGACTACAGGCATAGGATTATCTGTTGATTGTTACAATGTGCATACCTACACCTGTAGTTTTAGCTATACTTACACGTGTAGTTATAACTAAAAATATGTCTATAGCCCTGACTTGGACACGAACCCACCATGCATCTCCTGATTAGTACACTGTTAGAAATTTTTTGAAATTTCATGGAAGATATTATAGGAAATCTCATGGGATAGTTTCGGTACTGTACATAATTAAATTATTCTTTACTAAAATACTATGATTTCCGAATCACTGGCATGCTATTTACTGAGTTGATTTTTTACGGGTTATCATCAGGCTATCGCATTCAGTAAGCTATAGTCGCGTTCGGAGATAGTTTTCGTTAGCAATTGAGAATTTTTACGTTTATAAATAATTGTTGGCCCTGAAAAGGGCCGTTTGATTATAATCATGGTTAAATTGAATTAGTATATTCAATTCACTTCTTCTGGGCTGGTTTCTTAGCCGCTGCTTTGGTTTTTGGAATAGTAGGCTTTTTCGGTTTTGGCGCCTTGGGTTTAGCAGTTGGTCCTTTCGTAGCCTTTTTCGCCTTAGGGCTTTTTGGTTTAGCCGCAGCTTTTGCTACTTCCTTCGGCTTGGCAATCTTCTTCTCAGCAGCTGGTTTCTTCACCGCAGCTTTCTTAGGAGAAGCTGCTTTCTTGGCTTTAGGCTTTGCTGCTTCGGTCTTCTTCGCTGCCTTCTTCGGTAATCCTTCTTTCTTGGGAGCTTGGGCCTTGGGCTTTGGCTTCGGCACGTCTGTCTTCTTCACCGCGAGTTTAAAGGATCCAGATGCACCACTTCCTTTAGTCTGCACCAGGGTTCCGGCAACAACTGCTGATTTTAGGTACTTCTTGATGAAGAGAGCATGTTTCGTGGTGTCGATCTTGTAGTTTGCAGCGATGTACTTCTTGATAGCCTGAAGGGATGATCCATTACGCTCAGCAAGAGTCTTGACAGCGGTATTGACCATGTCAGCTGTACTCGGATGAGTTGCCTTAGTCTTTGAATTCTTCACCTTTGGTGCTTTCTTGGCTACCTCTGCCTTTGGAGGAGCAGGTGAACCCGTCGCCGGGGCAACTACTGGTGACGCAACTTTATCAGCCATCTTCAATTCCACGTAAAAAATTCAAGGGTCTCAGTTTGACTGGGTTATCCTGATGAGCGTCAGAGACTCAGGCGGCGCGACTAACATTTGAACGCGGACCGTGAAGACAGGCCTGGCGATTCTGACACCACAACTTCGGCGTCACAATGCTGCAAATGGTGTCTCGTTCTTGCAATTTCAATTTTTTTAGGGTTGCTTTAGCAACAATAACACGTTTCTTACACTCGCATTATCTTTGCAAATGTTTAACTTCATTGCAGGATTTTATTTTTTCTCGTATCGTTTAATAATGACGCACAATTACTCGCAATGTTGGTCTCGTCCTCACGGTATTTCACGTGCTGCTGCGTTTAAACATTCATGGAATAAACAATTCGCATAATTTCGGCGTTCCATCATTTTCATTACATGCTGTGATGATTACCGAATGTAGACAATGCAGAAGTTTTCATGAATAATGATAATGAATGGGGAATTTCGACGAGTTAATGTATCGAGTCCGACCAGGGCAGAAATGTACATCTAAGGGAGTTATTGCATATAATGTGAAGTGAAAAAATGTCGAAGAGTGAAATATAATTTTCCAAATTATTGCATTTGTTTGTATGGTGCTTTTGCTAGTTGACGTGACAGTTCATTTTAGTATTAATTTGCGTCATTTCATTGAAATCTGGAATGTAACGGGATTGAATACTTCGTATGTCAAAGGCATACGTAGAGCATAGGTGTTTTCGGGTGAATTGATTATTATTATATACATGTTATGTTTTTTTATAACATTTTTGGATTTCAATCGGTTGTAAAATGGTTTTGAAATTTTTTTTTTCGCAATGAATTCGGATAAGCCATATCGAAGGAGAGTTGGTCACGCGTGCATTGGAATCATTTCTAAGGAAACGGATATTGGAGACGAACATGTTATTTTTTAAATTGAAGTAGAGTAATGCTTTGGCATTTGCGATATTTTTTACGGTGATATATAAAGGTTTGTAAGTTTCTAGCAAATTCTTCAGAGGTAAAAATGCCAGGGCAGTGGCACGGCCCAGGACTCTGTCAGCCGGATGATTAAGTCGTACAACGGCTGTAGTCGAAGTGATGATGGAAGATGTGATGTATGCATAATATTTTTGTCAAGCATTAAAGTTTATTTTACCAGAGAACTAGTTACGTATGTAGTTTTAGTCATGTTCGTTAACTGCAAACATTATTGTAAGTAAAAGTAAATAAAAATAACATTTATTCCTCTATTCGCGTGGCGGTCTATAATTTATTGCTGGGAAGAGGGAAACAATTTTTTAATGCTTGTGGTTCATTTTATTCCAATTGGAAATATACGATTTTTTTAAAAGCAAATGGAGAAATTCCTTCGTAAAAATATTTGGTGGCCCTAAAAAGGGCCGATTTTGTTTGAATGGACAATGATGGATTTACGAGCTGCTCTTCTCGGTCTTCTTTGGAAGAAGAACAGCCTGGATGTTGGGGAGGACACCACCCTGAGCAATCGTAACTCCAGACAAAAGCTTATTCAACTCCTCGTCGTTACGGATGGCCAATTGGAGATGTCTAGGAATGATCCTAGTCTTCTTGTTGTCACGAGCGGCGTTGCCTGCCAACTCGAGAACCTCAGCAGCCAAGTATTCCATAACTGCAGCCAGGTAAACTGGAGCTCCAGCACCAACACGTTCTGCGTAGTTTCCTTTACGCAGGAGACGATGAATACGACCCACTGGGAACTGAAGGCTAGCCCTGGTAGAGCGAGTCTTGGACTTTCCCTTGACTTTGCCACCTTTGCCGCGACCAGACATGATGATAGAATGAAAATTTAACGTTTACTAAAAGCAGTTCTCCGGTAGAGAACTGAGGTTTTAATATTTTTCGGACGCTCCTCGCCATTTATATAGCCTCAGACGCGTGGAGTACCGAGTCAATGCGCGCGCATCACCGTAACTGAGTGTAGCTGATTGGTTCGGCGCTGTAGACGCAAACTGTATTAAAAAAAAGGGCTTCTCAAGCGAAATTCAGAGTCCACCTCTGTTTCTCATACCGTGAAAAGTAAAATCTTACGACAATGCCACCCAAGGCCAGCGGTAAAGCTGTGAAGAAGGCCGGAAAGGCTCAGAAGAACATCGCCAAGTCTGACAAAAAAAAGAAGCGTAAGAGGAAGGAGAGCTACGCTATCTACATATACAAAGTCTTGAAGCAGGTGCACCCTGACACTGGAGTCTCCAGCAAGGCCATGAGCATCATGAATTCATTCGTCAACGATATCTTCGAAAGAATTGCTGCTGAAGCTTCACGATTGGCTCATTACAACAAACGTTCAACCATCACTTCTCGGGAGATCCAGACTGCTGTTCGTCTACTTCTTCCAGGAGAACTGGCTAAGCACGCCGTTTCGGAAGGCACCAAAGCCGTTACCAAGTACACCAGCTCCAAGTAACTTGGCTGACGAAAAAAAAAATCGGCCCTTTTCAGGGCCACAAAAATTTTCTAACGTTGACAATTCAATTAGATTACGCTTGTTATTTAATGGCCTCCTCTTTACTATTTACATATGTTTAGAGGATATAATACATGAATTGACTTAGACCTTTCAGTACAAATGAAATGAAGTAAGACAACACGTAATTCTCGGTCAGGGATCGAATTAGAGAATTTATAATTTGATTGTATTTATCGGTGGAAGTGTCGATTGCCAAAAACGTTGGAATTTTAACACTTAAGTGGTTGCATCTTGAGAGAATCTCCACTAAACTATACGCTTCCAAGGCTGTAATCCAAGGCTTATAGAATAGAGCAGACAGGTTAGGCCAGTGTGAATGAGAGGCAGAGAAGCGCGATCATTCAAGGGCTGAGGACAAGTGAATAATTCAGGATTTGGATTAAATGCAGTTATTAACAAATAACGAGAGTAATGGATATCATATTTTGCATGAATTAATTTGTCTCTCTTTTTCTGTGTAAAATTGATATAAATGGTTCTTCAACTCCCTGAAACAAATTGGAAAGATGTTTCTCATCGATAAACTGTCTGGCGCTGAATAAGATTATTAATAATCGAATAAAATTAACATAAAAAATAACAGCTATACAGATTTTTATGAATCACTTAGAAAGTTTGTGTCAAGAATTGAAAGCTTATAAGTGTACTTAGCAAAGGTAGCATTTCTACGTAATGAATATGTGGTGGCCCTGAAAAGGGCCGATTGTTTTTTTCTAAGTTCAGCAGAACTGAGCTTAACCTCCAAATCCGTAAAGAGTACGTCCTTGACGTTTCAAAGCGTAGACCACATCCATAGCCGTAACAGTCTTCCTCTTGGCGTGTTCGGTGTAGGTAACTGCGTCACGGATGACGTTCTCAAGGAACACCTTGAGTACACCACGAGTCTCTTCGTAGATGAGACCAGAGATACGTTTCACACCACCTCGACGAGCGAGACGACGGATAGCTGGCTTAGTGATTCCCTGGATGTTATCACGAAGTACCTTACGATGGCGCTTGGCTCCTCCTTTTCCCAATCCCTTTCCTCCCTTGCCGCGACCAGTCATTTTACTTTAGTTCAAAGAACACGTCAAGACTGAATAAACTAGCAAAAGCTTGTGATGCTTTTTCGACGAATGGTCGTGGTTTTATAGACGTCGTGTAGCGCGTTCTCCCACCACTCGGAAGTGCACCAATGGCGTGTCGTCAGTGAGGTATCCCCACTTCACTCTACGAACCAATCACAGCCACGCACGGTGTTATATATATACCGGGTTGATAACTCGGAACTTTACTGTTTTGCTGCAAACTTTGAAAGCAAATCTCTGACGCAATGGCTCGTACCAAGCAGACTGCCCGTAAATCTACCGGAGGAAAGGCTCCCAGGAAACAGTTGGCCACCAAGGCCGCTCGTAAGAGTGCGCCAGCAACTGGAGGAGTCAAGAAACCCCATCGCTACAGGCCAGGAACCGTAGCTCTCCGTGAGATCCGTCGTTACCAAAAGAGCACTGAGCTCCTCATCCGTAAACTTCCATTCCAACGACTTGTTCGTGAGATCGCCCAGGACTTCAAAACCGACTTGAGATTCCAGAGTTCTGCTGTGATGGCTCTTCAGGAAGCCAGCGAGGCTTACCTCGTTGGTCTTTTCGAAGATACTAACCTCTGCGCCATCCACGCCAAGAGAGTTACCATCATGCCCAAAGACATCCAACTCGCTCGTCGTATTCGTGGAGAGAGAGCTTAAGTTTTTTAGAACTTAAGAACAAAATAATCGGCCCTTTTCAGGGCCACAAATCAATTTGGACGAATGAAACTCATTGCTAAAACACTGAGACAAAAACAAACGCGTTGTCAAATAAGTCTCTTGTTTGGGCCAACAAAATCGCTAGTTGAAAATTGCCACAAAAGAATTTGGTTTGAATTTGAAAGTCTCAAACATGAATAATTGTTCTGCTTTCAACAACAACGAAATATTTGGCTCAATAGGCGGACAATTCACACCAGACGGTGCCTTTTCAGGATTAAAATATCTCGTATAGAGGAAAATTTATCAACAAATATTTTATCTCCAAGTTACAAGATTGCTATGATATCATTATTATTGTTTCATTTAAGGGTTGATTTCTTGTCTGTGATTATTAGACAGCCGAAACGAAAAACTATTATCCTTATTTCGCATGAAACAAATATTTTTCGGGAGCAAAATATGTATGGAAGTATCGAATAACGAAGGATCAGTGCTAGAAATGACATTTCTTGCGTGTACAGAGGATGCAATTTTTTTTAACTACTAAATCTGATTTTGCGAGAAAAATTTTTCATTCCGGCGCACTGTCTGCATGTTTGGCACAAGAAAATCCTTTTTTGATAATTTTCAAAAAAGTATTTTTTTGGCACAAGTAAGACTTTTTGATAACTGTCATTTTTCTCTCAGTCTATGCTCTGAAACATCAAGGACGTACTCTTTGTGGATTTGGAGGTTGAGATCAATATCTGCGGAAAACAAACAATCGGCCCTTTCCAGGGTCACCACGTATTACTTACGTAGAAATTGATTTTTTGCTAAATCTTGATACTTTTTGTAATTGTTTAATAATCACTGAATTTGAAAGTAAGAAACGACACCCAGTTATGGAACCGTACTGTTTCCAATAATTTACATATATTTAAATGCATATTTTCGATTAAATGTAACGCTTATTCCATTACCGGATCACTGACGATAACAATTAAATAATATAACTGAACTAACTGAATTATCAACGTTATAAAAATGTTGTGGCCCTGAAAAGGGCCGATTGTAGTGTTGTTCCACTTTACTTGGAACTTGTGTATTTAGTGACAGCCTTGGTGCCTTCAGAGACAGCGTGTTTTGCCAACTCTCCGGGGAGAAGGAGACGAACAGCAGTCTGGATCTCCCGAGATGTGATGGTGGAACGCTTGTTGTAGTGAGCCAATCGTGAAGCTTCAGCGGCAATTCTCTCGAAGATGTCGTTGACGAATGAGTTCATGATGCTCATGGCTTTGCTGGAAACTCCAGTGTCAGGGTGAACTTGTTTCAAGACTTTGTAGATGTAGATGGCGTAGCTCTCCTTCCTCTTGCGCTTCTTCTTCTTGTCGGTCTTGGTGATGTTCTTCTGGGCCTTTCCAGCCTTCTTCACGGCTTTACCACTGGCTTTGGGCGGCATGATGTTTGAAGTACAGTTATTACAGACTAGAGAGTACCGTAAAAATGTGAGTGGCGTTAGAATCGTCGCTGACTTAGTAGCATCGGCGCACACGACGCCGAGCCAATCGGAGGAGCCGTGCGCGCGTCCATTCCGCTGACTGTTCCGATTGGCTCGGTGGCGTGAGCGTGCGAAGCTATAAAGAGGCGAGTTTATTGAGCTCAACTCATTCTCCATTGTTCTCTCAGTGACTCAACGTTGAACTAATTTTCTGCAACATGTCTGGCCGTGGCAAAGGTGGAAAAGTAAAGGGAAAGTCCAAGACTCGCTCTACCAGGGCTGGCCTTCAGTTCCCAGTGGGTCGTATTCATCGTCTCCTGCGTAAAGGAAACTACGCAGAGCGTGTTGGTGCTGGAGCTCCAGTTTACCTCGCCGCAGTCATGGAATACCTGGCTGCTGAGGTCCTCGAGTTGGCAGGCAACGCCGCTCGTGATAACAAGAAGACCAGGATCATTCCTAGACATCTCCAATTGGCCATCCGTAACGACGAGGAGTTAAACAAACTGTTGTCTGGAGTTACCATCGCTCAGGGTGGTGTCCTCCCCAACATCCAGGCTGTTCTTCTTCCAAAGAAGACCGAGAAGAGCAGCTCGTAAATCCATCATTGTCCATTTAAACAAAATCGGCCCTTTTTAGGGCCACCAAATATTTTTACGAAGGAATTTCTCCGTTTGCTTTTAAAAAAATCTTACATTTCCAATTGGAATAAAATGAACCACAAGCATTAAAAAATTGTTTCCCTCTTCCCAGCAATAAATTATACATAGCCACGCGAATAGAGGAATAAATGTTATTTTTATTTACTTTTACTTACAATAATGTTTGCAGTTAACGAACATGACTAAAACTACATACGTAACTAGTTCTCTGGTAAAATAAACTTTAATGCTTGACAAAAATATTATGGATACATCACATCTTCCATCATTACTTCGATTACAGCCGTTGTACGACTTAATCATCCGGCTGACAGAGTCCTGGGCCGTGCCACTGCCCTGGCATTTTACACAGACCACACGTCTCGCAGAATGCATCGACGAGGAAGCCGTCAGGAGATATAGCCTGTTGTCCACCCCTGGCTCCCGATGTTGCAGGGTTCGGGCCGTTCAGGCGCTGCAGCAGCTGCTGATTGTACTCTCGAATTTTTCCCAGCTGATCTGACAATTCTAGTCGCTGACTCAACAGATCCTGTCGGGATTTTTTCTCCTCCTCGAAGTCCTGCTTGTACGCCTCCATTTGTGCTCGGAGATGATCAATGTCATCGTTCTGAAAATTCATTGGATTCCATCAGTCAACCTGAATCGTTGGCGAATGACTGCAGTAAGTAAATAAATAAATTGTAAATTAATTTCAGAGGGAATAAGATGAATCCTTTGCCTTGATTATTAAATTATATAGTTTAAGATCCGGATGGATTATCTTTCGAACGTTATCTCGATTGTTTTTCCATCTTCATAATGTAAAATGTATCACAATTACCAGTGGATTTTACATCACGCAGGAGTCCCTAAAAATTATGACTAAACTACCGCAATAATTATCGTCATTTAAAAATTAATCGAAATTCCTCCCTCCGGAAAATATTAAATTTGGGAAAAATGAATAATGATTGGAAGAGTTCGTCGAAAGTCATGTGCAACATAGTCATCTTTTAGATTAACATGAGGCTCGCTTAAGAAATGCCTCCATTGGAGAAATACAATTTTGAAAAAATAAATGTTTCCCCCAGGTAAATGAATGCGGCAAAAAAAATTTTCCCAGTGTAACCAAAACAAGAAACTCCCAAGATATTTACATGATCCTCAGCGATGGCCAGTCTCGCCCTGAGTCCCTCCAGCTCAACGTCCTTCCTCTCGATCTCCAGCTTGAGCCTGGTTACCTCGGACACCAGATCGTCATGCCGTTTCTCCAGCACTTTATTGTTATCCCGAAGGCTGCTCATCTGCGCCTCGTACAGCATGCTCTGAGAATTGAGTGAAGCCCTCTCGCCATTGAGGGACTCCCTCTCCTGCTCGAACTGCAGCTTCTCAGCGAGGAAACTCTTCTTCTCGAGTTCAAACACCTCCTTCGCCTCCTCCAGGCCCTTCCTCTCCCTCAGCACATCGAGTTTCCCCGGCTCCTGCGAGGCCTTTCGCTCCACTGGCTTCGAGTTCTCCTCTCGAAGGATCTCAAGCTCGTGGAGTGCTGCGTTGTAATCCGAAAATATCCCCTCGAACAGCTTCTGTGCTTTTATCAGGTTCTGCCTCTCGTTGATGTTCTTCAGCTGTTCCTCGATCAGCTGGGCTCTGGCGTCGTCCAACAGCTGTTTGTGCTTCAGTCTGGTGTCCATGGTGAGGTCAGAGGGCTCGAAGTTCTCGTAGTAGTCTAGTGTCTCGATGCAGCGCTTCAGGCACTCCTGGATATCAGTGAAACGACTCATCTGCTCTGTGTAACATCTCGCCAGTGTTCCGAGTTTCTCGTTGTAGTGGGTGAAGTTGTCCAGGAACTGCTTGCGATATTTCTCGTCTGACTTTTCAGAATCGACGTTGAGTTGCAGGGGGGCGAAGGAGCTCTCACTGAGGACCCTTATTTGCTCCTTCAGGGAGTGGATTATCTCCTGCTGGTAGTGCATGCAGCGATCCTGCAGAGACTTCTCGAGGATTATCTGAGTGAGGGATGCCTCACTGGGGAGGCTCTGGACGTCTTGGGTCACTGAGGTTTTTGCAGAGGCTTGGGAGGGTATACTGTCCAGTCCTGGCGAGGGACTTTTCGCGGGGGCCAGGGAGGGGTACTCGATGTTCTTCTGGTCGGATGCACTCATGGATTCACCGATCTGTGGGGTTTTTCATTAATTAGGCATTATTTTCTTTTTTTAGGGCTTTCTTTGATTTGGATAAATGAATTGAATGAGCCCTTTTTTTAGATTGTTTTCTTGATTATTTATTGGGAATGAGAATTAACAACTCGGACATTTTTAGGAATTTATCTGAATTCAGAGTTATATTAGTTGAATTTTGTAGAGTTAGTTTTTTAAATATTTTATTCTTATGAATAACTTATGAAAATTTATTTCAATCATTTTAAAAAAAATTTTCGTCTAGTTTTCCTATGGTTCATTGGGAATCAAAATTAAAACCTAGGACGTTTTAAGGAGTTTATCTGAATTCAGAGTTATATTAGTTGAATTTTGTTGAGTTATTTTTTTAAATATTTTGATGTTATGAATAACTTATGAAAATTGATTTCAATGACTTTCTTTATTTTTTTTTCTTGTTCGTTTGTGATTCAATGGGAATGAGAATAAAAAATTAGAAAATTTTAGGGATTTTAGCTGAATCAAGAGTTATTTTCATTGAATTTTCCAGTCTTTTTTTTTAACATTCCATTGCTATGAATAAATGACAAAAATTATTTGAACTTGAACATTCCCTACTGTTTGTAACCACTTCGATAAAATAATTTTTCGAGTAAAAAATTGACTGTTTATAAATTATTTATAAACACATATTATTCTTAAAATTTAATTCTCCACAAAAAACATCTTCCAAAATTTTCTTTCTAAATGACTCGTTTACGAGATGAATAAATAATGACGGAAAATGTCAAATTTTCACTTCATCATTGAATTGTTTTTTTTTTCAGAAGAAGTTTGATTTTTTAATTGACTCACCATTTCTCCTGAAAATCTCGGGCTCATCATCGAGGCCTCCATGGTCAATTTCGTCTTCAATTCTGTGTTTTCATTCTTCAAGAGAGTAATCATGTTACGCGTCTCTGCGAATTTCTGCTTGTGATTCTCATGGACTTTTTTCAGTTCCTCTTGGTAAGTCGCCAACGTGTTGAAATGGTATTTCATGGTGTTGTTGTTCTGTGAGAGAGTGTCCTTCAATTTCTGATTCTCCTGGAGTAGTTCCACGACTTTCTTCTCGATTTCTTCTTGACTCAGAGTGGAAACTATGGAAGTATCCTAGAATTTTGAAGAGAAAATAGGATAGATTAATCAATTCAATGCTATTATTTTTGCATCTCGTTTAATATATTTAATTATTTCAATGACGATTGATTGTCAGTTCTAGTTGAAAATGTCGCGAGGACTCCAGTGGTGAAACAATAAGACGATTCAAATTGACTTAGAAAACTTAGAAACTCTTCGCTGAGTTTTCGAGGAATATCTCCTAATCTAGGGGAAATAGCGACAATTTTGTCATCACCTTTTTTGTAGAGAAAATTGAGGGCTACAAAAAAGGTCATGACAAAAATTTTGCTATCTCCCTTAGATTCCGAGATATTCATTGAAATCTGATCAAAAATCAAAATTGACTTGAACAGTTTTACCACTTCGCTACTGAATTTTTTGTTTGGCTCTTAATTAGCTAGAGAAAATGGCTCTTGACATTTTGATCTCTTATAATCCTCATTTGATTGGACAATAAAGGAATAAGATTTCCTTGACAATTCTATGTTAATCATTTCAATAAAAAAATACGCACTGAAATTCAATAAATACATCTGCATTTAAATTCATTAAAATATGTGTATTAAGATTCAAAACATAATTTTTTTATTATGTTCATTCTTCGACCAAGCTTAAAGGAACAATAAAAAAGGAACATAATGAAATTCCAATTAATTAACAAACCTCATTTTGCAAACTCTGAAAATTATGAAATGTTGAAAAGAAATTTTAATATATCTAATTATTTCAGTGCCGATTGATTCACGATTCTAGGAGGAATTCTACCTCGTCAAGTCACTAGAACTCAAGATGAAAGAATAATTACAAAAAACGTAAAGTTCAAGAATTCTGCATTAACGCACTGACAATTTCATTTTAACAAAAAAAACGAAAAAAAAATCCAAACAGATCCTCCATAAATACACTTCCCTGCAAATACGTTAAAATTTATTCATCGAGATCAGAATCCGCCAGGTTTTTCTCAAAAATGTTTTCCTACGTATTTCCTAACCCTCAAAACAATTTTTAAAAAATGTCAATTAAATCTCAGTGATTTAATTCCAACTTACAACAGTCAAACTCTGTTCCTTGATCTGTTCATAATCCGCCAGGGAGGCAGTATTAACAAAATCCATGGAGCTCTTCCCCAGGACGACGAAGGAAGTCTCCTCGTCCTCCTCCTGATTGAAGTGCTGACTCCTCATGGAGCAGGCCCCAGTGGAAAACACAGGTTCATTGAGCCTGAACCTGGGCTTTCCATTATCCATGACAACCCCCAGACTCTCGAAAGCACTTTTCGTCATGGACTCAGGCTCCTCTCCTCGCACATCTCCACCACCGGGTCCCATTATCCCCTTGAAATCCGAGATCGACATCGAGAGCTCGACGAAGACCCAAAGTACAACGAAACTGGAGTCCAAAACCGGAATTGAGAAAAAATTGTCGCGAGATGTGTCGCAATAATTTTCATCACCTCGCACAACGTCACACAACTAATATTAATTAATTACTCAGGTAATTAATCGGTTAATTAATGGGTTAAGTCCTTACGATCAGTGACAAAACTGTCACGAGTGGAGTGAACCTCAGCAAATGGATTCACATGACAAGTTATTTCGCCGAATGATTCAATGAGATTTTTTCCGTTGTTATGATGCTGTTGCGTCAATAATTCCTCAGGGGCTCGTCCCCCATTGGTTGGAACTGCGCGACGACTTGACGGATCAGAAATCGAGCGAAAAAAAATTGAGAGGAGCTGATGAATCCCGTTGGTTGCCGCCAGGAGACGTCGAACCAATGAAACCGAAGGTCAGGGCTCTCCGCCAATGGGAGGGGGATTTCCCCTGGGGCCCGGCGTCACTGGGGTACACAAAACAGTTTGAAAATGGCCGGTGGGACAGTTGTAACCGAAACACTGGGACGCGAGGGACACTCCGAGACATCACGACATGATTTGATCCAGTAAATTGTTCGAGTGATTTATTCCGGGGTTATTGATATTTTCGGTGATTGTTGGGGTTATTTGTGAAGGGGGAGGTGGAGTCGGGGGTAAATATGCAGCCGTGGACTGGAGCCATCGTCGAATGGGTATGTAACGTATTTTCGTGATGGGGAGGCGTCCCTTGAAGATTCTACATTTGTTTTTTTTTCTGGTTTTGGGGATGAGGGGGGTTTTATGCCGATGAGATTAATCTGGTGTCATTTTAAAGATTATTAAATTGATAGGAAAATGACGGCACATCGAATATGGAATTTCACTCAACCACTTTTGAGGTATTGAAGAGTGAAAGTGTTAGTTTTTTCGATGGTTTTTACTCAGTCGATTTTGAGAATGTCTTGGTTTTTGATGGATCACTGGTGAATTAATGATGCGAATGGGATTAATCTGGTGTTATTTTAAAGATTATTAAATTGCCTGGAAAATGACAGCACATTGGGACGCCAGGGACACATGAGACACATGTTACATGTTTTTAAAACATGTAATATGGAATTCCTCAGCCACTCTTGAGGTATTGAGAAGTGAAAGTATTCGTTTTTTCGATGGTTTTTACTCAGTCAATTTTGAGAATGTCTTGGTTTTTGATGGATCACTGGCGAATTAATGATGCGAATGGGATTAATCGGGTGTCATTTTAAAGATTATTAAATTGCTAGAAAAATGACAGCGAATTTATTGAATTCTACTCTACCATTTTGAAGTTATTGGAGATTAAAAATGGAAAATGTGTAATTTTCAATAGTTTTTGTTTTGGATATCCAGTATTAAAATGAAGAAATTTTTATGAAGACATTTTCCGTAGAGGGGACTGAGGGTTACAAAAAAGCCTCTTGGAGAATTTTTGTAAAGATATTCATCGGGAACTTATGTTTGAATTCAGTCAACTCAGGAATATTTCCATGGTCTCTTTTCCACTCTGCAATTCTTTTCTCGTTTTTCTTGGACAACTGACGGATTAATGAAGCAGATAGGATTACTCTAGTGTCATTTAAAAGATTATCAAACCACCTTGAAAATGATGCCAAATTCATTGAACTTCACTCAGCCATTTTAAAGTTATTAAAAATCGAAGGTGTGGAGATTTTCGCAGTTTATCCAATCCATTTTTAAAACATGTTAATTTTTGGTGGATGTCTCGAGAGGGAGTACGAGTGAGAGGATATTTTTGCAGAAGGCAATGAGAGCCCCATATCAACATCTCCAATAACATCCCTTTACAGCAATCACAATAATATCCATCTGCTTTTTTCTCTCTGAAACTTCCTTTCATGCTGTCCGTCTTTTTGTTTTTTTATTGCGTTACTATTTTGCTGATGGTATGACTTTTCTCTCTCTTTCAGTCTCATTTTTCCTTCTCGTTCTTTTTCTTATTATGAGCCCTACGTACAGATTATTCGCAATCTCCCACTGTTCTACTACAGCTATTTACAGCCTCTGCTTGATTCTAGTTATTCTCTCATTTTTCTGCTATGAGACTTTGTCATTATTTTATTCAGTACAGTGTATTATTTTAATGTACAGTAAATTTTAATCAATTAATTGCTCTCACCAAACATTCCAAACTCCTTCTCTCCCATCCTCTCCAAGCAACATCTAATTTCTGAACGTCCTTTTTGTTCAAAAATCAACTAAAATCCAGGCTTCAGCAAATTCAGTTAAAAATAAAACTACTGAAACCCTTCAACTCCAGGTGAACTGTCTGGGAGTCCACCCCTCCCCCATAAAAGACGTCCGAGACCTGGAGAACAAGAGCATCTACCTAAAAATAATAAGTCAGCTGAATGATGGAGCCTCCGAACCCCCAGAGCAGATCTCAGAATTCCTCTCCAAGGAGTATCCTGAGTTCGTCCTGCAGCACCCCTCCAACGACATCATCCCAAACGACGTCTACATCGCCTCTCTGCTGCTCCTCACGACCTCCCAGAAAATCTCGTTCCACCGTCCCATGTGCCATCTTCGCAACGACACCCAGATCCTCATAAAAAGGTTCCTAGAAGTCCTCCTGCCGTACGGTAAGAGCATAACCCGAGAGATCGTGACGAGTACGATCTCAGAACTGAGTGATGCCACCCCGCGAACCCCTCCGGTCACTCCGAAGGACCGTCCCCTCAGGAAATTCTTCACGTCCCCAGCTGCACAGTCAGCCCATCGGCACAGAATCCTGAATGAAAAGACACGAGAGCTTCGCCTGCTGAAAGCAGAACTGGAGACCGAGAGGTACGAGAAGGTTGATCTGCAGGAGGACGTCAGGATCAGGGAGGAGAGGATCCAGACACTCCAGAAGAAGCTCAACGAGAAGGATGTGGAGTTGAAGGCTCTCAAGGCCGACAAGTGCAGACCTCACACACCTCAGTCTGCACGGAAGAACAAGAGGTTCGAGGACGTGGAGCAGATGCTGAAGAAGGAGATTCAGCACTTGGAGAGCTTTAATTCGAATTTGCAGAGCCAGCTGGATGGCGTGGAGAGTGAGAAGGAGGAGTTGATGAGGAAATTGACCTCCAAGGAACGCCTGAGTCAGGGGTTTGTAGTGATTTTTTAAATATTTTGTTTTTTTAGACCTCTTCAATGGTCAGTTATCCAGTTATAATAACAAATCTAATTCAACATTTTTCGCAATGAAAAATTATATTAAACATTTTCTTATAAAACATGCTGAATTGGATTTTTTATTGAGAATTTAATTTTTCGTTGAAGATATCAGGGGTTTTATGGAGAATTTAGTAGCCAAATATTGGCGATACAAATCAGCGAAGTGGTCAAACCATTTAAGTCAATTTAATCTGTAGTTGAGTTTTCCAGAAATAATTCCTAATTTAAGGGAGATAGCGAAATTTTCATAATAATCTTTTTTGTAGAGCGAATTGAGTGCTACTAAAAATGTTCCGGGAAACATTTTGCTATCTCCCTTAGGTTTCGAGATATTCATTGAGAACTGGCCAATAGCCAAAATCGACTTGAACAGTTTGACCACTTCGCCACTGAAATATTGAAAGATCAATGAGGAATATATTTATTAGCCAATATTGGCAATACGAATATTGAACGATCACTGAAAGAAGGAAATATCGACACAATTTTTCAAGTCATCATTCAATGAATTCAAATTGAAAATTCTAAAAATTAACAAGTGGTAAATTGCGTTTATCTTCATATAACAGCTATTTTTGTTCAAATCAAATCATTTCATTCTATCATACATCATTTATCGTTTTATATTATTTTGTTAAATTTAATTACATTTATTTTATAATCAATTGTGTTAGCTTTCTTGTGAAAATTCTTGTAAATCAAATGAAAGAATGATGTTATCTATCTTATCTTGAAATTTTGATAAAATAGTAATTGAAAACCTTTTTTCACGCATAATTGAATAAATTTGGATCATATTTGAAGAAACCGTCTAAAAATACACTTTCAGAGAAGTTTTAGAAAATTATTCTATAAATCAAAACAACGATTATTATCGATGTCAAAGGGACATCATTCAATGAATTCAGCACATTTTTTCAAATTATCGTGGGAAAACTGATTTTTGAAAAAACTCGAATATCCCAAAAATGAATATTTGAATTAACTTTAATTAAAGTCAATGGATAGGGTCTAAAAATTGCATTTCCAGACTGAGGATCATAATGGGTGAATATAACACCACAAATCCAAGCCCTAAATTCGATCGATTCCAAAGCTTCCTCCAAATTAAAAAATTATAAACCAAACTCATAATAAAATTACATTTTATTCCTCATTTTATTCCTCCCAGATTGAAGGAGAAGGTGGAGACCTACGAGAGAAACCTGGAAGCCCTGAGTATCCAACTGAACCAGAAATCCTCTGAACTCCTGGACCTCCGCCTCCAAAACGAGGAATTAAGGTCCCACATCAAGGACATGCAGAGGTGTTCCCTGGACGCTGACCAGAGTTTCGAAGTTGATTCAGTATCAATGTCCCGTTCACCCACCCCAGGATTGAACACCAGTGAAGCCCTCAGTTCGATCGTGGATATTCAGCTGCAAGAGGCCAGAGAAGAGTCCTCCAAGCTGAAATCCGAGCTGGCTAGTCTGCACCTGCGGCTGAACGAGGCTCTCCAAAGCTGCGATGAGTTCAAACGACTCAATGGAGAGCTGACCCTCAAAGCTGACGACTTGACTGTCGTCAAGGAAAAGTTGAAAAAAACTGACGAGGAATTAACGATCATGAAGAGTAAAATGAAGACTCTTGAGGAGGAGAAAATTCATTTCGAGAGGGACGTGGAGACCCTCCAGGAGGTCCTGGCCTCCAAGGAAGTGATCCTGAAGGAAACAACGGACAATTGCAGATCATTAAACACAAAAATCGAGGAGCAACTCGAAATAATAACGAGAATAAACGAAAACATTAAAAAATTGAATTCATCCCTGACGAGCCACAAAGAGGAGATAAAGCGAATGAACTCTGAAAAATCAGTTCTTCAGACTGATCTCGACGATTCGAGGCATAAAATCAGTGAGCTCGAGACATCTCTAGCTTCGGAAACGTCGAAATCCTCAGAGATCTCCAGGAGATCCAAAGAAAGCCTGAAAACCCTCGAGGAAAAAATATCCAGAATCGAGTCAGAGAAACGAAAACTGGAGGAAAACGTTGAAGAGACGACAGTTGCTCTCGAGGAGTCGGTCAAGAGCCTGAACGACAAGCGACTGACGATAGATTCACTGAATGGCCTAGTGGACAGGCTGCAGGACCACCAGAGCACCCAGGAGATGACCCTGAAGAACCTGGAGATGAAACTTTGTGAATTAACCGAATTAAAAGATGAATTGCAGAGTCAAGTGGACGAGGAACGGAGGACTGTCCTCAGGATGTCATCCGAGAAGGAGAGTTTGCACCAGGATCTGATGGCTTGTGACAACGAGAAGAGGAAACTGACGGATCAGTCGACGAGGCTGAAGGCAGACCTCGAGGAGATGACTGAGAAGGCTGAGGAGCTCGATAAGCAGAGGAAAACGAACGAGGAGAAGTACTTCAGGGCCTCAGAGAAGATCCAACTGCTGCAGGCTGAGGGCGAGAGGCTGAATTCCGAGACTGCCTCTGCCACTGCTGAGATATCGAGGCTGCAGGAGCTCCAGGAGAACCTGGAGAACCAGCTCACCCAGGAGCAGGAGAACTCCATGAAACTGATCACTGAAAAGGCGAGGGTAGAGCACGAGTTGACAAACAAGTCTCGTGAGAACTCTGATTTGTCTCAGAGGATTGGGGAGCTCGATGCCCAGTTGAATAAGACTCTTCAGGAGCTGCAGGACCTGGAGAACCTACACGGAGACCTCACTGGGAATCATCAGAGGAGTGTCGAGAGGGGGCAGAGGCTGGAGGGTGAGATTTCGAGGGCTAATAACGAGATCAGGAGGTGCAGTCTCGAGATCTCTGAGATGAAGACTGTGATTTGTCGTCTGGAGGGGCAGTTGGAGGAGGAGAGGTGCAGTGTGAAGACTCTTCTGCACGAAAAATCGGAATTGGAGAATGAGTTGTCTTCGGCTGAAAGGGAGAGGAGGGAATTGATGGAGAAAGTCTCTCTGTTGCAGGAGAATTTGAAGAATTCAGAGAGGAAAATCCAGGAAATTCAGGGAGAATCCGAAAAATTGAAGACTCTGGTGGGGAAAAAAGAGGGGGAGATTGAGTCTCAGCTGGACGAGATCAAGGAGTTGAGGGGTGAATTGGAGGGAGTGATGGCTGATCGAAGTTCCTTGGAGGTGAGTCTGAAAACTTTGGCTGAAAAATCGGAGTCTGAGATTTTGGGGCTGAAGGAGATTCAGAAGACGTTGAGCGCTCAATTGGAAGGGGCACGTGGAGAGATTCAAGCTCTTGGCGACGAAAAAGCTGGAATTAGTGCTGAATTTTCAATTGTTCGAGGGGAGAAGCAGCAGTTGATGCAGGATTTGGCTCTGATTGAAGGGAAATTGACGAGTGCTGAGGAAAAAATCAATCTTATCGAGGGAAAATACGGGGAGAGTGAGAGGAGATACTCTGAAGCTGTTGATAGAATCAAATTTATGACTTCAGAAATCGAGCAATTGAACTTTGGATTTAATGCTGCTGTCTCAGAACGAGAGTCTCTAAGAGACGACCTGAATCATCTGTCTGAAGAGACATCGTCACAAATTTCAGAATTACAGAAGGTTCAGGAGACTTTGGAGACTGAGTTGAAGACAACTCGAGATGAAAATCAAGTTCTTTCGGACGAGAAGTCATCTTTGACTCAGAAATTATTGATTTTGGGGGAAGAAAAGGGTCATTTGATTGAGGATTTGAGGTCTAATGAGCTGAAATTGAGAGAATGCAGTGAAAAAATTACAGAACTCGAGATTTATTCTGAGGAATTGCACCAGAAACACGAGGAATGCATCAAGAAAATAGATTCGATGACTTCAGAAGTGAAAAACTTGACATCAACACTGGAGAAGACTATTTTAGAACGCGATGACATCCAGAATAATCTCGCAGACTTGAAGCAACAAATGACAGAGCTGGAGGGCGAATGGAGATCAGAACGTGATATGAATGGAGTTCTTTCTGACGAAAAATCATGCCTGACCGCGGAATTGAATATTCTGCAAGAAGAGAAGAAGAATTTGTTGGAGAAACTGGATTTGAATGGAGAAAAACTGACGGAACTGGAAAGGAAAATCGAGGAACTGGAGAATTATTCCGAACAACTGCAACAGAAATACGAAAAATCGACTGAAAAAATCGTCTTGATGACTTCTGAAACGAACAATTTAACTCTGGAGCTGCGTGAAACTAGTTCAGAACGGGATTCACTGCAGGATAACTTGGCGCTTCTTCAGAAGCAGATTGAAGAATTAAATAATCAATTGGAGACAGAACGAGAGGCTAACGAGACTCTAATCACTGAAAAATCGGATATCAGTATAAAATTATCGAGTTTAGAAGAACAAAAAGACGATTTAGTTGGGAAATTGGACTCTCGTGAGGGGGAATTGACAGAACTCCAACGAAAGAATAAAAATCTTGAAGTTTATTCTGAGGAACTGCAGCAGAAATTGACTGAAGCCATCCAGAGAATTAATTCATTGAATTCTGAAGTAGAAAATTTGAATTCCCAACTCCAGAAAATGATCCCAGACTTGACAAATAAGATGAGCGACTTGAGTAGTCAATTGATGGCGGAAAAAGACGCTAATCAGGCTCTGATTAACGAAAGATCCTCTTTGATCAGCGAATTATCGAGCCTGAAAGCAGAAAACAACAATTTGTCCCTTAATTTGGGCTCAAAAGACTCAGAACTGAGGAATTCTGATGAAAAAATTAAAAATCTGGAGAGTTTCTCTGCGGAATTGCAACGAAAACACGAAGAATCCACTGAGAAGATCACGTCGATGACTTCTGAGATGGAAAAATTATCGTTGAAGTTGGAGAAGACAATTTCAGAACGTGATTCTGTGCAGAATGACTTGAGTCAACAGATCTCACACCTGAAGGGTCAATTGGAAACAGCAAAAGACTCCATTGAATCTGAAAAATTGTCCCTGATGACTCAATTATCAAAACTAAAAGAGGAGAATGACGATTTGGTCAGGAATTTGAGATCAAAACTTGAAGCTCTCCAGAATAATCACGAGAATTTACAGCAGAAAGAGCGAGAGTTGATCGAAAAAAATATTTTACTAAACTCCGAAGTGGAAAATCTGACTCAGCAGATGGAAGAAGCCATTTCAGAACGCAACTCCCTTCAATCCAACTGGAAAGATCTCCAGGATAAACTGAAAGCCTCAGAGGCTGAATTGGAAGGAGAACGAGATCGTAATGAGTGTCTTTCAGTTGAAAAATCTTCCCTGAAGACAGAAAATGAGAATCTCCTCGAGGATTTGACGTCTGCAAAGGAAAAACTGTCGGAATCCCAGAAGAAAATCGAAGATCTTGGGAGTTGCTCTGAAGAACTCGAGCGAAGGGCGACAGAATCATCTGAGAAGATCACCTCCCTGAGTTCAGAACTCGATAAATTGACGTTGCAACTGGAGGAGACGATTTCTTCGCGTGATTCAGCTCGAGAAGACCTCGCAGACACGACGAAACGACTGGAAACGACAGAAGCAGAGTCAAAAAAATACGAAAAAGAACTCCAGGAGTCAATAGCAACGGCCAGTCGCCTGGAGGAGCTCGTGAGTTCCTTGGAGAGGCGTCTTCAGGAGTCCCAGAGCTCCCACGAGACCCTAAAAATCGAGCAGAAGCTGAAGGAAGAAGCTGTTCAAGTCCTTGAGTCGAAACTCGAAGCCTTGAGAAAAGAGAAGATCGAGTCAGATCTAAAGCTGAAGGAGATAATCCTGAATCTCCAGGAGATCCGTGCGAGTCAGGACGCCGTGATGGAGACGCAATCGAAGGCATTATCCCAGAAGAATCAGGACCTTGAGACCCTCGAGCAGGTGCATGTGACGTTGAAGCGAACTCTCGAGGAGAAAATCAATCTCCAAGGCACGAAGAACTCTGAATTAACGAAGGAACTCGAGATCCTTCAGCAATCCCTGGAGCACTCTTCAAGGGAAATTGAGGAACTCCAGGGTTACCTGAAGACCGAGAGGGATGAATTGAAGTGCCTGAAGGAGGAACTCCACAAAAACAAAGAGGAAAAGTCGAAAATTCTGGAAATATCGAAACTGTTGGCATTTAAATTATCGAAATTAATCAGTATAATCAGGAGTGAATCAATTGCTCCTGAAGACGAGGAAAAATGGGACATTGACCACTCGTTTGAGGATCCAGACCTTCAGGAACTCGCGAAAACTCTGGAACCTCTCTTGAAGTCCATGAAATCTAGTGAAGAAACGCTTTTAACACTTCTTGAAGAGAATAAAAAATTGGTGGGAAGTCTCGAAGAAGAGAAACTAAAGTCAGAGACTGTCTTCAAGGAGCAGCAGAAGAACCTGAAGTTGGCAGAGGTGATTTCTCACCTAGAGTCCTCCCAGAATCGCCAACAGGAGTCAGTTTCCTCCCTGATCTCCAGGAAACAACGTCTCCAGGGGCTTTTGGATCAAGTGATCACCTCGAGGGATGAAATGGAGAAGACTCTGTCCTCCCTCTGCACCTCCTGGATGACAATTTCCTTCGAGAAGCAGTCCCTTCTGTCCGAGAGTTCGTCAGCCTGCGACGAGGTGAAGCACCTCAACGCCCAGAGATCAGAAATCGAGGGGATGATGAGGAAAATCAACGAACGTCACAACAGCAGCTTCCAACCGCTGATGAGAGGATTCTCTGGGGTTCTGTCGTGGTGTCAGCATCAGCTGGAGAATGGTTCCTCGCATGTTGGACTAAAAACCGATCCTGGAGCCATCGAAACGAAATTCTCCCATGAAATTTCGAAGAAAGAAGATCCTGAAGACGTTGAAATCGAGTTATCGTCTTCTGAATCTCTCCTTCAGTCAGAACTCCAGAAGAACGTGGAGATAAAAGATGATTTGGCTCTTGTCCTCGGGAAAATCGAGGAGTTCAAGACCTCGATAAACTCCTACGAGTCGAATTTGAAGTCCGGAGTTGTGAAGCGAGAGCCAACGGCTGAGGAGAAACTCCAGACTCAGGTGGATCGTCTCAGCAAAGAGAAGAAGGAGATGAAGGAGAAGTTGGACGCCATGAGGGTTCGCAATGCCAAGATGGAGAAGAATATGGATGACCTGAGGGGTGAGAACAAGAAGTTGAAGGCGGAGATGTCGTCAGCGTCTGTAGCAGCTCCAGATCCCTCCGAGCTCGATAAACTTGTCTCTCTGAATGAGGACTTGAGGAGGGAGAACGACGAGCTGAAGAGGCTGAAGGAGGAGCTTGAGAAACGCCCGACGGACGAGGAGTTTGATGTGAAACTCAAGCAGGTTCATGATGAGTATGGGATGAAGCTGGAGAAGATCAAGCAGAGGATGAAGCTGGCGTACAACGAGCAGGCGACGAAGATGCAGATGGAGCAGGACAGGGTGATCAGGGAGAAGACAGCTGTGCTGAAGGAGAAGATGGAGGCTGTGATGAGGGAGAGGATGGAGGCCCAGTGCAGGAAGTACACTGTGGATATCAATAAGTATAAGGCGCATGTGAAGGAGCTGTCGTCGCAGTACTGGGATGTGGGGGAGAAGCTTCTGGCTGAGCAGCAGGAGAAGGAGACCGCGCACCAACGGCTCAAGGAGCTCCAGAGGAAGCACCAGATTGCGATTGCCGAGGCCAGTCAGCAGTTGATAGCCTCGCAGAATCCGATGAGATCAGCCAGCCTCGACAGGGGTTTCGATCATGACCGAAGTGACCTGGGGATGAGAGCTGGCTTCAGAACGGTTCAGGTGATCGAGGAGCAGACAACAACGAGGAGGCACAGTGTCAAGAGCATCCAGGCCATGGGGAACGTCTTCAAGGCTGAGGATGAGGACGAGATATTCGATAATGTCTACCTGACTGATCTCAAGGAGGGACAGTTCAGGGCTATCGAACCTCAGACTGACTTCGACAGGCTGTCCGAGCTGAGGATGAGGAACTCGTTGTGCAGGCCTCATCTCAAGAGCTCGTATGCTGTGGAGACACATCTGCATCCTGCAGCCCTCACTGAAGAGGACATCAAGGTATGAGGGAGTTTTCGTGGGAGGTGGAGGGTTGCATACACAAAAAAATGTAGAAAGTTGAATTAATTGATTACGAAATGAGGGTAATTAATAATTACCATTTTTTCCTAATACTTAGGTACTTAGGTTTTTTGATACTTAGTAATTATTATCAGTTGACAACTGATAATATTAAATATTAAATTAATATATTATTATATTAAATTAAATTAGTAATATTATCAGTTGACCAACTGATAATAATTACTAATTATTATCAGTTGACTATCATCAATTTTCTTCTTTTCTTTTTTTTTCGATGGGATGCACCGTAGAAACTTCTAGAAAATTCTAAAACTTTCGGGAGAATTCTAGGAAATTGTCAAGCTGGAAGAACAATTCAACAAACTCGCGAGTTTGTAAAAGAGCATTTGAGAATATTCTCAGGTATTCCAGAAAATTTGAAAAAACTATCAGGTTTCCTTGAACAGTTGGGAAAGTTTCAAGATTTTTGGAATGAAATTTTGAAAAATTCCCCAATTGTCTACAAAAGTCTATGAGTTTATGGAGAAAAGAACATTCCTGAAATCTAAGAAAATTCTTGGATTTTATATACAGTTCAAGAATATTATCGGGGTTTCTGGAAAGTTGAAAAAAAATCGTAGATTTATTAAAAGTTTTTAGAAAATTATGAAGTCCTTTGGAAAATTGGAAAAAAATCGATTTGACCACGAAAAAGTGGCATAGAAAAACCTAACGAATTCGATCGAAAATTTCATTTGATTTCTAGTGAAATGTATTACTTTTTGGCTGATTATATTGAAAAATTCTGTAAGAACTATACGACTTTTTCTATTGAGATATTTTCTCCAGGAATTCCTCAGCATGAATTTTCCAAGTTTTTTCAACTTTATTTTTCTTCTTTTTTCATTAAAAAAATCCAACAAAAAAACTTGGGAAATTTGAACCGAGGAATTTCTACAGGAAATGTCTCAATAGAATAAGTTGTTCACAGTAATTGTTCTCAATATAATAAGCTGCGGAATTTTTCAATAACATCCGCCAAAAACTGATATAAATCCAATAGATTTTTCTGACAAATTCTCTGGGTTTTCCTGTTAAATTTCCTTGTCCGAGTTGTGGTGGTGGTTTAGATGGGTATTTCTGTTGTAGAGTGGGCCTCACGAGGATCTGTTCAATGATAGTCTCAGTCAGAGCCTACTGCCGGGACAGAAGGCAAAAAAAAAGGACAGGACTCAGGTAATTCTTGGGAAATTGTTGATGAGTGATGACAACATTCTTTCTCAATTAATATTAAATCATCAAACTATATTCAGTAATAAATAACAATGACATGACGATTATTCAATTATCGTTAGTCATTAATTCTGAATTACGACTCAGAAGTAATGACTGTTGATTGATTAAAATTTTTTGATTTTTTGTTCGCTTTATTTTATTGCTAGAAGAAAAAAATATAATTAACCAGGAATTAACGAAATGTTCAATAGATTTCAAGAGAAATCCAATAGAATTTTCTCAATAACCTGTCAGGTTCATCTCTCGTCTCTGTACCACGTAATTATTAATCTCGTGTGGGTTTAATTCATTAATTGGTGTTTATTTTTGTTTGTCCTTGTCTGTGATGTTTCTACGGTAATTGTAGACGTCCTATAAACGCCCTGGACCTCCTACACCGAGTAAAAATGGTGGCAGACTCTCCCTCCAGGTAAAAATGTTGTCCTTAGTTTATACATAATTCAGTAGTTAAAGTGATTGGATTTTTGTGAATTTTTGCGATTGAATCTCTGAAGATTGGGGATAAATCTATGAAAATTACGGATAGACCCTATATTATATTTTATTTATTTTACTAAAGATGAAAGAACGTTAAGTTGTTTTATATTGAAATATCTGGAAACTGCCTGACCGCTAATCCTTAATTCTGATTGGTCAATATGTGACACGAAGTTATTCATAAAAAAAACACGGGGCATTTTAAAATTCTTCAGTGACATAATTTCAACTGCATAGCAATTGGAGATAATTTCAGATTATTAAAATAAATAAAAAACAACCAAGCTCACGTTCGAAAGATAATCTGCCCGGGCCTTAAAGCAATTTTCCACGTGCGGAAAATAAAATTTGTGAATAATTTCCAGGGAAATGAGCTGAAAAGTCCAAATTCGAGAATTCTGAAGGAGAAAAACGTGGACAGGAGAACAACAGCAACACCAAAGAGGCTGAAAGACTTCTTTGGAACTTCTCTGTCGAGACGTCAGGACGAGGTGAGCCCCTGGGATGATTACGCAATACCTCCGAGAAGATTTATTCCTCTACCGATCCTCCTGTTCCTCCTGCTGGCCTTTCCCCTCCAGCTCTATGGACTCTTACTCCTGATATTTTTTTATAATTTGTAAATATGACCTGTTGATGACCACTGGAGCCCACATTAATCATTCTTTTTTTTTAGAATGCTCCGGGTACTCCGAAGGGTCGCAGACTCAGCAACATTTTTCGCAAGCCGAAGACGGAGAGAAGCTGATGAAATTCCCTCAGAATAAATTATGTAAAATAGAAAGATGATTCGTGGCTTTCATATAATTTTTATTACAAAAAAAATAATAATGTTATTCTCATTAATATGTAAATTAGTTAAATACTACCAGTAGTAACAAATAATAATTTCAGATACTGATTTTTGTTTTTTTTTCTTTTTTTTCTTTGTTTTTATGGAAAAAGAGAAATATGAAAATACGAATTGCTTTCGTAGCGATGGGGTAATGATGTGACTCGAAAAAACTAATGCAACATTTGGACAGTGTTTTTACACGTTTTTTTTTTATATTCCTGAGGGCTCCTTATTCCGAATCAGACTCCTGGAAGAATTCAGAGGAAAAAATTTTTTTTATTTTCTTTAATAACAGAATTATTACGTTCTAACACTCCATAGCTATTGAAAAATAATAATTCAACAAGAAAAAGTTGATTGATTCAACAAAATACTTTTTTGATGATTACCAAGGTTATAATTGTTTAATTAAAAAATGCAAAATTTCAAAACATGAATGATTATCGAAACGATTTCATTATTAATTAACGAGAAGAGATTCCTAGCTGAACTTGCTGTTTATCCCCAGCTGAACTTGATTATAACTCGACAAAATAATTCAATGAGTCAACAATTTTTAATGAATTAATAAAAGTAGGAATAATGAGCTAGTTCAACGAATTATGGGTCTCATGACTTTGAGAATCAGCATTCAGCGGATAATTTCCCATCCTCCGGCGATGGTGATTATCTGTTAGAAAAATCGGAACTGATGCAGAAACTTTTGGTAATACTTTGTTCATGTTTCGGTCGAGACTTTTTTCTGCTTTTTTTTTATTATTCATTCATAATTTTTCAAAACTTCTGCACGATGCAGGACTTAATTGACGATTTCAGATGACGAAAGATGAAAAAAAACATCGAGATAACGTTCGAAAGGTAGTACACTCGGGCCTTAAGACACTTTTTGAACGCTTGAAACTTGGTAATCATCGACATGCGATTTTTCAGGCGAAACTAAAACGCTATCGATGAAAATGATATTTTTTACCATGTATTGTCCTTCAACATATCTTCCAGAATTTCTTTGTGTTCTCCTGAGCTCCCTGGGCTCTGATTGGTCCTGACTTCGACGACTAGAGCAACAATTCAAAGTAATAATCAAATAACTGGGAAATATCTTGGGGGATAATCAGTTACTGATCTAATTTGCTTACACTCTTCCTTGGATCTGCATTGCTTTGAATCTATTATCAATGTCTTGTGGTGGACTCTGTGAGTCATCAGCCATGTGTCCAGGGGAATGGGGAATACCCTGAGCATCACCATTGTCAAAGAAATTCGAAGCTCTAGGGCGTCCTGGGGGTTTTGTTGCAGTTTGACTATAAAATATCACATTATCTGTCAGCTAATTCCTATTTCTCACTTGGAAAATCAGCAGGGAAGTGGTAATACGTCACAGAAAAGAGCAATTCAATTCTACACGTTCAATTAATTATTGAATGATCGCGTATGCAAAAACAGTCTTGAGAATTTGATGAGTTTAGTTCAATTTTAATGTAAAAAATAACAAATTTGGTTTTTATTTTTTCTATTCGCAGAATTTTCACGGGGTTCTCATGACGCAACCCCCAATTCATTGACTAGAATTTTGGTTTATAAACAACAAATGAGGTTTTTTGAAGATTCTCGAAATTGCTACAGATGAACAATCTGAAAATTTTTTCAATTGAAATAGTGAATTATTAAAATATTAATTTTTTATGATTTTTTTCATTAAAAAAATTACTTTTGCGAAGGCATTATTTTCTTGGGAGAAGAATAATTTTTTAGGAGTATTTTTCCAAGTGCATTTCCGAATATTAGAACTATGTTGAATTATGGAACGATTATGCTGCACATGACCTGGAATGAATTCCACTGACATTTATTAACAGTTGGAATTATTCCAATTTATTAAAAATTTATTCCAATTTTTTTTTCTCAGTGTATATTCGGAATACTCGAAAAATCTCAATAAAATCGTACTTTAATGATTTACGATGTATTTGTATTTCACTAATTTTCCAAAAACTCAACAAATCGAAATTTTCATCTAAAGCCTCTTTTTGATCAATAAAAAAATCAAAATCTAATTTTTTAGGAATGAAATTGATATTTTTAACTGAAATTTCTAAATATTAAAAAATTTGTTGTGATTGCAAGCAAATGATTTTTATAGTGGAAAATTGACTGTTTATAAATTATTTATAGAAAACGCTCGGAATTTTCAAGAATTGCCATTTTAAAATTATTTCATCAATCTTCCAAAAGTAAACTTTCAAACTTGTTTTTCAGATTTTTTAAATGTTTTATAACGGTTCAATATCGAGATTCAAATTCAGACCCGCAAAAAAATGTCGGGAAACTCAAGAGTCAAACGGAGCTCAAACGAAAGGTCTGATGTTCGACTACAAAAGTAGAAAAGCATTTCCCTGGAGAAAAAACAGCTAAAATACTTGCATATCCATAAATGAGCAATAAACCAAAAAATCCAAACTCATCACGACGTTTTACCATTTCGCCACTGACGCAATTGACGAAAATTCAAAGAATAAAATGTTCCTCTACTCACGGCATTTTCTTCGTCGTTCTCTTCTTCTTCTGCTTACTAGAAACAAATATATTTCTTTACATTGTGAAACTTCATTCTCAAGAAAAAAACAATCATTTTCAACAGACACTGGGTACAGGAGCAGTAGGGAAAAGGGTTTTTCCAATAAACTTGAAAAAAAAACTAAGAATTTTCACTCATAAAGATTTTTTGTATTATTAAAACACCAATTTACATTAAGTATATCTTTTAGCCTCATTATCCATCATCAATATATAAAAAATTAACTTTTTATTACATTTTAGCATTTGATGTTCTTTACAATCTAGAGTAGAATAAAAAGGGGCCTGCGATTTTATTTTTCGAGCTCCCATAGCATCCCTAATGCTCCACGGATACAATATTTCTCATATTTATTCGTTCATTATGTTTTGTTCAAGTGAATCTGATATCGACAGGCTGGTGCAGGAGGCTTCATCGATTCCTGCAAAATTATTGTTCTGATTTTTAAAAATTCATTCATCAATTTTTTCCTCTCTCTCTCTCTCTTCTAAAATTAGGATGAAACAATTATCCGAGGATTTAACAACAACGAAAGTCCTCTTGCACTGAGCCATCGATTTTTATTTGTTAATTATGTGATGAATGAAAGATGTTAAACTATGAAACAGAATTCAGTAGCAAAGCGATGAAACGGTTCAAGTTAACTCTGACTATCGGCCAGTTTTCAGTGAATATCTCGAAATCTAAGGGAGATAGCGAAATTTTTGTGAAGAACATTTTTGTCGCCCTCGATTCGCTCCACAAAAAAGGTAATCACGAAAATTTTGTTATATCCCTTAGATTCGGAGATATTCATCGACAACTCAGCTAAGGTCTGTCAACTTGAACCGTTTTACCGCTTCGCTACTGAATTGAGTAAATCGAGATGATTGATGAATTTTATTGACAAATATTACGGAATTTCAGAAAATCTCAAGAAGATTTTGTAGAATCTCAAGGAAAATTGTTTCAATTTTACGGATTTTGCGTAAAATTCAAAATCAGTAGCGAAACAGTAAAAGGGTTCAAGTTAATTCTGACTATCGGCCAGTTTTCAGTAAATATCTCCGAATCTAAGGGAGATAGCAAAATTTTTGTCGAGACCTTTTTTGTAGGGCGAAATGAGGGCCACAAAAAAGTTTATTACGAAAATTTCGTTATCTCCCTTAGATTCGGAGATATTCCTCAAAAAGCTGAGGCCTAAATCGACTTGAACCGTTTTACCGCTGCAGTACTGAAATCAAAGTATTGTAATAGAAAATCTGGAGTTATTCAACAAAAACTAAACCCCGAAACAAACAACAAACTGGTTCATCTCAATTTACGATTTTTTACTGAATTTAATTGAATGAAAATGCATGACTTAATATTCAAAAAAGTGATAATAAATAAAAAATGAAGAATAAGCATGAAAAAGCGAGCGAAGATGACGTGGCGTAGACACAAATGGCAAAGCAGTTAGTAGATACTGAAAAAGCACATGAAAATAAAATAAATATAAATAAAAAAATGATTTACTCACAATTGAAAAAAAGCTCAAAAGCGTCAACTCTACTTCACAATAATTGTTTACAGGTGTTGGTCTACAGAATGAGACAACTTACCCCATGAATTCATGATCAGAACCCTCATCAGCGTCCTCAGCCTCTTCTTCTTCTGAAATGAATGAAAATACTTTAAAAACTGCGTAAAAATTTGTCATTTTCGTATTAAAAATAATCTGATTTTTATAATATTTTTGTATAAATATTCAATTCATCATGATTGTTGATTAATAATAATTATTTTCAATTGCTGGTAATTATTATTTAAAAAAAAAATTGATAATTCAATAATTATCAATTGATTTTTAGAAGTGACTGATTTTACAGTTAAAAAAATTCTTTCCATTCTCCACTAACATTTCAATAGTGATTTTGAATGTCTAATACTCTCGTGGAGATTATCAATCAATAATTATTGTTTATTGATAATAATTATTATTAATTGTTGATAATCATTAGTTGACGATAATTACCATCAGTTCATAGTAATTAATAATTGACAATTTCATCAAATAATCGTTATTTGATTTAATTTTCGATAACAAAATCAAATTTCCAATTCCTGAAGAAAAATTATGCGAAAATAGTTTTTTAAGTCATTTTTCCTAGAAAAACAAGTGGATAATTGCATCTTTTATGAATGAGTACAGCTATTGTTGCTAATAAATTAGCAATTGGGTTCCGAATGGGTTCTTTTTTTTTCAATTCTTCCTTCAAAATTTGTCATTTTCGTATTAAAAATAATCTGATTTTTATAATATTTTTGTATAAATATTCAATTCATCATGATTGTTGATTAATAATAATTATCTTCAGTTGCTGGTAATTATTATTTAAAAAAAAAATTGATAATTCAATAATTATCAATTGATTTTTAGAAGTGACTGATTTTACAGTTAAAAAAATTCTTTCCATTCTCCACTAACATTTCAATAGTGATTTTGAATGTCTAATACTCTCGTGGAGATTATCAATCAATAATTATTGTTTATTGATAATAATTATTATTAATTGTTGATAATCATTAGTTGACGATAATTACCATCAGTTCATAGTAATTAATAATTGACAATTTCATCAAATAATCGTTATTTGATTTAATTTTCGATAACAAAATCAAATTTCCAATTCCTGAAGAAAAATTATGCGAAAATAGTTTTTTAAGTCATTTTTCCTAGAAAAACAAGTGGATAATTGCATCTTTTATGAATGAGTACAGCTATTGTTGCTAATAAATTAGCAATTGGGTTCCGAATGGGTTCTTTTTTTTTCAATTCTTCCTTCAAAATTTGTCATTTTCGTATTAAAAATAATCTGATTTTTATAATATTTTTGTATAAATATTCAATTCATCATGATTGTTGATTAATAATAATTATCTTCAGTTGCTGGTAATTATTATTTAAAAAAAAAATTGATAATTCAATAATTATCAATTGATTTTTAGAAGTGACTGATTTTACAGTTAAAAAAATTCTTTCCATTCTCCACTAACATTTCAATAGTGATTTTGAATGTCTAATACTCTCGTGGAGATTATCAATCAATAATTATTGTTTATTGATAATAATTATTATTAATTGTTGATACTCATTAGTTGACGATAATTACCATCAGTTCATAGTAATTAATAATTGACAATCTCATCAAATAATCGTTATTTGATTTAATTTTCGATAACAAAATCAAATTTCCAATTCCTGAAGAAAAATTATGCGAAAATAGTTTTTTTAAGTCATTTTTCCTAGAAAAACAAGTGGATAATTGCATTTTTTATAAATGAGTACAGCCATTGTTGCTAATAAATTAGCAATTGGCTTCCGAATGGATTCTCTTTTTTTCAATTCTTCCTTCACAATTACCATCTTCTATTTTTTCAAGCTTCTATTCGAAACAAAAAGAAGAGAAAATTCCCGAGGTGAATATCCCCTTAATTAAAACCAGTAATTACCGATTAATTGATCCTTTTTACGTCTGGTGTACGCCCTCTTGCTGGTAACAGGCACCTGATCAGTCTCCCCATGCAGCAAGCTGTTCCTGTACATCAACAAGGGCTGCCAGTCCTCACCCCTGGAGGAGGGCATGCCAGCAGGAAGTTTGAGATCCAAGAACGTCAGGACCACCTTCTTGTCCTGTCTCAGCAATTTATTCGTGAACTCCAGCAGAATCTCCAGATAAGGAAGATTGGGGGGTGGTCCAGTGGGGTCCAGTTCCTCCCCATCAGGTGGAGTAATAGCGAACAGAATCCCAGATCTGTGAAGAGCTGTGATGGCTTCCCTATTCTTTACAGCATCAAGCCCAAAGGAAAGTGCAAATCTCTTCGCCAATTCCTTGATGGGCGTGATGTCGTCGAGAGTTCTGCTGTTTCCCTTCTCCAAAATAACATCGTTATACAGTTTATTCAGACTTAGCTGCATGGTGAGCGCACAATTGACCTTGTTTATGTCCCGGGCCTTTCCCAGAGTCGTCTTGATTATGTCCCCATAATCATTGTAGTACCTCAAAAAAAAAAAATGAAAAATACGTTAAAAATGCGTAAAATTGAGTCATTTTTGTAATAAAATAATGCATCTGACTTTTATAATAGTTTTGTGGAAATTAGAATTGATCATAATTATGATAAATTAAACATAATGTTAATGTCATGTTTAATTTATCATAATTATGATTATGTCCTCATAATCATTGTAGTACCTCACGTAATGCTTGAATACGTCAGCAGCTGATTTAGTTGGTATCATGTTGTAAACAATGAGTTTGCAGTAGCTAGCTAGGAAATTTCTCCTCTTGTGTAGCTCCTCAATCTTCGAGTGCTCGTCGTGATCCTCCTCGTCCTCATCGAAGAACACGTAGTCCTGGATGAATTTGTTCAACATATCCTGCATATCCTGGTCAGGCTCGTAGACAAGCCTGTGAAGGAGGGGATTGGGATTGCTGTTGAGTTGATTGCAGAACATCACGAGAAGATCGCAAATCGTGTTGTATGCTTCCTCACGAAGGGGAACTGCCATTCTGTGGCCCTCACCAGCAACGAAGTACCTGGGGAAAATCGATAATGGAAAATCAAGAAATTCATTGGCCAGTTTTCAATGGATATCTCGAAATCTAAGGGAGATAGCAAAATTATTATTATGACCTTTTTTGTGCAGTGAATTAAGGGCTACAAAAAAGGTTATTACGAAAATTTCGTTATCCCCCTTAGATTCGCAGATATTCCTCGAAAACTCAGCGAAAGGCTAAATCGATTTAAACCGTTTTATCGTTTCGCTTATGAATTTATTTTCGATTAAAAATTATTGATTGCTTGCAGCAATTTTTTTTATTTTTGGAAGAAACTCTAAAATTTTACAGGAGAAATCTAAAGAATTTCCTAGAAAATTCTATAGAAGTCGATTTTTTCATACAATCTATTCTATTGAGATATTTTTTATCGACTTTCCTCGGCCGAAATTTTCAAAGTTTTTATGTTTAATTTTCTTGATGAAAATAAAAGAAAAATAGAATGAAAAAACTTGAAACATTTGAGACGAGGAAATTCTCTGGAGAATATCTCAATAAAAGTTGTATAGAAAAATTGAATTCTATAGACTTTTCCGTAAAATATTCTGTATTGAATATTTCAATCAATATAATTGACCAAAAACTAATAAAAAGTTCAATAGAAATCCAACAGAATTGAATTAAATTTTTTCGTGTGAGTTTGTTGAATTCTCCTCCAATTTTCTAAAATTTTCTAGAAGTTTCTCAGATGCGTCCCAACGAAAAACGAAGAACAAGAAATGGAAGAAAATTCCTGATAGTTATTAATCAATCACAATAAATACACCTTTAAGTGGCCTTGTGGTCGCAATAACTCCAAAAAAATTCAAATTCTAATGAGTCAATTCGACGTTTCGGTCCTGCATCAGAACCCTCATCAGGACACAACTCTCTTTATTTCAACTTTCTGCAAGAAAAATACAAAAATACAAAAATAAAAAAATTAAAAATGAAATGAATGAATGATGCTGATGAGGTTTCTGATGGAGGACCACAATGTCGACTTGACTCATTAGAATTTGAATTTTTTTGGAGTTATCGCGACCGCAAGGCCACTTAAACGTGCATTTATAGATTAGCACGGTCGAATAATTATCTCCACTTCATTAATCAATAACAATCACCACCACTTCATGGTAATCAATAACTGAATCTTGAGTAAAAATTACCTCATAGCATCCATGAAGGTATGCAAGCACCGGTAAAGCTCCCTGGCCTCATCCTCCCCCCTGGTTCCCAGATCATTGGCCTCAAGCAGATGATTTTGCCCCCAAAGAATGGAGAAGAAGCACCCACTGATGCAGTACTTGGTGGCCTCCTCAGGGAAGCTCCTCTGGGGATCCTTGGCATCCTCAATATTCTTGTACAGAGAGTCCCATATCTCCCAGCCATTCATATCATGACAGCTGTAGAAAATAGCGACCTTCTTCAACGACTGCACGACATTGAAAATCTCATCCTCATCAGGTGTCTCAGCCCCATCAATGAGATTCCTGTAATCATCGATGGCCTCCTTATACTTATTAACGATTGAATCAATCAGAGTTCTCCTGGCGGTATCACACTGTGAGAATTTGGCATGAGTCTCCACACACATGTACTCCAATGTCCTGGCAGCAGTCTCCAAGACATCAGTGTCATGCATTTTCTCGACAATTCCCTTGATCTTCTCGAGAAGTGCCTCCAGATTTCTCTCCTGCCTGGACTTGACGTAGATATCGAGCTCGAAGTACTGAGGAATAGCAAGTAAATTAGCCAACTTTTCAGGATCAGCTCGATACTTATCAAGAAGAAGAGGAAGAGTGACGATGAAGTGTTCAGTGAGCCTCTGCTTGTCATCAGAGACTTGTTTCTGCTCTTTAGCCGATAGAATTTTTCTCGTAGGGCCTCGACCAACAGGAGCCTCTCCAGTAGCTGCTTGCTTGATGCAGCAAACCATCAACTCGATCAACGACGTCTCCTTCTGATTGTCCAATGCCTCCTCCTCAGGTCCAGCCTCCTCCAGCAATAAATCCGTCATGCACTCCCAGTCCTTCATCATCTGATTGGTCTCGATGAGTGAGTCCACGAGGTACGCTCCATGCTCATGCAGCTCAGACTCGATAAAAAATAGAACAAGGTCCCTGATGAGGGGAGTATTGGGCAGTCTCTTCTTCCCTCTTTTCGTCTTGACCCCGGCAACGGCCTCTTCATCAGGCGTGAAGAGTCTCTCGTTCAGAAATTCACCAGCTGCTTGTGCCACAGCCCTGTGAGACGAGTAAACAAGCTCGTAGACGTGCTCACAGTCTTTATCAGTTAAAATCTCTCGATGATGCTTCAGAATTGATATCACGAGTTTGACAGCCTGAACTGCCACGTCGTACTCCTTATCGAGGGTCATTGCCACTATTCTGTCCTTGAATTTACTCGTAAAAAGCTCGAGTTTGGCTTTGAGCTCCTCAGAAGCGTACAGTGGCTGCAGTGCCTGAAGGCATTTCAGCCTGACCTCTCCAACTTTATCGTGAAGTGTCCAGCCAATGTACTTCAGGTAGGAGTCGTCCAGGAAATTCTGATGAAATTTCTTCATCCATACGCCAATCTCCGCCATGCAGATGGCTCGAATCTCAGGGAGTGTGTCCCTGTACCTGTGAACGAACACCGATTTGAACATGTATGTCAGCATGTTCTTTATCTCGTCCATGTTCTCCTCGAGTTCCTTTCGCTTGGACATCAGGGACTCCAGTCTGTCAGCTGCCCTCTTCTCCCTGGCCTTCTGTCTCTCTGACTCGTACTGTCTCTGGGTGTTGTCGAGATTCACTGATACTGTCAGGGCCACGTCGACCAGGGCCGTCATGAGTTTCATCGCTGCGAGTGTTGCTGTGTGACGAAATGCTCGAACTTGAGAGTCTGATAAGCCTGTCGACAGGAATTGGGAGAGATTATTGCTTTAGTAATGTAGGTCAGAGTTATTAGAAAATGAATTAAAGTCAAGTCGATTTTTAAGTCAATTATCTCGGAATTTAAGGGAGATAGCAAAATTTTTGTCTCGACCTTTTTTGTGCGGAAAATTAAGGGCTACAAAAAAGGTCATTAGGAAAATTTCGATACCTCTCTTGGATTCGGAGATATTCTTCGAAAACGCAGCAGAAGGCTTTGTCATCTTAAACCGCTTTAGCGCTTCGCTGCTGAATTAATATCTCGAAATCTGAGGGAGATAGCAAAAGTTTTGTCGGAACCTTTTTTGTAGAGCGAATTGAGGGCTACAAAAAAGGTTATGATCAAAATTTTGCTATCTCCCTTAGATTCCGAGATATTCATTGAAAACCAGCCAATCCTTAAAACCGAAAATGACCAAATTGTGTAGAGCTACTTTATCTCCATCGAGATGTCATGAATTCCTAAAATATAATCATCTAAATATTCTTATCCCTGCCTGTTAGTAAAGAGATGACATTGTCCATGAGGAACTGATCGTAGATGATGGAGTACTGGCACTGTCGTACGAGAATCTGCACGAATTCACAGAAGTTTGAGCGAAATTTTTTCCAGGGTTGTCCAGTCATAATGAGAGGATATTCCCCACTCTCTTCGTCAAATTCTTCAGTCATTCGACGAATAATCGCCACGTGCTCCATCGACGCCTGCATGTCCGGAGTGATTTTTCCCTTGCAGCCACTGGCATTTATGAAGAACTGCATCAGAAGCAGGAGAGCATTGTCACGATTTGTCTTGTACTTCTCAATCCAATCGTCAACGATGCTCGTGAGGGAGTTGCGATTGTTCTTTATGACGAAGTAGAGGCTCTGCTCGTCCTCAGAGGTTGCAGGGAGGATGAATTTTTTGGCACGACCTCGACCACCGCCTCCTCGGGGCTTGGAGGGTGGCTGGGAGGGAATGTAGTCTGTGTCGACTTCTCGGTACTTCGGCTGGGCCACTGCACCCCCTCGCATTCTCGCCCGAGTGTTTCTGGTGATTCTCATGTTGGGGGTGGCTGGGGTCATCGGCTGCTCGAACTGGGGCTCGTTCGAGAGGGGCTCCTGGTACTGGTGGTGGGACGTGCTGGGGGAACTGTAGGTTTCCGACAGGTGGTCTGGGCTGTGGAAGACATTAATGATGACATTTTATAGGAGGAGGGCTGTCTCTGAGAAATTCTACTGAAGCTTGATGATGGATAGTAGAAGAGGTTTTTACTCTTTCGTGTGAATTATTGGGATTATTTCACCTGTGGAAATTTTTGGGATTAAATTTTTCAAGTTTTTGCTTCCGAATGGAAGCTTCATAATCACTCAGATTGAAGTTTCCGATTTTTGTGCGCACGCCGATCTATTAATTTATTGAAATGAAGACATGCAATTCATTGAATTTCATTTCCTCATGAATACCTTATAAATATTGATAATGAATCAAAGAGAATTCGACTAATGATTGGAGTGAATGGCGAAGTAGAGTAAAAGAATCTATAAAGAATTTTTCATTTTCAATTAATTATGTTCATTTTTTTTTAATATTCGGTCTCCATAAAAGGACAGAATTTATTAATTTCATCGATTTCACGTGAAAAAAAAATACCTCTGAAGAATTTGAAATTATGAAATTTTTTTTCAACTACTAAATCTATTTTTTTGACAAAAATTTTTCATTCCGGCGCACCCTCTGCATTGTTTGGCACAAAAAAATCCTTTTTTGACAATTTTCAAAAAACTATTTTCTTGGCACAAGTAAGACTTGTTTGAGAACTTTGTCGTTTTTCTCTCAGTGCAAAGAATTTCAATAGAATTTTCTAGCGAATTCCCTAAGTTTTTCTATTGAATTTTTTACAGCGGAGGTTGGGGTAAAACGGACACTTGACATTTTCTAAATGTCAATGAGGGGTTGAAATGTTGATAAAATTTGATAATTTTTTTTTCAATAGAAAGAACAGTTATTTCCCTTTATGACGAGCCTGAACTGAGCGCAAATGATAAAATTGTTTGTGAGTTATGAATAAAGAAAAAAAAATCTAGTGTCCATTTTACCCCACCCTCCCCTAAGTTTAAGGTTTAAGGGCTTCAACGAAGACATTATACTCACATCGGGGTATGTATTGGCGTCTGTGGTGCCTGATAGGAAGAATAACCCCCATAATTATCCCCGGTGTCCATGTTATCAGTCATTGGCGTCATTGGTGTCATCGGTTCCTGGTACTCTGGTGGCACAGGATCATCCATGCGGATCCTCTTGCCTCCACGTCGGTGCATCATCTTTGATTGCTATCGAGGTCCTCAGAGCATGAATAAAAATCACTCTGGTAAATAAACAAATTGATTTGTTTGGGGTGAATCGTGATAAATTGGTGTTTAGGGGGGAATTTTGAGGACTGGAAAGACAAATGTTTGCGCTGGTGTTTGGGGCGTAAATAGGGGTATTTTTGACGGATATTTGGGGGGTGAGGGGGCTGGGGTGACTTACTTGGTGTTTTCGTTGATTTATTGCTGTTAATCACGTCATTAATGCGTTAACGCGGGAAAATAAACGCCGCAAGTTCATCTCAGTCCGCCATTTTTCCATGTATCGAGCTGTTTTGGTCGCGGGAATTTAGCAGCGCTGACATCTATCAGAGAGAATGATAACTCAATACTTCAGCGGCACATTTGATAGTGCGAATTTCATTGTTGCTGGGCTATTTTATTTGGTAGTATGAAAAAATTCATAGAAAATCATAGGACTTTATCTGAGAAATTGTATAGAATTTCTGTAAGAATTCTAATAGAAAATTCTATTGATTTTTTTTGCATCAATTCTATTGAAAATTATGTAATTTTACGTGCAGTTGTCAATAGATGTTTATTCATAAAAAAGTATATAGATGTTGATTTTTCCATACAACTCATTCTATTGGGATTATTTCCATAAGATTTCGTGACCAAAAATTTCACTATTTTTTTTTGCATTTTGTTATGAGAAATTAATGAAAATAACAATTCTACAGAAAAATCAAAATTTATTGACTTTTTTCTAGAAAATATTTCTTAATAAAAAACAGGGTAAAATGAGTATGGGAATGAGAAACCGTAAGAACCGAAAGGTATACGGTGAAATGGAATAAAAATTAATTAGAACTGTCCATTAGACTTCTTCATACATGCTATATGATAATAAAATAGAGCAACTGCTCAATGTTTCATATTTTTATTCCAAAACAGTGGACGAAAATAATAAAAAATTCATTCTTCCTAAATTATGTACATTTTTATTAAAAATGATTTCTACACGGGCTTCAACCCAGGAACTCTGTACAAAAATTCGCCATCACAATCGTAATAGCGATCCTGAACCCTGAAAGTAATCTGCTTCTGCGCCTTGTCCTTCGGGATTTTAATGAACTTGGGGTAGTCCTCAGGGCCACTCACTTCCTTCTTCTTCCACTCGACGATTCCAGTCGCTAAGCTATCCTGTTCTGAATTCAATTTCGGTACATCCACATGCACAACTTTCTCCTGCTTTACCTCTCCCACTTCCTTCAACCCCTCGAATTTTAATATTTTTTCTTTCATCTTCAAATGAAACTACTCCTACCTCATCTCAGGAGGATTTTCTGCTGTTCAATAGAATTTCTTAAGGAAAATGCTAGGTTTTTCTATTAAATTTCTTCATACATGCTATAATAATATGATAATAAAATACAGCAATTGCCGAATGTTTTATATTTTATTCCAAAAACAGTGGACGAAAATAATAAAAAATTCATTCTTCCTAAATTATGTACATTTTTATTAAAAATGATTTCTACACGGGCTTCAACCCAGGAACTCTGTACAAAAATTCGCCATCACAATCGTAATAGCGATCCTGAACCCTGAAAGTAATCTGCTTCTGCGCCTTGTCCTTCGGGATTTTAATGAACTTGGGGTAGTCCTCAGGGCCACTCACTTCCTTCTTCTTCCACTCGACGATTCCAGTCGCTAAGCTATCCTGTTCTGAATTCAATTTCGGTACATCCACATGCACAACTTTCTCCTGCTTCACCTCCCCCACTCCCTTCATCCCCTCAACGTTCAGGTCTAGTCGAGATTCCGGGGGTTTTTCCTCTTCCATTTCAAAATTTATCCTTTCATCCTCAAATGAAGCTACTTCTTCCTCATCTGGAGAGTATTTCGGTCCGCTATTCGATAAGGCTTGAGGACTTTTACCTACCATTACAACGGTTTCCCTTTCTTTTCGTTCCAATGAAGCTGTTTTCCCATCTCTCCCCTTTCTAAATTCACCAGTCGATGATTCCCCTTTACTAAAAATATTTTCCCTCTTCATCCCGATTTTTCCGTCTTTCTTCGCCTCAAACGAACCTCTTCCCTTCGTATTTTCGACCTTCATTCCTTCAACCTCTGCCCCTGAGGTGTCAGAATTCCCCAATGCCTCCTCATCCTTCTTCTTCTTGTACTCATCAACCAGTAATTGAAGCTCTGGACTCAAATTATCAGCCCTAGAAAGTGTTCCAACAGTTTTTTCCACGAATGTATCGAAATTCACCCTCTTACCCTCAATTTTAACTTGCGACAAGTCGATTCTTGCCCTTTCTTTTCCATCAGAAATTCTGGGAATTTTTTCTTCAGCTTTCGGGGGCTCGACGTAGTCTCGAACGAGGGAACTGAACAACGTGGCTTTGGGCTCCGGAAACACTGGCTTCTGCCTCACGAATTTCTCAGCAATCGTTTTCAGATCCGCAGCCTCGATCTTCCGACCCTTGAACTGCTGAAGGTGGGCCTCGAGCTTGGGACTGACAGCTATGTTTCCCGATCTGAATTTATTCCAGTTGTCTATGACCTTCTCGTCGTACTTGATGACAACTTTAGCGTTGTTTGGTTGCCAGTTTGCGCGGATAATTCTGCGAATAGTGTCTGGAAGCGCTGGGAAGGATTCACTGAGCCTCTCGGGTGACCACTCGACTGGATCCTTCGCGTGGAGTGATTTAATCTCCATTTTCTCGGTCCACGTGAGGAAGTTTGGGTCGTCGGATTTGAAGTATTTCCTCCCAACTATTCGCATTTTCAGTTTTTCCTTCTCCTGATATTTTTCTCTGGGAAAGGGAGAAGAAAGAAAAATTATGAAATGGACCGTTTTGATAGAATTAATACATTCAGAAAAAAAAGATTTTTGCCAGATATCCATTTACTTGCGAGAAGTATTTATTTTTTCAATACCGCATTTCTCATGAGGTTTTAATTATGTCAATTATATTGCTGTAGATGATCATGTCAGCAATTGAGTGAACGCCCTCAATAATTATCCACATTAAATAATTAATCGAAATTCGTCCCTCTAGAAAATAAGAAATTTGGGAAAAATGAATAATCATTGGAGGAGTTGATCCAAGGTCATGGGTAGCATAGTCATCGTCTAGAGCAACATGATTGGAACCTAATCAGGCTGGCTTGGGAATGACTCGATTGGAGGAATATGATGTTGAAAAAATAAATGGTTCTCTCAAGTAAATGAATATTTGATAAAAATAATTTTTTTTCTCAGTTCACTGCAGAATGGGGTGAAGGAGTGAATGATGATGGCAGTAGTGAGAGAACAGTGTCCCCAGCTGATGATGAATATGAAACTGAAGTCAAGGAGCGAGTGGGAATGCCCAGTGATGTTACAGAGAGCTTAAGAGCCTCGAAAAATCATTGCTCGAGTGATTCTCTGCACAGAACAAGTGACAACTGCAGGGCTGAGGGGAATAATGAGCAGAGGAGTTGTGAATCATCGGGGAGGGCGAATTTAAATAGTGGGGAGGGCTCCTCTGACACGAGACTGAGTCAGCCGGGGTCACAGGGGACAGAGGGTGACTGTGGAGGTGCTGGAGGTGGTGCCAATACTGGGGAAAATGTGGAGATGGTGGACGAGGGGGAGAAGGGAAATTTATCCAATCTCTCGCAGGAGTTGTTGAAGCTCAGTAAATACGGATGGTACTGGGGACCTATTTCTGGGGATGAGGCTGATGCCAAGCTGCAGGCTGAACCTGATGGGGCTTTTTTGATCAGGGACTCCTCAGACGACAGGTGAGAGACACTGGGACTAATTTCATTTCTTTCAATGTTGAATATCTCTTGAGCTAACGATACCAATGGAATTAATTCTGTTGCATTACGAAGGTTTATTCCTATTCTATTTACCTCATGTATTCTGTGTAAGTTTGATTAGCCCTCATGAAATCAGACTCATCCTTCTCCACATCGTCAAAGTCATCCTCATCAGGCTCGTCATTATCATTAGCATCAGGATAAAGTTTCTGCTCAGTAAACACCGGTTTTGCCACTCTGAGCCTACGCCCTCGAGGTCTGCCTCCTCCTCTACCGTGATAACCTCTCAGAGTCACCAAAATCGCCGATCCCAATTTATTCATTCTGTGTCATCCACTCCCAGCCTCTTCGATGACTCTCCAATCAGTTCCCCAGAATACTGACGCACTCGTTAATTATATATCACGTCTCAATAATTAACACTCACTTTGTTTCACTCGAAATCACCTTCACGCTTTCATTCATCTTCACCCTTTTGTTTTCAATGGCTTTTTTTTTTCTCCGTCGATAACGGAATAACAGAGATCTGCATTGACGACATCCCAAAAGGCGGGCGAAAATTCAACGAGACCGGTGATGGAGACATAATGATAATAATTGTCCATTGAAAAGTGGTCAGGTAAGTAACTGACCTTTTCCTCAAGGTAAACACTACCTGTTCTGTGGCAATTCCCCTTCCTTTCTCCATGAACACACTCACAAAAGGAAAACAACATTCGTATTGCATTTAACTTATCGGAGAGAGAATCGAACGTTAAATACTCCGAAACAGTCACTCGCTGGGAATTACCGAGTCCCGAGTGAGAATATAAATAGACTCGATTGCTCGATTTATTTTATTTGGGTTTCGAACAGTGATTCGGGTGAGATGCCGGGGGATAATTAATTTCGAGAGTGATTTGCATAGTCCGAGAGTCCGAGGGCTATTGACTTGGAGTACGCGAGAGTGAACGGGCAAGTGATTTCGCGCGGATTTTTTTGGGGATGAGAGAAAGGGGCGAGGAGGGGGTCGAGGGGGAGGACTTGAAGGGGGTGGATATGATTAATAATCTCCCTGATGACTGCCTGAGGGAGATTTTTCGGAGGCTGCCTATTTATCAGAGGGTCGAAATCGAGAAAGGTGCGAGTCGAAGGTCAATCACGTATGAAAAGTTGCGAAATCAAGTGGGCAAGTCTCGAAATTCTAGTGAAAATTTTATCTATGGGATTTTAGTCTATCGTACACTGAGAGAAAAACGACAAAGTTCTCGAACAAGTCTCACTTGTGCCGAGAAAATAGTTTTTTGAAAATTATCAAAAAAGGATTTTTTGTGCCAAATATGCAGAGTGCGGCGGAATGAAAAATTTTTGTCGTAAAAATAGATTTAGTAGTTAAAAAAAAATTGCATTCTCTGTACACGCAAGAAATGTCATTTCTAGCACTACTTCGTGATTCGATACTCCCATACGTATTTTGCTCCCGAAAAATCTTTGTTTTATGCGAAACACGGGTAAAATGGACACTGGACTTTTTTTTATTTATTCATAACTCAGAAACAATTTTATCAATTGCGCTCAGTTTAGGGTCGCCATAAAGGGAAATAATTGTTCTTTCTATTGAAGAAAAAATTATCAAATTTTATCATCATTTCAACCTCTCATTGACATTTAGAAAAAGTCAAAAGTGTCCGTTTTACCCCAACCTCCGCTGTAAAAAATTTAATAGAAAAACTTATAGTCTGATCTCTATAAGCTGTAGAAAAACAATAGAAAATCAAACAAAAAACTTGGAAAATTTGAGGCAAGGAAAGTCTATAGAAAATATCGCAATAGAATAAGTTGTACAGAAAATTCAAATTTTTTTTACTTCTTCTATAGCATATTTTCTACTTTCTATTAGTTTTCTGATTCTATTTCAATAGAATCAGTCAAAAATTAATAGAAAGTTTGATAGAAATCCAATAGAATTGTCTAGAGAATTCGCTAGGTTTTTCTATTAAGTTTTTTCGTCCGTGAGGTGGTCCCACGATAGTAAAAAAAAATTCTGAAAAATTGTTCTGAAAAATTGCATGATTTTCAAAAGAAATCGGTGCAAAAAAATGAATAGAATTTAGTAGCGAAGTGGTAAAACGGTACAAGTCAATTTTGAGCCAGTTTTCAATGAACATCTCGAAATCTAACTACGAAAATTTTGCTATCTCTCTTAGATTCGGAAATATTCTTGAAAAACTCAACTGCGAGATAAGTGGACTTAGACCGTTTTACCACTTCGCCACTGAATTTTCCATAAAATTCCGATGGATCTCCAATAGAATGCACAAAGTTCGTTTCTCGATTGAATTTTCTCATTCGTGAAAAATAATGCAGTTAAAAAAATGTAATTCTGTGATAATTTCTCAGATAAAAAAATGATTGCTTCGTTGTAGTGTGCAAGCGTTGGAAGAGAATAGCCAAGACGTCTTGGCATGACTTGAAACACCTTCCCTTCCTCCGGTTCTCTAACGGCAGTATGGACTCCAAAACAATTCGCGAAGTGCAGAAGAACCCGAATCTGATAAAAAAAATTGTGAAACGCTGTGGACACTTTCTAAGAGAATTGAAAATAGCGACGCCCTGTGACCCTGAAGTTCTATCAACGGCTGTTAATGTCTGTCCGAACCTGAGTAAATTGACGATAGACGGTGGAAATATAGAGTGCAGAACATCACGTTGTAGTAAAAAGTACCTTCTCCGTAAATTTGACTTGGTGAGTTCGATAATTCAGTTGCGAAGTGGTAAAACGATGTAAATGTAGGGGAGGGTGGGGGAGAATGAAGCAGAAAAGCGACCATTCGACGCAATTCAAGCAAAATAATTTTTTTTTTATGAACTTCTAAGAAAACTTCCCATCCAATCATTTTCGATGACGTCACAAAGATGTGGAACGCTGGATCAATTCCCTTTTTTAATAAAAAAAACATTCCCGTTCGTTTTTCTTAGAACTTTTTTTCAAGAAACGTTTTAAGAAATTTTTTTTGTTCATCAACTTTTTTTTATTATTGGGAGTTCTGAAGCTGTCATTTAGTTAACACCACTCTTAAATTTTCCATTATTTTAGTAATCATCAATTTAAATATTCACATTCTTAACTATTTTATTGACCAATAATTTAGATAAGAAGATTGTCGATTATTTTGGCAATTGGTAATCCCTTTTAAGAAATTAGAATTATTTACTTAATGAAAAATTCACTGTCCCGTATTATCAAATATTTAATTTATCATCAATCGCAAATTTAAATTATTAACTTCATACTATTTTTATATTTTGATGAGAATATTTAAATCTTTATCAATCTAAATCGTGAATTCCTTTAATATTGATGGCCATCCCTGGTATCGTATTTATTACATAATTCATAATTATTTGTCCACAGAATCTCGAGAGGTTCATGAAACTCAAGCATTTATCACTGAAAAGTTTCTCGTCCAGCAGTAACGTTCTGAAATCAATGGAGATGAATCACAAGTCTCTGACCCATCTGTCCCTGTTTTATTGCAAAATGGATGCTGATAATCTGCTGTTAATTACAAAACTGGCCAATTTAGAGGCCCTGCAAGTGACGCACAGCATCATTGACGAGAATTGGCTTCGAAAATTTATCGAAAACTGTAGAAAGATCAGGCATCTCGACATAAGTTGTGAGTATTGATGCTATAATTCGGTAGGGAAGTAATCAATAAAGGTCGACATTCTTCAAAAGTCCAGAAGTTCATGAATGAATGAATTTATCATTGAATTTAGTGACTTTAGGAGAAATCACAGATGAAAGAATTTCTTAGGAAAAGTTATATTATTTTTTGGCCAATTCTATTGAAATGTTCTTGTTTGATTTTCTTGACACAAAGAAAAGAAAAATACCATGAATAAAAATTAGAAAATTGGAGCCGAGAAAATTCTATAAAAAATATCTTAATGTTATTTTTTTAAGTTGTATAAAAAAATTAACTTCTATTGATTCTGTCTATAAAATGTTTTCTGTTAAACATTTGAATAGAATCGGCCAAAAACTAATAGAAAGCTCAATAGAAATCCAAGAATCCAGAATTGTCTAGTGAATTCGCTAGATTTTTCTATTAAATTTTTTCATGCGTGAATGTCGAACAATATTTTTTGCAGCTGACAAAAAATTTCCTACGAAAATTGTATTATCTTAAAATTTCTCTTCAAAATCACTAATCGTCGTGAGAATTCAATATTTCACAAGATGTTACAGGCGAAATCGTGCCAAGATCAAGGATGGCCATAAATATGATATTTCTTCAATATTAAAAGGATTTGCGACTTACATTGATAAATGCTTAAATATACTCATCAAAATATAAAAATTGTATGATATTAATCACTTAAATTTGGGATTGATGATGCATTAAATATTTGATAACATAAAACTGTAAATTTTCCATTAAGTGAATATTTAAATTGATGATTATTGGAATAATTAAAAGTTTAAGAGTGATGTTAAATAATTTATGGCTTCAAAATTTAACGGTAATTATGATTTATGAATATGGCTATCCCTGGTCAAGATAATTTCAACATATTATTTTTCGGTTTGCATTCATCTGAAAAAATTGAGATTTAAGAAAAAAATAAAGACTCCAATAATTATTTTCTCTGCGGAAAATAGTTCTTGGAATTTAATTATTTTGTAACTGTAGCTCTTCATGAACTTTTACAATTCCTGGATATGAACAGTGGACGAAAAATATGAGACATATATTCTTCAACTTCTGTAAATAATTTGAAAAAATTGAAAAGGTCTGCTTAAAAATGTTTGAAATTTGTTATTTCCTTCTATTTTTCAGACTCGAAATCCATCACAGACTCCGGTGCATTAAATCTCCAAAAATTAAAAAATCTCGAATGCTTGTCCATTCAAGGCACCAAGGCAATCACTGACAAATCGCTGATGCATTTATATAATTTAAGAGAACTGAACTGCAGTCGTTGCGAGAGGATTTCAGACCCTGGGATAATGAATTTAATTAGGAATGCCCCGAATCTCGTGTTCTTAAATCTTCATGACACTAAAATAACGAACAAAACAATCGCAGAGGCTTATGCCAAGTGGCTGACAATGGGACTGAATAAAGAGATATTCAGAATAGCTGTGAGTGTGACAGCCCGATGGAGCTGGATGCACACTGGAGAACCTTTTTTACCCCTTGACAGAGAGGAAACTCGCTCAGAAAATATTTCTGTTTTTAATTAATTTCGTTCTTAGTGAAGAGGTGAAACGTAACAGAGCAGAGTCATATTTAAATACCAGTTTCTGTATCAATCATGAGACATACTAGAGGGAAACACGAAAAAATTTCAGAGAAAAGCCTAGGGAATTCAATAGAAAATTTTGACCTTTTTTAGCTCTATCACGCGTTTTTTAATTGAAAATGTCCAATAGGAACTATTTTTATACAACTTTTTATATTGAGATATTTTCTATAGAAATTCATTGATTTTTCGGTTCTTCTCATTACACAAATCAAACAAAAATACTTTGAAAATTTGATTTGTGTTCATAGTTGTCAATAGAAAAAATCTGTAGAATTTTATTTTTCTCTGCAACTTTTTCCATTCACACGTTTTTAACAGGAATGGCTCCACATGAATTTTCCAAGTTTTCCTCATTCATTTTTGTTTTCTTACTAGAAAAATCAAACACAAAAACTAAAAAATTGATCCGCAAAATTTTTGTATAGAAAAATAGTCTATCGATTTTTTTCTATAGAGTATTTTCCATTGAATACTCTTTTAAAAAAAAAACAGATGAGCTGCAGAATTTTTCAACAGACTTGGTCAAAACCTAGTTAAAATTAGTTAATCTAATAGAATTTTCAAGCAAAGTCCCTAGGTTTTCCTAATTTTGTGGACCACCAAAAATGTTCTCTCGACATTTTGTTCTGAAATTCTTGATCTCCAAGGGAATTGCCTAATTTAAAATGTCTAGATGTTATTTTGTGTATTTTACTTCAAATCAGTCCCTCTAATTTCTTTCCTAAACTAGAATCATTTTTTTAAATGAATTCATGTTCAACAAACATTACGAAGTTGACTCATTACGTTTACCACTTCCACGACAACGTCTGGTCTTTGTCTCATCTACTGTTATAAAATAATTTACCTGATTGACTGACAAAAGTGATAAATTTAGCAATATGTGAAGCTTTTCAAATATTATTGTATATTCAATTTTTTAATAAATGACTTGAGGTTAATACAACTCATCTACAGAAAAATCTTCTGAAATTTACATAATTGACGAGATCGATTTTTAATCCAACTAAAAATCTCTTCTTATTAATTGCCAATGAAATCATCTCGATGATCATTAATTTTTATTGCATGGCATTCCATTTTATTTGCCGTAAAATTTATAAAAATTACGGATTTGACACATTATGTTTTATAAATATCATAATTCACCTAATCGACGTCGTTTTCCTTATATTTTTGTTTTTTTATTTTTCCGCCTTACTTTTCATAAAACAAAATTTGAGTTGAATTCCAATAATTCTTACAAATGAAAAATAAATAGTTTACTTTAAAAAAATATAAAAACACGTAACCATAAGATATAATACTCTCCAATGGCTCTTGGAGAAGTCGAATCGAAATATATTCAGCGATATTTGAAGTTTTTCGTATATTTTTATTGTTTTTTAAAAAAAAATTTTATAAAGATGTATTTTTATTATTTTAATATAATTACTTTACGTGAGTGTAATCCCAGTTCATTTATTCATTACTTTTTATCAACCAAAATTTGAGTTCAACTTCAACTCTCTACCATAAGACAACTCATAAGTCCCATAACTCTTACAAATGGAAAGTAAATCACTTCTGAAAAATATAAAAACTCGTAAATGCAAGATATAATACTCTCTGATGGCTCTTGAAGGAATTCAGTAGAAATAACGTTGAAATGTTGAAAAAACAAATGGGATTGTCAATTAAACTTTGAAATAACGTGTGAGTTACAAAAGGCTTTCGTACTTGTGGATCACTTGGAATATCTCAATGAGACACATTGTTCTGCGTTCGAGGGGAACTAATTCGAGTCTCTCTTCGATGATGCATTTGGACTTGTCTCTCCCTTCTTCTTTGAAGAAGGAGTCCGTTGTGGGGGATCTTGTAGACAATCCGGATGAGTCAGGACAGACAGGTTTGCGGTCAATTTGATCATGAATTTCGATACCTAATGATCAATAAAAACACCTTTAATATGTTTATGAATGTTTAATATATGACGTCGAATGATAATCAATGGAATTTTTTTCAGAAATTCTATTGGAGTTCTATAAAAATTGGGTAAAAATACGATTTTCTATATTCCATTTTACATATAAATTTCTCTATTCCCTTTTAATTTTTTAAGGATGAAAAAATTAATGAAATTAAATACAGCGAAAAAAGTCAAAAAATTCGCGCCTAAGAACTTTTATAGAAAAAAAACTCATGGGTATAATTTGTAAAGGAAAATGGAAATCTGTTGATTTTTTATTTGCTCACGAGCTTTGGCATCTAACGGTTAAGAAAAACACCTTTAATATGTTTATGAATGTTTAATATATGACGTCGAATGATAATCAATGGAATTTTTTCCAGAAATTCTATTGGAGTTCTATAAAAATTGGGTAAAAATACGATTTTCTATATTCCATTTTACATATAAATTTCTCTATTCCCTCTTAATTTTTTAAGGATGAAAAAATTAATAAAATTAAATACAGCGAAAAAAGTCAAAAAATTCACGCCTAAGAACTTTTATAGAAAAAAAATCATGGGTATAATTTGTAAAGGAAAATGGAAAGCTGTTGATTTTTTATTTGATCACGAGCTTTGGCATCTAACGGTTAATAAAAACACCTTTAATATGTTTATGAATGTTTAATATATGACGTCGAATGATAATCAATGGAATTTTTTCCAGAAATTCGATTGCGGTTCTATAAAAATTGGTTTTGGTTGAAACAACTCTTGATTGAGAAAATATTTTTATATGGAAATATATTTACTTGATTCACTGGGCTCCATAGGAAGTTTAAATCCATGATCGCTGTAGTTTCCAACAACCTGAGATATGGCAAATGTACTGGTCGAGTCAGCCAGCTCAGATTTCCCTACTCCATTCTGAGATAAGTAACAGGGGTCCTATAACAGAGATTTCATATTTATCAATCATTTCTCAGATATGAATACGATATGGTATTTAATAACTAGATTAATCAGAATTCAGCTGTGCAATGCGATTACTCTAACCTCGTTGAATATTTAAATTATTTAATAAATTTTTATTAAAAAACTCTTTTTTCTCAGTTATGTAGGAAGTATTTTAATGAAAGGGTATAAACTCAATAAATTCACTCCCCAAATAACTTTTCAAAAGAGTGGATATTTGTCCATATATTGTAGGATCGCCTTCTTCACAGAGTCGTCATTAAAAATGCAGACAATATTGTATTTGAATAATTATATGTCAGTCGGTTGAGTGCTCTTGCCCACGGCCCCATTCCTTATGGGGACCTCAAACCTAGGTTCATTTGTTTAGGAGAGGTTGGGGTAAAATGGACACTTGACTTTTTAAAAAATATTAGTGTCGGGTTGAAATGTTGATGAAATTTAATGTTTTATTTTCAATACAAAGAACAATTCTTTCCCTTTGTGATGAGCCTAAACTGAGCTCTAGTAATACATTTGTTTCTGAGTTATGAATAATTTTAAAAATGTCTAAAGTGTCCATTTTACCCTACCCTCCCCTAGACTACATCGAGATCTGCGTCGCCACGGATCGATTGCTGAGAGGATGTTTACACTAAAGTACGACAGCACATCTCCGAACAAAGCCTTCTCAGTCCCGAGTTATGATCATTCGGTTCCAGTATTTCAAGCGTGAAAAATCTCTCCAATCAAGGCCCGGGTGTACTATCTTTAGAATCTTATCTGGATTTTTTTTATCTTTCGTAATCCAAAATTGTCAATCGAGTGATACATCATGTAGAAATTCCCAAAAACTATGATAGAATGATTTTAAAAAAATAGAAAAAATTCTGAACTTTTTCAAAGAGCGTTTTTAATTGAGATGCAGAATGAGTTGAAAAAAGTGGAAATTCCAAATATCTGATTCGCTGTGGCAAATTATCTATTAGCTGTCATTTTCCATGGGGGATAACAAAACACTAACTCCTCATGGGAAGTGGCAGCTACGTATCTCAATTTTCAAAACAGTTTTATGTAGTCATCTGCCATTTTTATGTGATAAAAGTGTGATTAAAAAATTCTCCAAAATATTACAATTTTTTTCGAAGAGCCTTTTCCATAATAAATGTCTCTGTGGAGTGTGGGAAAAGATTTACGAAATCAGTCTTCCCCCTGCATGATATTGGGTGACAGGCCGCCATTTGTCAGCGTAAATCAGATATATTTTCCAATTTCTTGTTATTCAACTTATTCTGTACATAAATTAAAAATGCTCTTTGAAAAAATTAAGAATTTCTTCTACTTTTTTTTGATTAATCATTCATAATTTTTCAAAACTTCTGCATGATACAAGACTGGATTGAGAATTTCAGATGACGAAAGATGAAAAAAACAATCGAGATATCGAGATTCGAAAGAAAGTACACCCGGGCCTTAAAAAAAAATAATTAAGACCCGGTTGCATAATCTTTCGAATGTTGTCTAGATTGTTTTTTGTTGTTTTTTCATTCGGTTTCGCAAAAAATCTAGATGTATGCTTAGAAAGAGTAAAAAAAATGGAAAATTTTGAAAGAGCGTATTTAATTTTTATAAAATAATTCTAAATCCTAACTCTTAAATCCTTTGGCAAAATGCCCATAAACGACTGATTACACTTTCACTATGAAATAATGATCATTCACGGCGTAAAACTGTTATGAATCATGAGGGGCAAATTATCTGTCATATCAACTTCAATTTGGAATAAATTTCCGATTTTTGTCTTCAAAATTTAAGTTATGGTTATACTACTTTAAACCATTGCACCACTTCGATAATGACTTGTTCCATTCAGTTTCTCACCATTGCACATGAAAGAGAACGTGATAAATCGTGGAAATGGCCAGCTGAGGACCTCGTCACCCTCGACGACATGGGTTTCATCACATGGAGAGGATATTCAGTCTTGGGTTTGATGTCCTCAGGTTCAAATGATTCCTCTGTCTTGAATGTTTTTCTGGAGTGAGAGAAAATGGAAAATAGATCAATTCACTTGAATTCCGAGGACGCAAGGCGGAAGGAAAGAGGATCATTACCGATGATGTGATATGTGTGGTTCCATAAACATCATTTCTTTGAATAAATACCATTTTTTAACATTAGTGTCTACGGGAGGTGTGTGAAGCCTTCTGTGCTCTGATATGAATGTGGATTTCCAGCCCATCCATCGTTTCTCGAGTTCAGTAGCTGCTCAAAAGACATTGTGGTATTTTATTTTCATTCCAATTTAAACCCAATTGCAGGATCTAATTCACTGCTAAATATGTGTAATTTTTTTGCTGTAATTTCATACTGAATAAAACTTCTCAAAGGTTTCAACACTTGAACGAATGAATAAATGGATAAATAGATGAATAAACGAATGGAGTATGGAAAAACTGAACAGAAAAACCTATTGCTTTCTTTAAGGAATTGTATTCAATTTCTATTGGAATTCAATCGAAAAATTCTATTCGTTTCTTGCGCAAAGTCTATTGGAGATTACGGAATTTTACTGTTGTTGTGTCAAGAGATGTTTCGTAGAGAAAAATCAATAGATTTTGATTTGGATCTGAGAAAATCCAAGAAAGAAATTGGAAAAATCAACATCTATATATTTTTCTTATGAACAAATATCTTTTTAAAAATGCACGTGAATGTTACCTAATTTTTAATGGAATTGATGTAAAAAATAAATGGAATTTTTGCAGAATTTGAATTTGAACCCATTGCAGTATCTAATTTATAGTTAAATATATATATATTTTTTTTCTGTAATATACTGAATGACATTTCTGAAAGCTTTCGAAACTTTAACGAATGAATAATTAAATAAATCAATGAATAAATAGATTAATAAATGAAGAAAGTATAGTAAATTAACTCTTTCTTTAAGAAAATCTATTGAATTTCTATTGGAATTCAATTAAAAAATTATATTCGTTATTTCCCCAAAGTCTATTTTAGATTATGCAATTTTACTCTGTTATTTTGTCAAGAGATGTTTCATAGAAAAAAGTCAACAGATCATGATTTCTCTATACAAATTCTTGGGGATAAATTTTCCACGTTTTTTCGGTTGCATTTCATCCGGAAGCCAATGATATCAATAAGACACTAACATAACTCAGGAAATAATTTTAACTGAACGGAAATGTGAATAAAAATAGCAAAATGAGAGAATTCAATGAATTTTATTGAATGAACTGACCTGTCATGTTAACCTGGAACTCCCTGCCAACATAATTAGAAATTTCCTTCCACACAACCATCTTCTTGCTCCTGTTCTTGTAATCACTGTGTCTTTTATCATAAATCATTGGCTGCTGGCTAACAATCCCGACAATGCTCTTGGCCCAATCCCTGTTGTAAGGATTCTTTCGACGCATCCTTTCTGTTTTCACAATACTTGCACTTGGAGGATAATTCATGAATACGACAATCTCTCAACTCTTGTATTTTTATTTACTGTGCTTCCCATGCGTGCGGCAGACGGCAAACCTTCACGAACCAGTAGCTTCCTAGCAACATATGTATAAATGCGCCTGCGCAGTGTTATAGTTCTCGCCACAAAAGAATGATCGCGGTTGGGTAGGGTAAACTGAGATCCGATCAATTAGCCCCCCATATATAGATATTCCAAATTTTTATTTTTTTCCTCATTGGAGTAGTTTTGAAGTAAATTGCTCGGGCTTTCAATTAAAGGCCCGAGTTGTTGTATCTTTCGTCATTTGTTTAGTCTGGACTGATTCCTGGCAGGACTCCATGATTTGCGTCTCATCAATACGATATTTCTACCAATTGCGCCTCACTTTTCTCGTAACAATTTTTTATTAAAAAAAACAATTGAATTTTAAACAATTGAAATTGAATTTTAAACAATTTCTGTTTGTAAAATACCATATTTGAAATCTTGAGGCCAAAATAAATTACCCTGACCCAAAAAATGCTAAATTTTGGATTTGACAAATGCAATGCTTCTATTCGAAAGCAAAAACTGATACGCAATATCAAAATTTTATTAATAAAACCGTACGTCACTGAAATCGATGGTATCACCCACTTACGTAATAGCAGATCGCTATATTATTAACCGGTCAGTTTATCGTGTGAGGAAACAGTAAATATCCCTTGCGCAACGGCACAAGTGCAGTGTTTGGCAGTGTTGCTGTGGTCGGGAGGTCCGACATGGCCGTGGCTACCATCCTCGCCCTCCGGAGAGGCCTCACCATCACAGGTAACACCGAACAGCCCCAAAAATCATCCCCCCAAAGTTTTTCCCGAATCGTTCTAATTTTCTCATCAAAAATCCGACATCCTCCAATCGCTGACGAGTGCGTGTGACAAGTCTCGTGTATGAGAGTGACTCCACCGGTAATAGAGCTGTTATCAAACAAAGTCCAGTGGTTCGATTCAGTACTTCGCGAGTTACATTTTTGCATCAAATTAAGATTAAAGTGTTGATTTTTGTTTGAACGACAATTGCTAAATTATGTGGTCTCATCAACAATTGAAATCAAGTGAAATTTGACGAGAGGAAATGGGCCGTTGATGCGTCTTCAGCGGACACTGGCTCTTTAACCTCTAAAAATGTCTGGATGACGAAACAAAACGCAATAACAAATTTATGAGGGGAATTCTCTGAGGGAGTTGAGCATCTTCTCGACAATTAGGAACTCCAAGGGATCTTGAAACAGCATTAATCGTGTCAATTTCTGTTTGTTTTTGATTGAACCCTTCATCTTGGGGATTCAGCAGAAGGAGGCAAGATATTTATCCATTTTCAGTGGACGTCAAGCCGATTGAACCCTCGAAGAACCCCAAATGACGAGATAAACCTCAGGAATAGTTTTAAAAAACAACAGAATTATGATATAATTTGAGGATCTCTTCAGTGCTCACGAACTCAATAAGCTCTTGAGGTATTTCAGGTGCTAGAAGAGCCATCAAAAGAATTCTCCAACGATTTTAAGCATCCCTTCGACAATTGAGAACTCCAGGGGATTTTGAAAAAGAATTAATCGTGTCAATTTCTGTTTGAATGACAGTTAAAATCATTGAAAAAGTGCTGAACCCTTCATCTTGTAGATTCTGCAGAAAGAGGTACATATTTATCCATTTTCAATGGACGTCAAGCCAATTGAACCCTCGAAGAACCCCAAATGACGAGATAAACCTCAGGAATAGTTGTAAAAAACAACAGAATTATGATATAATTTGAGGATCTCTTCAGTGCTCACGAACTCAATAAGCTTTTGAGGTATTTCAGGTGCTAGAAGAGCCATCAAAAGAATTCTCCAACGATTTCAAGCATCACTTCGACAATTGAGAACTCCAGGGGATTTTGAAAAAGCATTAAGGATGTCAATTCCTCTTTAAACAACAATTAAAACCCTCGAAAATTTGATTAAACCCACTATTCTCTGGATTTTTACAAAAGGGAGAAAGAATTTATTCATCTCCAGTAGACAACAACACAAACGAGCTCTCGAAATTCCAGAAAACAAAATAAAATTTCGAAACTAGTTTAAAAAACTCGAAGAATTCTAAAGAACTCGAGAATTCTGCACCTAAGTTCTACATCCTCAATAATTTAGAACTTCCAAAATTGTTGAAAATCAAATAAAATAAAATAACATCAAATAACAATATGAAATAAAACGAAATAAGATGGAATAAATTGAAATGAAAAGAAATAAGATAAAAAAATTAACAAAATAAAATAAATTCGTTAAAAGCCCGTTCATCTCATTCAGAAAAACCCTTCCAGATGTCGGAAGAGCCCGCAACAACAGTTTCACCAGACTCCCCCGAAGAGTTCTCCACCTCCATCAAAAATCTCCTCACCACCTGCGAACCCCAAAACCTCTCCCAGTACTTCAAAACCCACGGGACTGAGGAGATTCTGGACAAGACCTCCTGGTCCCTAGTCCCAACGATCTGCACCTACTTGACCGACGAAAACCTGAGGGCCAGAAACGACTTCTTCACGACCTGCGAGGAGCTGCTCCAGATTTTCGCTGAGAAATGCAACCCCGCAGAGACTGTCCTACTGTTCCTGGAGCAGGCTGAGAATTTATCAGACGACGTGAGGTTCCGAGCGCTCCTGAAGCCCCTGGAGATATCTCTGAGGAGAGGGGACGTGTCAAGGTCCATCGACTGGGTCGTCAGCACCATCAGGGCCTACGCCGAGGATCTCCCACACCCCGAGAACGTGAACCCTCAAACGATCGATCCAAAGGCTCCAGAGGATCCTGTCATCGAGCGTCTGACAACTACCCACCGAGCAATCCTCGATTTCTTGTCTTCAGTGATCGACGCTGCTCTTGAGAGGACAGACTCAAGCCCCAAGGGAGTGAAAGTCCTCATGAATTTGGTAAATATCCACTTGAACTTGTTCTCGAAGCCATTCTGTCATGTGGACGTCAAAGCTGAAGACAATTCCTCAGTCTTTCACCTGACGATCCTACAGCTGTTGAGATTGGAGACGAATCCTCTGAAGTTCCTGAAGATCGTTGAAGACAGGAGTCACAGGAGAGTGAAGAGGCTCAACCCAGAGGCTGGGGATAATGATATTTACAACCTAGAGGCCCAACTCTTGGACCTGGAGGTCTCTGATCTCACTTACGCCAATTTTTTCTTCACCCTGATCTCCTCGGAGTCGTTGTTCAGACGATTGCCTCAGGTTTATCATCCTCATTATGTTATGAACTGCTGTTTGTACCTGGGGAATTGTCTGCTGCAGCAGCCGGAGTACGTCCTGGTCTCCAAGGGCCTCAGGCTCGTGGAGGTCGCTCTGAAGAGAGTGCCTGAAGAGTCGATTCAACCTGAAGCATTAGAATTGACAATTCATAAGGAATTGTTCTCCAGTATCTCCCAGGTCATGATTTACTGCGACTCCTCGGGGGAGAGGCAGCTGGCTCTGGGGGTGTTCCAGGGGCACATCAAGAGGTTCTCCATGAGGGCGAGGTGCATTGTCCTCCAGCAGCTGTACGAGACGACGAAGCACTCAGGACTGCTCGCCCTTATCATAAGTATCCTGAAGTCCTCGATAATAATTTCGCTGGATCGAGGGGACGAGGACTTCTTGGGGAAGATGGAGGGGATCTTCAAGAGGATCTTCAGACTTCCTCATGGGTGTGCTTCGGACCTCGTGGAGCTGTCGGACGAGATCATTGCGGCGTTGAACCTTCTGAGGTTTCTGGTGATCAGGGACAAGAGCAATGCCACTGGGGTTTGGAGGCTGATGCGAGGGCTTCAGAAGGGCTATCTCAAGGAGTTGAGGGATGGGGTGGACCTGGCGAGGGCTCACTGGAAGGTGAAGGTCAAGGATCTTGAGAAGCAGGCGAGGAGGGGAGGACTGGGGAGGGAGAGGATGGAGGCAGAGGTCTCGGTTATCGTGGGAGGGCAGGAGCTGCCGGACATGCCAGTGGGGGAGAAGATCAAATTTTGTTATCAGGCCCTTAACGCGGTGGATGTTATTGAGAGCATTGTCATCAGGGTTAATGAGTGTGCTGATAATAATCCTATGAAGAATGTGAAATTCGATAATTGAGGGGGATAAATGTTGCTTTAGGATTTATTTAAATAAAATGAGGGTTTGTATTTTTAAATTTGGGGAGTATTTCTGTATTTATTGGGAATGGAGTTCAAAATCACCTGGAAAATGGATAAAGAGTTCACCATTCACAAATGGTCGAGGTGGATGAACGTTACTTTAGGAAATATTGGAATAAAATGATATTTTGTATTTTCGAGTTTGTGATTTTTTTTATGAACTTTTATAAAATTTTGAATGAATGCAGACTTTCATCTTTGCGTCAACATCAAATGAAATTGAAATCATCGAATATTTTGGACAAAATAATGATGACACCAGAAATATACAATCACCCATTTATTTCACCCCGGGTAGAATTTTTGGTGGAGGCAAGTTAGATGTAAAGTGACGATGGCATGAACTTCCTCAGGTGTGAGAGGTTTGTGGACTTCTAGGATCAATTCAACTGAGCAGAAGGATCAGAGTGCTGGGGCAGAAACTAGGAGAACTGAGGAGACAAAGCAGGAGTCCGAGGAGGAGTATGAGGGGAAAATTAAAAAACAGATACTGGCGGCTGCAATGCCGTTTGTTAAGGAGCATGGCTGGAGTCAGGATGCCATAAGTGCAGGTAATTTCGTAATTCGTAATTATTCAAGTTTATGAATTCTGCATTTCTGGCAATTGTGGAATTATGTTGAGGACACATCAGTTCAAGACGAGATTTTCGAGGAATTTTTCGTGCAGAAAATCAAATTTTTATACTTTATGAACGAGAAGAGATTTGAAATTGAATGTTAAATGTATTTTGTAATTACGCAATTACGAAAATTTTCTTCTATGAAAATTCGTCGACTGGAATTTTTTAATTCTTTTCTTACTTCACTCTTTTTTTCTTCTCATTCGATAAATCAGAACGATTTAGGAAATTGAAGCCGAGGAATTCCTGGAGAAATTATGTCAATTGAATAAGTTATCTAAAAACATCAAACTCTCTTGATTTTTCAAATAAAAAATCATAAAAAATACAAGTTTCTGTATTCTACATTTTTATCGAAGACAAATTCATTAAAAAAACTATTCGAGCCATTTTTTGCAGTAAATTAAACTTTAATAATTCTTTCTTCTCCTCATTAATAAATAAATAAATAAAAAATTCGGAAATCTAGGCCGAGAAATTGCGATATAAAATATGTCAATGAAATAATTTGTATAAAAAAGTAAAATTCTCTTAAATAAAAATATTTTCTGGGGAATTTCCATCGATAAAAAAATATGTTCAGTGGAAAACTAATAGAATTATCAATGAAAATTCACTAGAATTGTTGATAATTTTGCTTAATGACTTCTCCATTCAGGTGCTGAATCAATTGGATATCCTGGTGTTATCCATGGACTGTTCCCCAGAGGAGGTGCTGAGCTGGTTCTCCACTTCTACGCGAATTGTAATGCAGAATTGAATGAGATTATGAAGTCAGAGGCATTGGCAACTGAGGGAGAGCCTTCACAGCCCACGAAACTCCCAGAGGAGTTCGTGAAGAAGGCGCTAGAGAGGAGATTGAGGATGCTGGTTCCCTACAAGTCTACTTGGCCCCAGGCCATCGGGCTTCTCGCTCTCCCACCGAATGTTCCACCGGCGCTGGCTAATTTACTCACTCTTGTTGATGATATTTGTTATTACGCTGGAGATAGATCAGTTGATGTGAGATCTTCTTTTAATTTTTATTCGTTTCTCTAATTGATGATGTCTAATTTCAGGGGAAAATGTGAGGAATTTTCTGAATGAAAATGTCAGTAATTTTCTGAATGAAAATGTCAGTAATTTTCTAAATGAAAATGTTGGGAGTTTTCTGAATGAAAATATTACGAATCTACTCCGTTTCTCTGAGAAGTTTTATTCATGAGAAATTCTATAGAAAGTCTATCGGATTTCTCTTAAAATCTTATCGAAAATTATACGTTTTATTGCGCTGATTTTCTATTAAAAATTATGCGATTCTATCGAGCGTTTGCCAATAGATATTTTTTGATAGAAAAGACTTAATAGATTTTCATTTTTCTATGTTATTTTTCTATTCAGGTTTTTTTCTACAAGATTTTTTGGAAGTGAATTCTACAAGGTTTTCAATCTTTAATTTTGTAATGAGAAACAAAACATTTATGCTCAACAATTTCTAACGGAAAATATCTTAGAAATTGATTTCTAAAATAAAAATTTCTAAAATAAAAATCTGTTTACTTAAAAAAAATCAATTCAATTTAAAAAGTCCGAAAAAAGTTTTACAAAAGTCTAAAAAAAATTCTGTACCAACCCTCCACCGAATTAATTTTCAATTATTAAAGAGACGTGAACATAAACTCGTTACGTTTTCACATTTCCCACCTGAATTTTCTTAATTCCATTTGTTTTTCGGGAAATTTTAAAATTTTTATTTTTGTTTCATAGTTCCATTGGTATACAAGACGAGTTGCTGTTGCTGGAATATATAAAACCAGTGAATTATACATGTTGCAAGACAAAAGTGAGGATCACACACAAACATGGGAATTTTTAGGGAGAAGAATTGAAGACGCAGTGCAGTTGAACAGAGTTCTCTGTGTAGATCTGCCACCGCCTGATCAGGCCCTGAATAAAGCCACAGAGGCAGCCACAGCTGCTTTCGCAACAGTAATTAAAATAATTATTCATTCGAGGATTAATTGAACTCAATCACTTACATTTTAATATCATTTATTTATTCTTTTAGGCACGAAATATACTCGGGATGAATTGGAATAGGTGAAAATATACCAAATGCATCGCAGTATTTACATAACTATGTAGTTATTTATAATTAAAAATGAGGATAGTAAAAAATTCAAGTTGTCAATTTCTTTCTTGGAAAATAAACAATATTTTCAATTAAAGCTAATTATCATTCTTCCAGAGGAGTAAACAATTTTATAGTCCAAATTATTGTCTAAATTTTTAGTAGAACTATTCGTTGCAATATTTTTTTGAAGAAAAATGCAAAAAATTTGAGCTTTTCAGATTAAGAATCAGGAAAGATTGAATGCAGTGGTGTTTCCTTCATTTTGGCGTTTCAGTCTTAAATTTAAAGTAATTATTTTAGTAATTAGAACCATTCAGTAATTGGATGGTGGACGAGATGAATCAATTCTACTCAATTTTTTTTTCATGTAAATATCTGAAAATATAATGTAGACAAACTTTTTAAAAAGAGGAGTTTTGCGTCTCATTCATTTCCACAAAAGAAAGAGTTCCAGAATAATTCCCCTATCTCTCTGGAGATAAATTATGAAGTGAATTAATTTGTCTCGTATCACCATTTGAGTTGCCTTCATGGATGCACTAGATAATTATGTCGAAGTGTCATAAAATCTACTGAAATATAGTTTACGAAGTTCTGGAAATGCCAGAGATGTAGCAATGAATTTCAAAATAATTCCATATTTATGTGCATCAATTAATTAATTAATTAATTAATTCCTTCATTAATTGGTCTTTAAATTCTGATCTAATATTTTTCTCTTGTGTGAAAGTTTTTTTGGAGTGAAACTTTAATTCTATAGAAAAGTTAGATAATGTAATAGTGAAACAAAGAGACAATTTAGCATTTCAAAGGATATTTTTTATAGAAAAGTAAATTCCTAATTTGCAAAACCCTCATTTCTGATTGCAAAAATATTGATTAAAAAAGTCAAATACTCAATAATTTTTTTTACAACTGGGAATGACAGAATTTTTAAAAAGATTGTTTTTAGGTCTCATTCATTTCCGTACAAAAAAGATTTTCAGAATAATTTCTCTATTTTTCTAGTGATAAATTGTGAGGTGAATTAATTTGTGTAGTTTCACCATTTTAGTTGTCCCCTTAAAATCTTCTGAAATATAGTTTACAAACTTCTATAGATGCCAGAGGTATAGCAATGAGTTTGAAAATAATTTCATTTTTATGTACATCAATTAATTGTTTTTTAAACTCTGGTTCGATATTTTCCTCTTGTATGAAAGGTTTTTTGGAGTTGAGGGGATCTGAGCATTAAGTTCACGATTTTAACTACAGTGAAATTCCAATTCCATAGGGAAGTTAAAAAACAAAGAGACGATTCACTACGTCAAGATATTTTCTGTAGAAATATTGCTTAAAATATTGAACTACTCAATGATTAAAATGAAAAATGTTCAGTGAAGCAAAAAAATAAAGATAAAAAAATTAATACAATTCTCACAATTTCGTCCAACTCAGATCTCCTTACTAAAAAATAATTGTTACCCAACAATTTCTAGATAAATTTTGTTCAGCAACATTGAATTGCAAATGCAATATTAATGATAACAATATTATATCTCATAAAACAGTCTATAGATTCATTGGAAAATCAATAATGTGCCTCTTCGATGTATCCCTTAATAGTGTTTGGCAGAGGAAGCTTATGAATATTGTCAAGACGTGTATTTTGTCTAATGACAAATCTACATAGATACTGCAGACTCCTGACTTGTGTGAAACGACTTACAGGCTTTGTTAAACGTACAGGAAAGGCAGGATATCCGGGGTAACGAGGCCTCGAGTAGCAGAAAACAGCGGATTTGCTGAAATTCATAGAGTGATCGATCAAAGCTGGTACTGAGGTGAAACGACCGTTGTCCCCTTGATTGCAGAGGGAGAACATGCCTCCACTGTGTTCTACACGAGCGTGGAGCAGTTTTCCAGCTGATTTGAAGCTCAACGTGAGGAGATATCTGTGAAAAAAAACCGACAAAACGAATTACATAATGTTAATATTGAATATTGAGACGTGATAGATAATTAATGAGTGCATCAGTCTCCTGGGGAATTGATTGCAGAGTCTTTGAGGAGGCTGGGAGTGGATGACACAGGATGAATAAATTGGGATCGGCGATTTTGGTGACTCTGAGAGGTTATCACGGTAGAGGAGGAGGCAGACCTCGAGGGGGTAGGCTCAGAGTGGAAAAACCGGTGTTTACCNTAAATCGAGCAATCGAGTCTATTTATATTCTCACTCGGGACTCGGTAATTCCCAGCGAGTGACTGTTTCGGAGTATTTAACGTTCGATTCTCTCTCCGATAAGTTAAATGCAATACGAATGTTGTTTTCCTTTTGTGAGTGTGTTCATGGAGAAAGGAAGGGGAATTGCCACAGAACAGGTAGTGTTTACCTTGAGGAAAAGGTCAGTTACTTACCTGACCACTTTTCAATGGACAATTATTATCATTATGTCTCCATCACCGGTCTCGTTGAATTTTCGCCCGCCTTTTGGGATGTCGTCAATGCAGATCTCTGTTATTCCGTTATCGACGGAGAAAAAAAAAAGCCATTGAAAACAAAAGGGTGAAGATGAATGAAAGCGTGAAGGTGATTTCGAGTGAAACAAAGTGAGTGTTAATTATTGAGACGTGATATATAATTAACGAGTGCGTCAGTATTCTGGGGAACTGATTGGAGAGTCATCGAAGAGGCTGGGAGTGGATGACACAGAATGAATAAATTGGGATCGGCGATTTTGGTGACTCTGAGAGGTTATCACGGTAGAGGAGGAGGCAGACCTCGAGGGCGTAGGCTCAGAGTGGAAAAACCGGTGTTTACTGAGCAGAAACTTTATCCTGATGCTAATGATAATGACGAGCCTGATGAGGATGACTTTGACGATGTGGAGAAGGATGAGTCTGATTTCATGAGGGCTAATCAAACTTACACAGAATACATGAGGTAAATAGAATAGGAATAAACCTTCGTAATGCAACAGAATTAATTCCATTGGTATCGTTAGCTCAAGAGATATTCAACATTGAAAGAAATGAAATTAGTCCCAGTGTCTCTCACCTGTCGTCTGAGGAGTCCCTGATCAAAAAAGCCCCATCAGGTTCAGCCTGCAGCTTGGCATCAGCCTCATCCCCAGAAATAGGTCCCCAGTACCATCCGTATTTACTGAGCTTCAACAACTCCTGCGAGAGATTGGATAAATTTCCCTTCTCCCCCTCGTCCACCATCTCCACATTTTCCCCAGTATTGGCACCACCTCCAGCACCTCCACAGTCACCCTCTGTCCCCTGTGACCCCGGCTGACTCAGTCTCGTGTCAGAGGAGCCCTCCCCACTATTTAAATTCGCCCTCCCCGATGATTTACAACTCCTCTGCTCATTATTCCCCTCAGCCCTGCAGTTGTCACTTGTTCTGTGCAGAGAATCACTCGAGCAATGATTTTTCGAGGCTCTTGACCTCTCTGTAACATCACTGGGCATTCCCACTCGTTCCTTGACTTCAGTATCATATTTTGCATCAGCTGGGGACAGTGGTCTCTCGCTACAACCACCACCATCCACTCTACTCAATTCTGCAGTGTTGATCTGTAAAAACGGCATTAAAAAATTTGATAACAATAATTCATCTCCTCCCACATCTTTATGTATCATGACAAAATCGAATACATTACATTGGAATCAACATACAGCTAAGGGAGTGGGGCAAAATGGATCATTTTTGATCGTCAATTCTCGAAATCGTGGAGTGAAACTCAGCAATTACCGTCAACAAATCAGAGATCAGAGCAATATTATGAAAATTGTATTGTTTCATCACCAGACATCGAACCTCAAAAATACTCCATTTTGCCCCAGCTCCAACCCCACTCCAGAGCCACCAATTACGCCGACAAATCTCTCACCTTTCTCTTGGACTTGCAGAACCTCTTGATGGACAATTTCTTCTTAAAACTCTTGAAGAATCCAATCCTCCCACTGTTATCCAGAACCTCCTCACTGCTCCTCAAATGCTCCGAATTCCTCTCCGAGGTACTTTCCCCAGCCTCTGTCTTCCATTTGAACGAGAAATACTTCGTATTCATTTTTCTCAGCCTCGATCCGTGCTTCACATCCCCATGACTCGAACTCGTCATAATTCACGGACAAATGCACTAATAATCGAACGTCAGACACACAATCAGATTCTCCCGAATGATGAATACAAAAAAAAAACACTTCACGGAGATAATAAAAAGCACTTCAGCTAGGGACGTTCGATCTTCGATATCTAGGGTTCGGGTGAGATCGATTGTTCTAAATATCGATATGTTAAGGGGCGATAATTGATTTTTCATGATTTTTTCCGGGTTGAATATCGGGGGATTTGAGATTTCACCTTCAATATCGATATTTAATCGAAATTTTTTATTTTCAATTCATCGTCGCAAAATTTTTAAATGCAAACGGTTTGTTACATTTTATTTGACATTAATAATACGAGATCTGTGCGCGCGCTTTCGCGCGCTCTCATCTTTTTGTGAAAATGAAGAAATCGAATTTATTACACTTCATGTACTCATAGATGTTTTATAAATATTGATAATGACTTAAAGAGGATTAAGAGAATGAAGAGTGAAGCATCAATGAATAATTTTTAATCTTCGATTAATTCTTTTTTTTTACTTTTGAAAATCTGATTAAAATTGTAATTGTTGAAAAATCAGGGGAGGGTTATGAATTGATTTCCTAGAAAACTGAAAAAATTTCTTGAATTCTTCGGAAAATTTCCCAGTTTTCCAGGTAACCGTAAATCCCAGATTTTTCTCGAATTATTTGGGAAACCGAAGAATTTTCGTGAATTTTGTAGAGTTTAGAATTTATGTATGAAAATCTGAGAAGCAAGAATTGATCAGTTTGGCGTGTGATAAATGAAGTGAAGAGTAAACATTTTATAGAAAATATAAAATTCTATTCATGTTTCCGATAAAATACTGTCAATCAGACATTCAAGCTTCATAATTTCCAATAAAAATCCAACAACTTTTTCTCCCGACCTCGCCAAAGTGTTCCATAATTTTGTTTTTGCGCGTTCGATATTTTTGTGGGCGACCCACCGCGTGTCGACCCAAGATATCGATTGATTCTTCCCGGAAATCGACCATTCTCGCGAGAAACTCCCCCCAGCGCCATCTCTCTGAAGCCCCCCGAACCCCCACCTTTAAAACGCCGAACCCAACCGAACCTCCCTCCCCTTCCCAAATTACCTCACATATCGTTTATTTCCATTGTTTTCGCGCCTAAATACCGTGAAAAAGGCGGGCTAACTCCTAGACCCGAGCTCGAACCCACAAGTGCGCGAGTGAAGGTGGAACGTGGCAGAATCACATTGAAAGCTCGTAAAAGCCCCATAAACCCATTAACCCCAGGACTCCACGTCCACACTAAATCCGATTCTCCACTGATCCATCCCAGCTGCAATCAGTATATACCCGTATATAAATAATGTCGCAGCCAACAGTCACCTCGTTTTTCCACACGCGCAAACGACAAGCGACTGATGAACTGAAGAACAAAGCCAAAGTCCTCATTCTGGAGCAGGAGCGAACGCGTTCCAAGGGGATTGAGGTTAGTAAACCAGCGAAAGACGCCGAAACCTCCGACTCGTCGAGTCCAAAACTAGTGTTCACATCCGACCCTAAACCAGAGAAGTTAAATTCGGTAGTGAGGAGCATTCAGTTCGATGCTAAGTCATCCCCAAGAGCCAGGATGACAACGAGGGGGAGAGCCACTCGAAGCAGGAAGGGCTCAGCTCAGGAGGGGCAGCAGGACATTCGTGAGTCCTTCCAGAAGATCAACGAAGAGAAGACGAGCAAGAACGTCGTCTTCGAGAAGAAGGGGCTGCTGAGCCCGAGGAAAGCGATATCGACTCCCAACGAGGCTCAGAGTGCCCCTGAGACGAGTGAGGAGCCAGCTGCTGGCTCCACAACCCCCAAGAGCAGTCTGGAGAGGGTTGGGAGGTCCCAGCTGAGTCTTCGTGAGATCAAGGACAGGATCAACAGGTCCTCGAGGCTGGCCGAGCTCAAGGCCTCCATCGACAGGATCAAGAGGTGCGAGGAGAAGCTGGAGAACCTCAGGAAGGACGAGGAGGACAAGGGGATGCCCCCGAAGATCAGGAAGTTCGAGAGGATCGAGCTGGAGGTGCCTGTGAGCCCTCAGAAGGGCATTCGATCCCCTATGAAGACCCCCACCAAGTCCATTAGGTTCTGTCCAGGGGTCAGCCCCCAGAGGAGATTGCTCTTTGAGCCCAAGGAGAAGACGCCCAGCCCTGTCAAGTCGAGCCCAACGAAGGCTCCGGCTTACCAGAGGTATCAGTCCATCGTCGACACTGCGACGCCAGCTCTCACTTTACCCTTCGGCTATCGGTTCCTGGGGGAGGTCTTCAGGTGTATCGACACCGTGGCTGCCATGCTGTTTAACAGGAAGGAGACCATCACCTTCAGGAAGCTCAAGCCTGCTGTTCAGGAGCTGCTGAGGAGGAACTTTACGGTGGAGCATCTGGCGCAGGTGCGGACGGTTTATCCTGGGGCTTTTGCATTGAGCATGGAGAAGATGAGGTCCTTTGGGTCGGCCTCCAAGCAGGAGAAGTACGAACTCGTGCTGACGCCGTTGGTCGAGAGGAAGAGTGGGAGGAACACTCCTGATGGGGAGGATGTCATCAAGTCTGCTGCCGAGATGAGCATGGGGCCCGCGGTGCTCTTGGAGAGGAAGAGGAAGTTCTATAATGCTCTTTTAGGTAGGTGGTTTGGGGGAGGGCTTGAGGGGGTGGAGGTTCTTTGGACTCTTTTCATGAGTTTCATTAATTTTTGGGGATTTTGAAGCTTGAATGGGACATTCATTGAGCTTACGGTGTTGGGAACCCTTCGAATTTTCAGGGTGGATCTGAGTTTAATTTAGAATCAAAAGGTTTATGGAATTTCTGATTCATTTTGGAAAGGAAATTTTTTTTTTGTGCTAGGAGTATTAATAGTGATATTTCAATGACGAATTCTGGAATTTTGTGGGAGCATTGGACATCGCATTCAATTGGATGTTCAATAGATTGAAAATTTCTGAATTTAATTTGGAATGAAACGGTTTACGAAATTTCTTATTCATTTTGGAAAGCAAAAAAATTTTTTTTCGTGCCAGGGGTATTAATAGGTATGTGGTTTGGGGGAGGGTTTGAGGGGGTGGAGGTTCTTTGGACTCTTTTCATGAGAAGTTTCATTAATTTTTGGGGATTTTGAAACTTGAAAGGGGAATTCATTGAGCTTACGGTGTTTGGAACCGTTCGAATTTTCAGGGTGGATCTGAGTTTAATTTAGAATCAAAAGGTTTATGGCATTTCTGATTCATTTTGGAAAGGAAATTTTTTTTTTGTGCTAGGAGTATTAATAGTGATATTTCAATGACGAATTCTGGAATTTTGTGGGAGCATTGGACATCGCATTCAATTGGATGTTCAATAGATTGAAAATTTCTGAATTTAATTTAGAATGAAACGGTTTACGAAATTTCTTATTCATTTTGGAAAGCAAAAAAATTTTTTTTTCGTGCCAGGGGTATTGATAATGATATTCCAATGAGAGCTTGAATTCTAGAGTTGGGGGAGAGAATTGGATATCGCATTCAATTGGATTTTCAATAGATGAAAAATTCAGAACAATAATTGCTGGAATTTTCTTAATTTTCAATAATTTTTGTTGCGATATGGACCTGACAATTCCATATTTGAAGGAATTATCATATCATTTATGGAGCTTGTACTGTTATAAACCCTTTGGAATTTGAGTAATGACTGCATTTGAATTTTAGGATTAGGAATTTGAATTAATTGTAAAATCAAAACGTGTACAGAAGTTTTTATTCATCTTGGAAATTCACTAAAATTGATTTTTTTCATGTCAGGTGATCTTTGATATTTTAATTACAGCTTGAAATCTCGAACTCATTGAGAGCATTAAACATCGCATTCAATTTAATTCTCAATAGATTTCGAATGCAATAATTTTCTGAATTTTCCTCATTTTCAAGAGTCGAATACTCGATAAATTAACTGATTTGTCAGTACCAACATGCATAGAAATTTTCCGTAAATTGGCTGTTCAAAATTTCAAAATTTGTCACTCGAAATTTCAGACACAATTTCCAGAAATAATTGCCAAAAAATAATTATCGTGTCTCCTATCGAAATATTGCTACAAAAAACAACCGAACAATTATGTTTCCCAACTGACAAAAGTCATACTTTATTATTTCAATCATAACATGAATATTCTGTTCACACATCCGTAGCGAAGCGATAAAACGGTTTAAGTCTTAGGCCACAGCAGAGTTTTTTAAGAATATCTGCAGACCTAAGGGAGATAACGAAATTTTTGTGACGACCTTTTTTATAGAACAAATCAAGGACTACAAAAAATGTTTCAACAAAAATTTTGCTATCTCCTTTAGATTCCGAGATATTCATTGAAAACTTGAACGGTTCTAGCGCTTCGCTACCCATATGTGCAATTATCCAGTTGATTGAGTCATACTAATCATCTTGAAATTCCCAGAACGTGTGAAGACCGAACACGAGAAGTTCCTCCTGAACCTGGAGAGCCCCATGGTGATCCCAAAGGAGAAAATAACTCGTTGGCACCCAGAATTCGACGTCGACAATTGTCCAGCGATAGAACAAGCTGAATTACCCCAGCCCCCTAACGTCGAAAAAGCAACATCAGCCCACGACGTTCTCGGTACGTAATAAACAATAACAATGTACCAATAATTGATAAATCCAGGTGACCTGAAAACCCAAATGACAAAAATTTAACCGACTTTCGGGGATGAATCGAGCATTCCGGGTCATGATTTCACAATTGAGACATGCATACGTCAGCAGAATGATAATTCATAAACTCAGACCTGATCAAACACCGACGAGACACTGTTTGTCAATCAAATTACTTTATCGCATCGTCAGAGTCGATGGAAGGTGTATCAATTGTCATATTGAATGCAATTTTCCATCGGTTCGGATCATCTGTTGAGGACATTTGCAGGAATAATATTTAGATCGATATGTTGTCACTGGAGAATGGTTTTCACATTTCTCTGAGCACTTGTCAAACCATCAGGAGAATACGTACGTGTCATTTGGTCAACAGTTGTAATAACATTTGAGAGATTAATGAAGCATTTGTTATTTCAATGATCGTGGAATTTTTCATTGAATTATTATTGTAAACAACTGATTAAATTGGACGAGATTAGTTCACTTCAATTGACGATTATTATATTTAAATTTTTACGAATGTTTTTTGAGTTGAGAAGAGTCTGGAAATTTCTTAATTCAGGGGATAATTCAAACTCGAAGATGATTAAGTCGTTGAGATAAAAAAAATCGTTGGACTGCAATGAATGTTTGTTCAGAATATGTTTCATCGTTTGATGATGTTCTTCGTGTATTTTATGTTTAGAAAAGGCAAAGAGTCTCTTCAACTGCAATACGAGAATGGAGAAAGCCCTTCAGCGTCTGGCTGAGGCGAAGATGACGTCCACCAGTCAAGTTTCATCAAATACTGAAGTGGAGACTCAGACGACTGGTACTAAGAGGCTGGAGGTCACTGTTGATACTCCACCAGCTACTCCACAGACTGAGAAGAAGGCGCTCATCAATCCTGCGCTCAAGGGAATTCCCTTGGCTCTTCTCGAGAAGGTAAAACATCGTCAGAAATTGGAAAATTTCGTTGTGGTTTGATGAATCCTAACGAAATATTTCATCTTCCTGAGCGAAAAACTGTTGAAACTTTCTCTTAAATCATTCGTTATCGAGATAATTGCTCTAAAATACTTCATGAATACATTATGGAATTATTTACATAATATTTCCACGTGTTTAATTCACTTTCTCCAAAAAATCTTCAAACATTACAAAATTAAGGTGTGATTTGATGAAATCTATGAATATACCGGTCGAAATAATATCTTTCATTGAAGAATTTTATCCCCTAAATAAAATTTCTTCATATTTTCTCTTACATCATTCGGTATCGAGATAATTGCCGTTAAAAACTTGACTTTAAGTACTTCGTTGATAAATCATGGGGTTATTTTTATAATTATTTTTTCCAGAAGAACTGTAAAATAGTTCAGACAATATCAACGATATAAAAATTTTAGTCCCATTATCAATTCACTTTTTTCAAAAAATCTTTAAAAATTGCTAAATTTAGTTGTGAATGAATAAAATCTGACGAAAAATTTAACCTCCCTGAATGAAATCTCTCATTATAGATATTTGCTCGTAAACAATTCGTTATCAAGATAATTTCCTTAGAGACCTTGACTTTAAATTTTTAATCAATAAATTATGGGATTATTTTCGTATCTTTTTTCCTAGAAGAATTGTAAAACAGTTCAGACAAGTTTAACAATAGAAAAATGTTATTTAACACGTGTTGAATTCACTTTCTTCAAAAAATCTTCAGGAATTGCAAAATTTAGTTGTGAATTGACGAACCCTGACGAAATATTTAATTTCCCTGAATAAAATCTCTTGATATTCTCCGCTCAACTCATTCAATATTGAAATAATTGCCTTAAAAAACTTGATTTGAAATACTTGGTCAACAAATTATGAGATTATTCCCACAAAAATGTATATAAACAAAATAAAAATTTCACTCACCACATGTTGAATCCAGTTTCCGTTCCTCGATGTACAAATAAGGTAAATTATATCAGGTGTATAGCAACTCAGCCGAGTGAAATTTTTTAATCGTAGGTTCGGGCTAAACAGGCAGCAAAGGCACTGGAGGCAATGACAAGGACACCGAACGAGGACAAAGAGGCAGCTCTGTACGCACGTCTTCCAGAGATGTCGAAAATTCTGAGAAATATTTTTGTAGCTGAGAAGAAGGGAGTTCTGGCCCTCGAGTTTGTCATCCACAAACTCGACAATTCATACAGAACTAAAATGACACCTGGTGAACTCGAGGAGCACATCCAACTCATGTGCAAACTGTTACCCACTTGGGCTAGTATTCATAATGTTAGGAAGACAAATTACCTCAAGATTGCTAAAGACATTGACATTGCCAAGGTCGTGAAACGATTTGAAATCATGGCTAACGATAAAGTTAAAGGGTGATCTCGTATTTCTGTACTTATGTTTATGCATTTAGTTTAATTTGAGCATTCACTCTGCGGTGAATACAGGATTCATTTTTTTTTCATATTTTTGGTTTTTTAAAGTGAGTGTCTGAGACTGACTGCAAGCACGTGTGGAATTTACTCAATCAATTTTTTTATGCACGAAGTTACTTGAGAAAATGTTTAGTTAATTTTTTTCAATTCACTGTAATTATTCCTGAATTTTTGGAAATTCTTTTTTGTTACGACGAGCGATTAATCAACTGGGAAGTTTTTTTTGTATATTGTATTGAGCAGAATAAACTTTTTCATTGTAATTGGATTTTTACATTCATTTATGATTTTTTGTTCATATTTTTGTTTTGAAAGAAAGTTTTTTTGGATGCAAGTGTTTGAGATTGACTGCAGGCACGTGTGGAATTTATTCAATCAATTTTTTTTCATATACGAAATCACTTCAGGACATGTTTAATTAATTCTTTTCAATTACTCAACTGAGAATTTATATTTTTTGTATATTCAGAATAAACTTTTTCATTCTAATGGTAATTTTCAATTCATTTCTGATTTTTTGTTCATATTTTTGTTTTTAAAAAAGTATTTTTCGGATGCAAGTGTCTGAGACTGACTGAAAAATCAACATCTATATACGTTTTTATGAACAAATATCTGTTGAAAAATGCACGTGAAAGGTATATGATTTCTAATAGAAACGGTGCAAAAAACATAAAATTTTCGAATGGAATTCCAACTCCTCTGCGCATGCGCTCAGTCGTTCGCTTCTAGTGAGACGTTTTGTTCCGAAATTGAGGAAAATAAGAGATGAATATTAATTAACTCAGTGTCACTAGTGGATACATATTGTAATAATGTTTATAACCGCTTGGCTATGTGCGAAACCAAAGAGCAAGTGAGTTGAATCATTATTCACACCCCCAAACCTACTTTTCTATTCTCGAAATTGGGATTGAGGTTAGGTTCATATTTACATGATTATTCCCGAGCAAAATATCGCAGAAAATACATCAATAGCATTTTTTACGATATCATTTTTAAAGATAGCTATTATTGTTATGAGGGGCATTATTTCATTGATTGTAGAGAATTATCTGAATTTTTCAGGCTTGCGAACTAGATTAATTTATCCTATTTTATTTCATTTTCTTTCTATTTCCCTCTTCACAATTAGATTAATTCAATTTCATTTATATTTATTCTTATTCTTATTGTATTTATATTTTTTCCTTAAAGTGCACATTTCCCTGGGTAATATTTTTTTTCATCAGCAGGGGAGGGTGGGGTAAAATGGACACTTTTGACTTTTTAAAAAATATTCATAACTCAGAAACAGATNCGAAATCACTTCAGGACATGTTTAATTAATTCTTTTCAATTACTCAACTGAGAATTTATATTTTTTGTATATTCAGAATAAACTTTTTCATTCTAATGGTAATTTTCAATTCATTTCTGATTTTTTGTTCATATTTTTGTTTTTAAAAAAGTATTTTTCGGATGCAAGTGTCTGAGACTGACTGAAAAATCAACATCTATATACGTTTTTATGAACAAATATCTGTTGAAAAATGCACGTGAAAGGTATATGATTTCTAATAGAAACGGTGCAAAAAACATAAAATTTTCGAATGGAATTCCAACTCCTCTGCGCATGCGCTCAGTCGTTCGCTTCTAGTGAGACGTTTTGTTCCGAAATTGAGGAAAATAAGAGATGAATATTAATTAACTCAGTGTCACTAGTGGATACATATTGTAATAATGTTTATAACCGCTTGGCTATGTGCGAAACCAAAGAGCAAGTGAGTTGAATCATTATTCACACCCCCAAACCTACTTTTCTATTCTCGAAATTGGGATTGAGGTTAGGTTCATATTTACATGATTATTCCCGAGCAAAATATCGCAGAAAATACATCAATAGCATTTTTTACGATATCATTTTTAAAGATAGCTATTATTGTTATGAGGGGCATTATTTCATTGATTGTAGAGAATTATCTGAATTTTTCAGGCTTGCGAACTAGATTAATTTATCCTATTTTATTTCATTTTCTTTCTATTTCCCTCTTCACAATTAGATTAATTCAATTTCATTTATATTTATTCTTATTCTTATTGTATTTATATTTTTTCCTTAAAGTGCACATTTCCCTGGGTAATATTTTTTTTCATCAGCAGGGGAGGGTGGGGTAAAATGGACACTTGACTTTTTGAAAAATATTCATAACTCAGAAACAGATTTATCAATTGAGCTCAGTCTAAGCTCATCGCAAAGAGGAATCATTGTTCTTTCAATTCAAAAATAAAATTATTCCATTTCATGAACAATTCAACACGTCATGAATATTTCAAAAAAAGTCAGAAGTGTCCATTTTACCCTACCCTCCCCTACTCCCAATAATAAAAAAGTTAATAAGCAATAATTAATAAAAAAAAAGAGTTGATAACATTTTTTTTACTTGAATTGCGTCAAATAGTCGTTTTTCCACTGTTTCGTTTTGTCCCAATCTTCCCTAATTGTTGAAAAATAAGAGAAGTGTGAACAAGGCATCAATTTTCTAAAAAAGTGACCAATTTCTCAGAAAATCCGAGGAGATCCCTTCATTCTGGAAATCTAGGGGAAATATTTCAATAGCGAAATGGTAAAACGGTACAAGTCAATTTTGACTATTGACCAGTTTTCAATGAATATCTCTGAATATAAGGGAAATAGCAAAATTTTTGTTATAACCTTTTTTGTAGAGCAGATTGAGAGCTACAACAAATGTTATAACAAAAATTTCGCTATCTCCCTTAGATTCGGAAATATCCCTCAAAAACTCAACTTGGAGATGAGTCGACTTAAACCGTTTTACCACTTCGCTACTGATTTATTCCGTTCATTGAACTGAAAAATCTTCGGAAAAATGACCAAAAAATTCTGACAAATATTGACATTTAAGATAATACAGATTCGAGCCCTCAAAAATTATGATTGACATGTAAATTCCGTAAAAGAGTTCTTAACTTCTAGGAGAATTAAGATGGGAAAAAAGTGCCAGAAAATCTAGTGGCTCTCAGGATAAAAAGGTTTATTCTCTAGACCTTTTCAACTGAATAATTTTCCAAATTTCTCTTCAATGAAGAAAAAAGACGGACATTTACCTAGAATTATTTTTCCTAGAAGTGATGGACAACTCCATCTATCCAGTCGCGTCAGAATAACGAGATAAATCCTGCGATAATTTACCGACATCGTTAACAATAAATTGTAATGATTAATAATTTTCTTCTGTTTATTTCTAGATTTGTTTTGGTACTCTGCGAGAGTATGGTGAGTGGACACAAGGTGAATCTCATACGAGAGAGACTTGCAGAGAAAATGGAATTCATGCAATTCGATCCATATGGTAATTTTTTCAGTCATTCTTCCAATTTTTATTTTTATTCTTCATGATAATTAAGTGTTATATATTTGTGATTACCCTGAGAGCAAAAAAGTTGGGCAAAATATTGAAGGGAGTTTACCAATTCATTAACCCAAATCTTATAAGTGAATGATGAATTTTTCGTCAAGCATAACCGAATTTTGTTTAGGGAAAACCAAACAGACCAATGGAATGTCTCTTTTAAGGGTCGAAATATCAATTGATTCGATGCATAATTAAACACATAATACAGTATGAAAAATTCTCAAAGTAAACTTATTTTTCATAGTATTTGGAGGGAAAAAAGATCCTTGAAAGACATCATGAGAGGATTTTTTTAGATTTTTAGTAATTTTCTTCAACAAAGTCTCCCCTTACGGAATTATGGAGAAATGACAATCCTATTTACTAAAGATGAAAGAAACGTGAAGTTGTTTTATATCAAAATATCTCGAAACTGCCTGACCTAAAAATATTTTATAATATTTTTATACATATAAAATAATCGATCTTCTATGCATGAGAAATCTCAGTCCAATAGCTCGCGATTTATAAAACTCATAGTAGTTACCCCTTAAAAATAAAATAAATTGTAAAATAAATTTCACGTGAGTAATCCACAAATAAAAATCAAATTTGGGTTCGAATAAACACTCCCTCACAAATTATTCGAATTAAATAATTCATCTGATTCAATTAAACTCCATCAAATTTCCGTAAAGCATTTCCTCGAGTGCATAAACCCCAAAAATTCATCTTCATAAAAATCCTTTCTCCCCTATTTACAGCCCAAGTGATGGCGTACTACAAAGAACGAAAGAAAATTCGTAGTATAAAAGATTGGAGAGGAGAGAACGCATACACAAAAGGCTACAACGATAAAGAGGTAGGCGAACCAATCCGAAAGATGCAGTAAATAACTTGAAATGTACTGAACATAAAATAAATATCAATTATCGTTACACAAAATTCTTGAAAAAAATAATTCAATGACAAAACCATCGCAGTGAGTCCGTGAAAAATCTCCCTGTCCCCAAAATGTTCACAGAGACGACTCAAGGGGGGAGGGGATAATGCTCAACCGACTGTGTAATTTCAAGTTCACCCTCGTTGCTGCGGGTAAGATAACGAAACCAAAAGTAACGCGATGCGAATAGTTCCTGTGATCTTTCACCGATGAACCACTTGAGAGAACGTTTTAGAGTATTTGAAGATGTCTCTGGGACACTTGCGACAGCATTGTATTCAGCCTTTTGGATTGAATTTTATTTCATTGAATCCACTCCCGACAGTCAGGAACTGCTTCGCATCCCTCGCAGTCGGGTTTGTAGAGGTAACAGTCCATTCCAGGTGGACAGTAATGATTGCGGCAGGGGTTTTCGTGGAGATAGCACGGCCCATAAGCTGAAATTCAGGGGAATTTAAGGTATATTCCTAGAAAACACGTTTTTGTTAAAGATTTTCGTCATATTTTTCATAGATTATGTTTATAATAATCCCCAGCTATTGAAAAATATGTTAACTAGCTGTTACTACACAGTTTAGGAGATAATAAACAATTAAATACGTCCGAACGAGGGTTGTGAGTTCCCCGAACTCGATTTTTCCATTTTATGAGAAAGCGGTTTTTACGATGTTCTTAAGAAACAAATTATTGTTAAATAATAATAATAAGCAAAAATGTTTGCTCTTCGATTCTCAATCTCTGTCATTTATTCTATTCATTCTATCAAAAGACAAGGATAGAAATCGAATTTATGGGCATTCTTCCATTATTCGAAAAAATTTATCGATTTTAAAATTTTCTGAAGACATTGAAAAATTAATTTTTTTAGTTCTTCCCGTCCACTTTTTTGCATTTTTTGAATTTCTTCTCGCTGAAATATTGATATCTCTAATGATTGATATCTCTCTTGAAGAAAGAAAGTGATTCGAAGTTCCCGCCGACATTAAAGAAGAAAAAAATCCATTTTCTAGCCGATTATCCGTGATAAACTGATAAATTCCGAGTGCAGTGAATTCTCATAGTTTCTACATAGTTTCTGTGATATTCGTTTAATAAAAAATCCACCGTAACTTTTTTTGAAGCCAATCTATTCCGCCTACTGTGTCATTAGATTTTTTATAAATGATGATAGCATACATTAAAGATATTACGATAGTAGTAGGGGAAGATGGCGTAAAATGGACACTTTGGACTTTTTTAAAATTACTCGTAACTCAGAAATAAATTTATCAATTGAGCTCAGTTTGGGCTCATTACAAAGCGAAAGAAATGTTCTTTGCATTGAAAAAAATATTATTGAATTTCCTCAACATTTCAAGACGTCATTAACATTTTAAAAAAAGTTGTGTCCATTTTACCCCAACCTCCCCTATATTACGTTACATTTTGCACTATACTACATTATAATACATTGTATTATGTATTATATATGATACATAATGCACATATAACGGTTTATGTAATATAGCACAATATCATATACTTAATGTATGTTATCATTATTATCAGTTTATCATTTTATTTTTTCTATCATGTACATTATATTTTATAATAATATAGTACTCTATTATATATTGTATAATATAATATTGTATCATCGTAATATCTTTAATGTATGCTACCATTTATAAAAAATCTAATGACACAGGACGACGAATAGATTGGCTTCAAAAAACGTTACACTGGATTTTTTATTAAAGGATTAAAAAATCCAATACACTCCTCAAACTTTTCCTACGGAAAACTCGATATTAACTTCAGAAATCTAATACAACACTATTCTCTACCTCTGACATACAGTAAATTCCACGGAGTAGGGCATACGCGCGCGGTCTTATCTACTCAACTCTAAAAAATGGAAATTTCGTGAAAGCATTCCTTCCTTCATTCAAGAAATTAATTAACAAATAATTTCTTATTTGATTCAAACAGTTATTGTTGCCTGCATCAGTAACATAAAAACAGAAAATCTCGATAACTTATGAGAATGAAATAAATTCAGTTACTTAGATTTTTTTCCGGAAATCCACAGGGACTAATTTTTGGGTCTGATTGTCTTGGGATATCGCTTAAATGTTTTTCGTGAGTGTTACGTTTGCTTTACGTCGACGCGTACTTACTATCGGTGCAGATATTATCCCAGCAGCAGCCGCCGCAGCACGCCGCATCATCTATGCACTAAATCAAATGTCAAATTACATTATTATTATTCTCAGGAAAATGAGCACTATTTATTCTTTTTATAACGATGATGCTCATCATTATTATTACTCTTATAGTATTATCAATAATAATCATAAAAAATGAATAAATAAATGAACGAAAATTTTTATAAAAGAATAAATATTATTATAAAGAAAATAAGGAAATAATCACTAACAAAAAGATGAAAACATCGTTCACCTGATGATAATAAACAGCAGCTGTTTTTTAATTATTCAACATTGAGAAATATATTTTAAAAACTTACGTTTTGTCCACGAACTCTGCAGTCTTGGGCAGCAGTCAATCCCATGCCCACCAGGGTAATCAGAAAAATCCCAATCAGAGACATGGCAAAATGCAAGAAATGAAAATGAAGATGAATGTCGCGTGCGTTACCACTCGCTCAAGAACCGACTAATCCAGTCATTCCTCAAATTACCTAATATAAAGGCCGAGGTACCGGTATGGAGACAATTCGACTCGATTTATTCGTCATTAAGCAACCGCGCATCGAACCTGAAGGTCAGCATGTGTCTTTATCATTCCAACGGCACGGAATTATGACAATCATGAAATAACATGCGATAAGGTGGGGACATTCCAGTTACTACAGCTGCTCTAATAGACGGGACGCGGTGAAAATCTCGCGCCAATGGCTGTAGGCGAAATGGGTCGTTTATGGAATGGGGAAAACAGATTTGTGGCTCGACAAATATTTTTGACATAATTTTTTTAGTGATTCGTTGAAAAGTCGTCGTTTAGAGCTTGAGAATTGAGCCTCAACTCGACAAGTTCTTAAGGCTCGTTTTTTGACCTTTTTGCTTTATTCCCTTAAGACCCTTATGACCTTTTAACCCTTAGCCTTGAACGTTCTTAAGGATTGTTTGACCTCGAGACGAGTTGACTCTCAGCGAAGAACAATTCAGGAATTTTCGCTTTACTTTTATTTGAGGATAAAACGATTTTGAGGGTCAAACGACTTTCAACGATTTTTGAAGTTGAGAGTCAAAAGGCCTTGAGGGTCAAACAACCCTTAAAATTACGACCATTCAACCCTCAGCTAAAAATACTTTAGGAAAGTTTTTTTTGGTCCTAGTTGAGGGTCAAATGCTTTTGAGGGTCAAACAACCCTTGAAGGCGTTTGGATTTGAGGGTTAGATAGTTTTACGGGTCAAATAGCCCTTGAAGGCGTTTAGATTACAGGGTCAAATAGTTTTGAGGGTCAAAAAACCCTTGAAGACGTTGGGATTATAGGGTCAAATAATTTTGAGGGTCAAATAACCTTTGAAAAATGTTTGGATTTGAGGGTCAAATAGTTTTGAGCTTGAAACAACCCTTGAAGACTTGGATTTGAGGGTTAAATAGTTTTAAGGGTCAAATAACCCTTGAATACGTTTAGATTCTAGGGTCAAATAGTTTTGAGGGTCAAACAACCGTTGAAGACGTTTGGATTATAGAGTCAAATAGTTTTGAGAGTCAAACAACCATTGAAGACGTCTGGATTTAAGGGTCAAAAACCCGTAAAAAAGGTTTGAATTTGAAGGTCAAATAGTTTTGAGCTTGAAACAACCCTTGAAGACCTTTAGAGTTGAGGGTCAAATAGTTTTAAGGGCCAAGTAACCCTTGAAGACGTTTAGATTATAGGGTCAAATAGTTTTGAGGGGCAAACAACCCTTGAAGACGTTTGAATTATAGGGTGAAATAGCTTTAAGGGTCAAACAACCCTTAAATATTTTGGGAGTGAGGATTAAATGGTTACGAGGATTAAAGAACCCTTCAAGACGTTTTGGATTTGAGGGTTAAATAATTTTGAGGGTCAAACAACCATTGAAGACGTCTGGGTTTGAGGGTCAAATAACCCTTGAAGATATTTGGATTTGAGGCTCAAATAGTTTTGAGCTTGAAACAACCCTTCAAGACCTTTACATTATAGGGTCAAATAGTTTTGAGGGTCATACAACCCTTGAAGACGTTTGGATTATAGGGTGAAATAGCTTTGAGGGTCAAACAGCGCTTGAACGCTTTGGATGTGAGGATTAAATGGTTTTCAGAGTTAGACAACCCTTGAAGACGTTACGGATTTGAGGGTCAGACAACCCTTAGCACGTTGCAGGTTAAGGGTCAATCGGGTCAAAGCAGAGTGATTAGAAAGGTTCATTTGACCCCTATCCCCACACGGCTGCAAGAGCCGACAATTGGACCCTCAACTCAAAACGTCCTTAAGGATCGTTTGATCCTTGCGAGAATTTGACCGTCGCCTGCAAAAGTTCCCAAGGGTCATTTAACCCTTACCATCATTTGACCCTCAAGAGGTTTTTGGCAAACATTTTTCTGATCCTAGGCATATGCTCTTACGCTCAGTCTTCAGATGTTTTTGTTATTAATTCCTATTTTGACAGTTAATTTTTCGGTCTAAATTCCCAGTCAGCGCAATGCGGCAGTACTTCAAATATTTCTGGAATGGGAGCATTATTGCTCTCGCGGATCAGCTCGTCGAGACTCTGCTCGCTTATGGCGGTGAAGACGAGTTGGATTATGGTTTTGGGAAGTCGTACAAGTGGCGGTATTTACCGAGAGGGTTTCAGGAGGCTAAACAAACCGGAAAGCCCATTTTTTTGGTTATTCACAAGACAACGTGTCCGGCTTGCGTCAAACTGAAGGAGAAGTTCAGTAGATCGGTTAAATTAATTGATATGAGTCAACAGTAAGTTCGAATTTGGACACGTACGAAAAAAAAATCATAAAAAAATGTTTTCAATAGAAATGCATTTTAATTGAAGCGAAAATTTTCCGCTTCAATTAGGAATTTTAAATTCGAAAAATTAATGAAACTTTAATTTTCCCAATGACTTAACGCTTCTAAATACAGTTTCGTGATGATCAACATCGAGAGCAGTTCCAATCTCATTCAATCCGACAAGTTCACCCCCGACGGTAAATACGTGCCGCGCATTCTCTTCTTTACCCCAACCGGTGAATTTATCCGAAACGCATACAATCGTCATCCCGATGGAGACCCAGAGCACCGTTACTTCTACAGTTCACCAGTCCAAATAGTCCAAGTCATGCAACAAGTCATCGACAATTCGGGTAGAAATCCTCTCCCGGAGCCGCAGAACCCAGAGGGCAAAGAAATCAGAGGATAAAGTCGAGGATTAAAAGAAACGAGAATAAAAAAAGAAATGTAAAGATAATAGATTTGAGTTTGAGACTTGGTGAAAGGGAGTGGAAGGGAGGTCCAAGGGTGAGGGCCTTCCTTCACTCAACCCTTATTCGTTTAACCGTACGTAGACTCTCGCTCCTCTCTCTTTAGTAAAGCGATTCCCTTTGATCCCGCGGCAAGGAACACAAAGTTGTATTATTTCCACTGCGGTCCTTTCCACGCTTTCAAACGACTCTCTGGAGACTCGCGGAGGCGTAAAACTCGTTCTTCTCTGTCTGTCTCTCCCGTTGTACAACTCGAAGACATTGACAAGGTAACGCTACTGCCGCCCCCACCCAGCCGAAGAGTTTATCAGATTTTCGTCGTCGCGGGTATCTCTCCTCCTCCGGGATTAAGTGGTCACGACGATTATTTTGGGGAGAAATTTCCGCGAGTGACAATCTTGTTGCGGATGGAAACGTCGTCTGGCAGTGTTTTCAGGACGAGGAAATGACGAACAGACGATTCCCTAGGAGGAACAAATAAAACAGTCTTTTTTTAGGCGAGAGGGGCTATATGAGGGGCTACACAGCCCCTCTTACATAAAAAAAGAATTGGTATCATTTGTTCCTCCTAAGGAATCGGTTGTTCGTCCTGAAAACACTGCTATCATCTTGAATAATTGCAGCAATTTTATTTTCTTCTAATTTATTGATCATCAATTGAAAGAAAATAGTTAAAGATTGCAACGATTTATGATGATAGTAGTGTTTTCAGGACGAACAAACGATTCCTTAGGAGGAACAAATGATACCAATTCTTTTTTTATGTAAGAGGGGCTATATGAGAGACTATGAACAAATGATACCAATTCTTTTTTTATGTAAGAGGGGCTATATGAGAGACTATGAACAAATGATACCAATTCTTTTTTATTTGTTCCTCCTAAGGAATCGGTTGTTCTTCGGTTGTTCGTCCTGAAAACACTGCTATCATCTTGAATAATTGCAGCAATTTTATTTTCTTCTAATTTATTGATCATCAATTGAAAGAAAATAGTTAAAGATTGCAACGATTTATGATGATAGTAGTGTTTTCAGGACGAACAAACGATTCGTTAGGAGGAACAAATAAAAAAGGAATCGGTATCAGTTGTTCATAGTCCCTCATATAGTCCCTCTTACATAAAAAAAGAATTGGTATCATTTGTTCCTCCTAAGGAATCGGTTGTTCATCGGTTGTTCGTCTTGAAAACACTGGTATCATCTTGAATAATTGCAGCAATTTTATTTTCTTCTAATTTATTGATCATCAATTGAAAGAAAATAGTTAAAGATTGCAACGATTTATGATGATAGTAGTGTATCAGGACGAACAAACGATTCCTTAGAAGGAACAAAAAAAAAACATTTTTTTTTCTGTAAGAGGGGCTATGGTGACTTCGAAAATCACAAAAAAATACACCTGAATTGAGTAAATTTTATACAAGAATCAAGAATAAAATCAGTCCTAAACATTCCACACCATGATCGACGATTAAAAATTCCTTAAAGCGACAATTTGTAAATGATCGGAGTGAAAATGCAAAAAATGTTGAAAGAAAACATTTCTAAATTCTCTCAGTCGTTTCAGGTGGATGAATAGCCGTTAATTTTTCTCTTCCACCTCTTTCCCTCAAATTAATAAACAAAAAGGGTTCATGAAGAAGTTGGACTCTTGCGCCCATTTCACAGTTTCTTCGGTCTCAAGTAGTAACCCGAGGTTGTTCTTTGCTTATTACAGTGTGTACTGTGGTAAATGAGCACAAACTGCTTCATGGTTTTTCATTTTCATTATACCCTCTTGTTCCTTTTTCAAAGTGGATGGTTAACTCGCTAATTAACTACGTTATACATTCATGAGTCTGTTTTTCCAGACGTAGCAGTCGTTCCTTTTCGCATTTATTTTCCATTTTTCATTCTCGGGATTCAGCGGTTCATCTGCTGTTCGAAAAATTATTAAACTAATTTTTACTTTTCTGTAGAAGTGGGGGAACATGAGGATTGGAGAACGTTTTTGCAAGTTTTTTTTCTTTTCATTATTTTTGTATTTTTTCGTGAGTTGCCTCAATGGCAGTGCGGCTCAGGAGTTATATACACTCTTTATCGAAGTACATTGTGTACTTCGCGTGTGTGCACATGCCGAGGCTATTTACTCAACTCGGGCGCGTGGTTAAAACGTGCCTACCATTTTCTTTAGTGTATGATTTTTTCCCCTCCACTTTCACAATTATGATGTTAATGCTGCGTACACAAGTGCCGTAATTTTCTACGTGTTTTATGTGTCCGATGATTTTACTTTGAACTGTCAAAAAGCCACGGCAGGACATCACGTTTGAAAAATTTCATAGAGAAATTTTGGGAACTTCCATAGAAAAATTTAGCGAATCCCCATTTTTCTTCGAGTACATGTTTCTTTGCCCTCCACTTTCACAATTATGATGTTAATGCTGCGTACACAAGTGCCGTAATTTTCTACGTGTTTTATGGGTCCGATTAGTTTACTTTGAACTGTCAAGAAGCCATGGCAAGACATCACGTTTGAAAAATTTCATAGAGAAATTTTGGGAACTTCCATAGAAAAATTTAGCGAATCCCCATTTTTCTTCGAGTACATGTTTCTTTGCCCTCTACTTTCACAATTATGATGTTAATGCTGCGTACACAAGTGCCGTAATTTTCTACGTGTTTTACGGGTCCGATTAGTTTACTTTGAACTGTCAAAAAGCCACGGCAGGACATCACGTTTGAAAAAATTCATAGAGAAATTTTGGGAACTTCCATACACGTAGAGAAATGTTGAGTAAAAATTACGGAACTCACGATTCGCTCACCGATTACGGAATCGAATTAGAAAATTTGAGTGAAATATCGTAATTTTTCACAGGAGATTCAGATAAAAATTACGGAACGCTCTGGAAAAATTCCGTGACAGTTCCGTGAAATTTCATACAACCACGTTTCGCTCCGGAATTACGGAAAAGATTCCGTAATTTTTATTGAATATTTCTCTCCGTGTAGAAAAATTTAGCGAATTGCAATTTGTCGTCGTGTACACTGTTGGAAATTTTTTGAAATTTCATGGAATATATTATAGCAAATCTCATGAGAGTGACATTGAATTGAATTTAGGGAAAAAGTGGTTATGAAATTTCAAGTTTTAAGTAGAATTCATGGAAATTCATGAGTTTTCAGTGGAAGTGAGATGGAAATTTCACAAGTTGATTGGATTTTCAGTGGAATATGAATATTCAGAAACAAAATGACATGAATTTTCAATTTGTTCCGGATTTTTCCTGATTTTTCTGAATTTTCACAGAATAATTGAATTGAAAAATCAAGTATTTTATCGATTTCCAAATCAATGGAATATTTGATTTTTCAATTGAATGACAAGATTGACATTCTACTGGAATGCCAAAAATACTCTAATGATAGAAAATCACTTAAAATTCCAACAGAGTTCAAAGAAATACTAAATGATAAAAATAATGTAGATAAACTCACAAAACTGTTAAAAAGAATGAACATATACCACCTGATATAACAAACCAATACGAGATGTAAATATTAATGTACCAATTTTTATAAAGTCGCTAAGGACCTAGTTGTTGATGCGACTTTAAATAAAAAAATAAAAATAAAAAATGACAAGATTCCCTGAAATTTCAGTTGAACACGATGAAAATTTCCGGAATTTGGCACGGAAAATTCAGACGAAATTTTTCGAATTTTTGACGAAAACAGTGTACAGGGCGAGCCGAATACAAGTTCTGTAATCACATGAGGCCGAAAGGTACTAAATGGCCCATTCATTTCAACTCCTCCCATTTTCCTTTTTTCGTGAATGGCATAAATTTGATATTCTTCCCTTTTTCGATTCGGACATATGTTCTAAATCCCAGAAAACCGATAAAATGCCCCGGTCTCTTGGACAATTCTAAATGGTTCTGTTTGTCATTCGAAAAAAAAATTCGCAAATTATTCAGTTTTGTAGAAAATTTTCGGATTATCTGAATAATTCTTGACGTTATTTGACTTCATTGTTACACCCTTTCTCCAATAAAAATTCTTCATCATCCCAACCCAAAAAAACCCGTCACCTCACGATTTTCCATGACCCCAAATAAAGACACGAATCGAAATAACTGTTCAGCCTCTCAATATATCTTGAAAATATCTGCGGTGAGGCTGAAGAATGCCGGAGAGCGTGAAAACCGGGAGGGTTGAAAATCCGCAGGGTTGAGAATGGTTAAAAAGCTGAAGGGGGGGGAAGGGGGGGGGAGGCATGAGGAACATAGGTATCTCTCTGCTTGCGGACTCCTCCCCCACCCCCTCTCCCCCTCCCCGCGTTTAACCAACGCCACCAAAAGGCACTTGAAATAAATTGAAAATGGCTGGCATCGCCCAGCTGCCGCGGATAAGTGATACCCCGGTTTTCCACCTCCCCTCTGCCACCCACTCTCCCCTCATTCAGTATCTAGAATCGTCTAAAGATGAGTTTCTTATTGTTGAACTGTAATTGGAATGATTTTACAATATAAAACACCTTCCGGGGGCCATAATGCGGTCATAAATTGCATCTCGAATTAAAAGAATTTATTCACAAACAATTTCCTCATTTGCCTACACTGATAGAATGATTCATTTATTCCAAACGAGATTCGTTAACTATTAACGAATGGTAGAGTTGAATATGACGAAATGAATATTCGTTGATAGTTAACGAATGGTTCACTTGAATTCGTTAACTATTAACGAATGGTAGAGTTGAATATGACGAAATGAATATTCGTTGATAGTTAACGAATGGTTCACTTGAATTCGTTAACTATTAACGAATGAACATTTGGTGGGATCGAATAGACGTGTACGTTTCGAGTGCTAAATGTACTCCTCATCAGGGCAATCTTTATTCCATCTATAAATCAAATTATAAAATCACAATCATATTTCTGAACGGATTA